TTTGTAAATTATTTGTGTATAATTTTTAAGTAATAATTCTTTTCCATGACATTAAATAAAATAAAATAGGGGTTGAGCGTTTGTATGGAAATTCGTAATTATTGAAGCTAAAACGATGAAACTTTTTTTGACCCTTTGGGATAGGTAATTAAATATTTTTTCTTTATTAGGTCAAGTTACTAGGATGAAGTCGCGAGCACAGCTAATATATAATATGTATACGCAAAAAACACCTAGACTACAAACGATCATACTCATGAAAATGTGTGCACCATGCGAGAAATCGAACCCGCGATCATCGGAAGTAAAGCGGTGTGCTAAACTGCTAGACCACTGAGGTTATCTATATTTTTTAGAATACGTAACATATATATAGTTTTACGTTTTGTTATATCATTTACGACTTACCCTGTTAACAGGTTCCGGCATGACGTAGACTTCAGGGATGTCCCATCTGTATAAAACAAATAGAATAGAATAGAAAATCATTTATGGAAATAAACTTCATTTAAGCACTATTGAATAGTGATAATCATCCTTCTTTAAAACCGCTCATTCGGAAAGCTGTCTCATCACAAGAAGATCGAACAAGAATCTTGTGTTGCTCTATTAAATTATCGTTGTAAGTTTATATTAAGTCGAAACGTGTGAATACAAACTACCAACTAGCACTAATTTATTAGTGTCATAAATACATAATAAGATTAATTAAGTCGTAGTGATAAGAGCAGACCAGTCCCGAGAGCTGGTAGCTACTTTACCCAGAGGTTAAGTATGACCATTCAAAGAGGCAAATCTTGGCTACGCTGCGTCAATGATTATACAATGATTGTTTTTTATTGTGAATGTTTTTGTATGCAATTATTAATTATAGTATGAAAAAGAATGTAGTAGCTTTGGTAAGGAACTGACTCCTGGTATACAGCTCACGCTAGTTTGGGAGTCAGGACTGCAACAAACGCAAAGTTAGATGCAGTCCTGACAAAGATTTAAATAAATAAATAAATGTATTCAAATTACTAATTAAGTTCATTTCCACTTTCTTTTACCTTATTTTTTAAATTAATATATATATTATTTAAAAGAGCAACACACTAGTGTCTTGCTCGTTTTTTTTTAATAAATAACCCTAAATAAATAACGTTGGACAATTAACACAACGCCATCTAGTCCCACGGTAAGCAGAGCTTGTGTTATGGGTACCAGACAACTGATATAAATACTTTTTTTTTTTAATTTCATATAAATGTTTTTTTTTAATAAATACATACTAGGGGGGAAGGGGATTGTTAGTAATGTGGACTAATGACCCCATTGCTAGCAATGTATCATGTCAGGTCGACCTCCACGCGGTTCCCCCTGGAAACCATCGTGATAAATTCCCAGTGAATTTGTCTCGTTGGGCTAACTGATCTGACTTCATGTTCATCCTATCATCCTCCACTGGTGCCCCGCCAGCGTAAACCGTTAGCGCAAGCGGGTGCACCATTCCATTATCAAGCCTCAAAAAAAAAATACATACTTAGAAACACCCAGAAAAGGGCAAGGTCACTATTCCACGCGGTAGAAGTAGTAGGTAGGTAAGTACGCGGGCACAGCTGGTACATAATAGGTATACGCAAAAGACACCCAGACCAATACAAACAATCATACTCATGAATACAAATGTTTGCACCGTGCGAGAAATCGAACCCGCGACCATTGGAAGTAAAGCAGTGCGCTAAACCACTAGACCAGCGAGGCCGTCAATATATATATATAAAATTCTGATTATTTGTTCGTCAGATTATTGTAAAAAGTGACATTATATTTTTCCTTGATTTAATAAAATATTTTACATGTTCAGTTAATAAAATACCTATATATACTTAGTGGATTTTAATTGTAAAGTATCCTTCATATATATGCACTCATCATATCTACCTGCTGTCCTGGAACCCCTAATCTTCATCCACAACCATCCGATCATCCGATCCACCACAAAAATATTCTTTCTATAGTTTTTAAACCACTTTTTATATGCTCACAAATTCATGTTGACAGTTTTCATTTTCGAGTTAACTGTCAGCATATATGAATAAGGAAAAAGTAAAAAGAAATGTCTATGGATACTGGTTTTGTTGATTGATATTTATTATCTGTGCTACCTTTATCTATGTCAAAGCTTTCACAAAATCTGTTTTATGTCAATTATTTGAATTGATTTATTTAGGTTATGTGATTTCTATTTGGTGTTATATGTGTCTCAAACTCTCAACCTGCTACAGGTTTATTCCGGAGTTCATAAATATTTATTTATTTATATATATTAAAATTTACATTTGTATATAGATTTACATTATCATATTTACTACAATACATTTTTTTATATGTTTCTATTGCTTTGGGAAACTCGACATTGATAAACAAAGTCTTATTAACACAAAAAAAAATGCATACGCGCTATATGTAGAGTAGGACCATTGCAATCATGTAGACCGTTATTAAAAAAAATGGCAGTGTTAACTGCAACTGGCTTGTACATTTATGAAACAGGTATGTTTGTAATAAAACACCCATATATATATGACAAAATAAACGATAATAGCAAATTTACACAAAGACACCCTACTAAATTAAAAATGCCACCGTGTAGAACTAACTTGCATAATATTAACTCCCACTTCAGCGCCGTACAAATATATAAATAAAATACCACAGGTAATTCATGTTGATTAAAAAAAAAACCCCAATGGCTCGTTAAAAAATGCTGTTACTCTTTGCGAGAATTGACCTGACATTTAATATTCTTATTTATAATGAATAGAATAGAAATAGAATAGAAAATCATTTATTCAAATAAACTTAATTTAAGCACTTTTGAATAGTCATAACAATTTGTTTTTTATCTACCACTCGTTCGGAAAGCTGTCTCATCACAAGAAGAACGAGCAAGAAACTTGTGTGTTGCTCTTTTAAATAATGTAATTTAATTGTAAAGGTAATTGTTATGAATTGTAATTGGCATGCCCCCTGAATATGAGGCGAACATTTGTACTGTTGTTGTAAATGTTGAAGCAACTAAATTATCTATCTATCTATCTATAGTCCCCAAACCAACCAAAAATATGCAGTATGGGCACACTTCAGTTGACTGTTTTACAATTAGGTAAATTATTTTATGGTGAAATATTTTACAATTAGTGTACTATATAATTCCAAATACAAGAAAATATTACTTATATAACATTGTAAGTTAGAATTATATGTTAGTTACAGTTATATGTAGCATATATTTAGAGTTATATATTAAAACTAGGTGTATACGCGACCTCGTCCGCGTAGAATTTAACTTTATTTTTCTAAAATAAAAGTAGACTAAGTTACTCATTACATCAGCTACTAAATCGGTCCGGCCATTTCAAAGATTAGCAGGAACCAACAGACAGACAGACAAAAATTGTAAAAAATGTTATTTTGGTGTATGTACCGTATATTCATATAATAAAAAACAGCTATTTCAATATTACAAACAGACACTCTAATTTTATTTATATGTATAGATAATATATAACCCATTACTAATAATCCCCTTTCCCCCCTTTTTAATAGATTATATCGGAATGATACAATCACATACTCTAATGGTTTGTCTTGGCGGGGCTCCAGTGGAGGATGATAAGATGAGTAGAAGATCAGGTCAGTTAGCACATCGTGGTAAATTCAGCAACAAACATGATGGTTTCCAAGGTGAACCGCGTGGAGGTCAAACTGCCTAGGTACATTACTAACATTACCATTCCCCTGGACTATGGTTTTATAACTGTAAACCCTGAAATTTTATGGTTTCGTGTGATGCGTTGGACAATGAAATATTATAATGGGAACTAGTGACCCTATTGCAATGGATCATGTCAGGTTGATCTCTGGGTAATAACTAGTTCTATATGTATATCTTATCTTAATAAGTAATTAACGCAAAAGTTCGTGAGTGTGGATGGATGTTTGCTACTCTATCACGCAAAAACTACTGAACGGATTGTGATGAAACTTTACAGTATTACAGCTTATGCATCAAAATAACACAATATGCAATTTTTTATTGAAATTTAACGCGAAGTAAACCGCAGGTACAGCTAGTCTTATATATAAAATTCTCATGTCACAATGCCAGTTACCATACTCCTTCGAAACGGCTTGATCGATTTTTATGAAACTTTATATGCATATTCATTGGGTCTGAGAATCGGCTACTATCTTTTTTTCATAATCCTAAGTGATAAAAGATGGGCACGAGTAACATTTCTTTTATCTTTTGAACAAAATTTTTATATTTTTGTAATGTGGCACTAAAAATAGATATATAACTCAAAATTTTCACCCATCTATCACTAACCCCTATTTTTTTAATAGCGATTTTAATTTACATGGCAAAACAACATTTGCGGTCAGCGGTTCAACCTCATTAAATTTTGATGTATAGAAATAGAAATAATCTTTATTCAAATAAACTTAATATAAGCACTTTTGAATAGTCAAGTTTTTTTATTCTACCGCTTTTCGGAATGCAGAATAGAATAGAATAGAATAGAAAATCATTTATTCAAATAAACTTAATTTAAGCACTTTTGAATAGTCATAACAATTTGTTTTTTATCTACCACCCGTTCGGAAAGCTGTCTCATCACAAGAAGACCGAGCAAGAAACTTGTGTGTTGCTCTTTTAAATAATCCTTGTAAGTTTACATTTACAAGTCGAAACGTGTGAATACAAACTACCAACAAGCACTAATTTTTTGGGTCAAATATAAATATGCAATAAGATTAAATCAGTCGTAGTGATAAGAGCAAGAGATCAGATTCATCACAAGAAGAATAAGCAAGAAACTTGTGTGTTGCTCTATATTACTGTAATTGTAATTCGTTCAGAAGTTTTTGCTTGAAAAATAGACAAACTTCCATCCATATTCACAAACTTTCGCGTTTATGATATTAATAATATATATAAAATATATTTACAGTCGATCAAGATGTTTACGAGGAACCATATAACCTCCGTAACACGCGAGACAGAGAAAAAAGACAGTCAGACAGTGTCTTCTTCAACAACGAAGACGAACCGGTGAGAAACTGGAACCAACGTAAGTAATATCATAGAATAGAAGAGAAGACAAAATACTTTATTCAAATAATAAGCACTTTTGAATAGTCAAATACTTTTTTTATCTGCCGCTCATTCGGAAAGCTGTCTCATGACAAGAAGATAGAGCAAGAAACTTGTGTGTTGCTCTTTTAAATAATCCTAATTATTTAAAAGAGGAACACACAATATTTTTTTATTATTCATTCAATCAGTTAATCATTCATTTATTTATATTATATTTATTATTTATTTAAACTTTCGTCAGTGTACAGTTTGTTGCAGTCCTGACTCCCAAACTAGAGTGAGCTGTATATCACGAGTTAGTTCCTTCAAAAAACTAGGATAACAGTTTAAATTTAAATTTGAAAATTTACTTGTAATTAACTGTATTTTTTAGCAGTTATAACAATAATAACCCTGGACAATTAACACAGCGCCATCTAGTCCCAAGCTAAGCGGAGCTTGTGTTATGGGTACTAGACAACTGATATAAATATATAAATACATTTGTTTTAGTAAATTCATACATACCAAGTTAAATACAAACAATCATACTCATGAATATAAATGTTTGTACTGTGCGAGGAATCGAACCCGCGACCGTCAGACTTTAGCTCGTTTACTTTTATAATTACTAAAACAAATCCTTACTGTCAAAGTCGTTCAGTATGTTTGTTTTATCTTATAATAATAATAATAATAATTTTATTTCAGACAACATGATCCATTGTGTTAGTAACAGCTTAATGACATATATATATATAATAAAATATATAATAAAATAAAAATGTAACTTTTAACATATTACCTGTCCCACCCAGTGTCTTAGAATGGGACAGTCTACTTTACAAGCAATTGTCTTCAGGACACTGTTGGAACTCGCCCGCACTCTGCCTAATAGGGACGTTATTCGCTTCCGCCGTATAGCATAGAAATCGTCTGTGCGCTCTTGCGCAAACATATGTGACGCGCTGCAGTGGCGGGGCAGTCCCAACAGTGCCCGAAAGGCATTGTTATATTGAACGCGAAGAGCATTGTAGGTTTTTTTAGTATAGTTGTCCCACAAGCCGCCAGTGTAGAAAACCTGACAAAATGCCTTAAAAAGTGTTATTTTGACTTGTTTTGTACACCGGGCAAACCTGCGTGCCAACATATTACTTCTAACTGCCAATGCTCTTCTTTCACGTTCTATGTCCATATCATCTTTTAATGTGGATGTAACAATATGTCCAAGATATTTAAAATTTGAAACAAGGTTCAATATATTCCCATTGAGTGATATAGGAGGCACATAATCCGGTTTTTTACTTCCAGATGCAAACACTACAATCACACTCTTGACAGAATTATAAATAATAATCCATGACTTTCTGCATACGATTCACATACAGCTACCATTTTCCTTAAAGCTCCAATTGAGGGGGCCAACAATACCATGTCATCTGCATAGCTTATATTGTTGATACTAAGTCCATCGATATAGCAACCAGCATGCATACCGCTGAGCTCCTCTATTAAACTATTGACATATAAACTAAAAAGGTTAGGTGAGGTCAGCCCACCCTGTCTCACTCCGCATTTTAAATGGTATGGGTCAGACAGAGAATTATTCCACTTCACCTGGTTGCATTGGTTATTGTACCAATACCTAAGAATCTTTACTAATTCTACGGGTAGAGTAGTATTCTTAAGCTTACTCCATAAAACATCATAGGACACCATATCAAAAGCCTTGCTTAAATCAAGGAAACAGGCATAGACAGGAGTAGATCTTTCTGTGTAATATCTGACTGTGTGCTTGTGACATAAAATAGCGGACTCTGTTGCCTGAAACCAAACTGGAGATCATGTAAGTTTGGGTATCGTTTGAGTTGCGAATCAAGCAAACAATCAAACACCTTAGCAGTTATTGTTGCTAAAGATATAGGTCTATAATTTCCCGCGTTTGATACGTCTCCCGTTTTATTCTTAACTATTGGTACAACAACCGTTTTTAGCATATCGTCTGGCAAATATGTGTGCGCTATACAAAATGTATATAACATTGAAAGTAACCTAGGCAAGTGATCTCCTGCTGCCTGAAAATGTTCCAAACTGAGACCATCATATCCCGGGGACTTTCCTTTTTTCATGTTCTTTATAACAACTTTAATATCCTCAGATGTAAATCTATGCACTTCACTATTCACACCCTCACTGAAAATGTTGGTGGTTGACTGTGATGGAGGCAGAGATGAGTTCACCTTAAAGTTATTTTTAAACATATCAGCTATTTGTTTACAGTCCTTAATCCCATTAATACTAATAGGTATAGAGGGTCTACCACTCAACTTGTTTGTAGCTCTCCAGAACCCACCAAAGTCGTTGTTGGACCGGTGAAGAGCTAATGCATCCATTTTTATCTGGTCTTGGTGATTGAGACACCATTTTAATTTACCTTTAAACCTTTTACGACTTTCACACATTTCGTCATACACAACACCCACGTTCGGCCTGCCATATAATTCCCATACTAAAAATTTAATTCTCGCCTCATTATGTGCCTCCCTAACATATTTATTCCACCCAGATATCCGTCTTCGCCCCCCTACTCCCACCGGCCTGTCGTGACTTCGGACTGCAGCCTCTGATAATATGTTCACTATGTTACTATACAATTGATTTATTATATCTCTGTGAGTTAAGTCACTACAATATCCATCACAACAGCCAATTAGTTTTTCTGGGAAATCAATATTTTTTAATTTTTCATTACAAAAACTATTATATATATTTATTTGTTCATTGTTTCTACTACCCCAAACTACTTTATTACAAACATATTTATTAATGGAAACTTTCGGTTTTAAAAGATTTACATTACATTTTATTTCAATAGGGAAATGATCAGACCAGTAAACATCATACAGTATGTCTACATCAACAGTGGATGCCCATGCAGCTTGTGTTACTAGAACATGATCTAGCCATCTTTTCGTTCCATGTGCATCACTAATAAATGTATAACAGTCCGATTGTAAACCTAGTTTCTGTATATCCGCACAGATCAGCTGTTGTTCCGAACAAAAGTTTAAAAGTTCCTTACCGAATTGTCCATCTGGGTGCGCATTATAGTCTCCCAGAATAAAAACAGATTGCACATCATTATTTTCAACAATTGCACAAATCTCGCCCAAACAATGTGTGAACTCCGTTAAATTATCACTATTATCTGTGGGCATGTAAACACTCATAATGACCATGTCTTTATCACTAGTTTCCACTTTAATTGCTGTTATTCGCGAGTTTTCACTATTAATTATCGATACCGAATTAAAAACACTTTTTCTCCATAAAATTGCGACACCTCCGAATGGTCTACCGTGAAGTATACCCACTGAAGTATCTACAGAAGACTTTCCAGTGTATCCAAAATCATCATGTATGCTGTCCAAAAAATGTATGTCATGGGGAAGAAGCCAAGTTTCCTGCAAAGCGACGATATCGGACCTCTCACACAAGGATTTTATACATTCTGCCGATCGCTTCGCAGATTTACAATTAAATGATATAAAAGATAACTGTGTTGTATTATCCACTTTTATTTTATAAATTATATCTTATCACCTTTTACGAGTGTCTTTTTAAAAGTCACAAATCGACGAAAGGAAATACCATCCGGCCACAGACCCGCATCCATAAAGATAGAAAATTTACTCCGCGGTATGTATACTTTGTATGCATCGTATTCCTTCTGTAGTTTCATGCTAATTTTTTCTAGAGTTACAGGCACGTTAGTTTTTTGCAGTATATAGGTAGCAATGTCATCCGGTGATGTATTCTTGTCAACATTATTGATAAATAGCGGTATCTTTATATCCGCTGCTCGAAATTTTCCATTGGGTTCCGTACATGCTTGACCTCTTTTTCCCATAAATCTATTCTTCAATTTCTTTTTTTGCACTATTGTCCAATTTTCTGTCTCTTTTATATTTTTCCATGCTTCATTGGTAACAATATTCGCATATGATTTTTCCATTACTAATGGATGGGAGACTCGATCATTACTTTCAACTATGTTCATTGCTATACCGGTTGACGTGATTGGTGCGTTCGGTGGCGCTACTCCTCCCGCGCCCGCTTGCGCCTCATCTAATACCTGCCGCTGTTTAAACGACGGTTGATCAACTGTATCTCCTACCCGCACACAAATATTGTTTACTGAACTATTCAATAAAGCATTAGATTGCTTTTTCAAAGGAATATTTGTATCGCAATTATTACTTAAGTTCTCATTTCTTTCTTCCTGCGATATATGAAGCAACCCAATCGGCCCACTGTCATAATGAAAATTATCAATTAAATTTGAACCACCTCTTTTCGTGTTTACATATTGTGTCGGTTCAAAATTATTAACAATTGAAGCCGTTTTTAAATTCAACAATTCATTCTTTATCATTTGTACTTCTTCTGACGAAGCGCAGGTCTCTTTAATAGTTCGCAGTTCTTTTTGCAACACAAGAATATCCTTTAATAATCTAGTTACATCCACATGATCAAAACTCACTGGCGGTAGTTTCTGCAAATCTCTCGCAACAAATACTGGAATATTCTCAGGATCTACACTTTTTATTACAGATAAAATATCTTCTATGTCACGTTCTCTTTTCCATCCTTTTTTCGTATGATCTTGCGTATTTTTGATTTAACTGAATCAAATAGCAAAGTTTTCGCTTCCTTAATTTCTTCACTCGAAAATGACGACGTAATAATACGAATGAGACTTTCCTCATCCATAACTTCACATTTGTTTTGTACAAAAGACAATATTTCACTAATCACAATATTACAATTATTGCATTTTACTATATTTGATGCCATTATGCTGACCGATAACTGAGACAGCTATAACTGCTTCATTATTCTGTCACTTTCCTTCTAGAATCATCTGGCTTCAATCAACAAGAAACTAACAGACCATGGCCGCAGAGACCAAATTGGAATAATAATAATCGTTAGTTCCGATTTCTTCTCTTCTCTTACATTCTTAATACTTCTTTCAACAGTTTACTTTTGAGATGCTATATTCAGACATAAATAATTTGGTATAACCTTAAATAAGATAATATTATATTTCATATATCTTTAAACTATAACTTCTTTCATCATCATCGCAGCCCGGAAGACGTCCACTGCTGGACATAGGCCTCCCCCAAAGATCTCCACGACGATCGGTCCTGCGCTGCTCGCATCCAATGCCTTCCCGCGATCTTGACCAGATCGTCGGTCCACCTTGCTGGAGGCCTTCCCTATTATATCTATTATATCTAATTCCTTCTAGAATCTTCCGTCTTTAATCAACCACAGATTAACACGTCCCGGCCACAGAGACTAACAATAATCGTTAGTTTTAATTTCTTTTATTCTTAATTAACTTCTTTTATTCTATAAACTTATTCAATTTATTATTATATTTAATTTTTATTTATTTATTATCATTGAATTGCATTGCATAATATTCTTACAGTATTCATAAAAATGTACAATTATATATTACTTTTGTTAACACTTACTTTTCTGTATTTATAATTCTACTATTCTATCGCTTTCCTTCTAGAATCTTCCATCTTCAATGAACCACAGACTAATTCACCGCGGCCGTTACGACCGAGCTGGAAGAACAACAATCGTTAGTTCCACTTTCTTTTATACTTCATTAACATTCTATATAACTTAAAATAAACTTGAATTGATCAAACTTAAATCTATTTACCTTATATTTTCTAATAGTAAATAGATTTAAGTTTGATGTACATGTGTGTTGTTTACTAAGGTAAATACATACTTGTAATCCATACAAAAATTATATTACAAATGCTAAAGTATCTGTCTGTGTTTATTAATGAAATTTGATGTGAAGATATATTATCACGAAGAGAAAAATTACTTTTGCCACAGATAACATAATAATACTTTTGCTAACTTCGTTCAACGATTTGCATTTTGTAGCGATATTTAAAATTAGCTGTAAGTTTGTTATATGGGTGTGTATTTTTTATTCCTAATAATTGTTATCCATGCGTGTGTCAAAACTAATATAATAACAACTAAACGGATGTTAATATTTAATGTAAAGACATGTTAAAATAAAATCGGTCACACATTACCTTAACAGCTACTTTTCTGTATTTCTAATTCTACTATTCTATCGCTTTCCTTATAGAATCTTCCATCTTCAATGAACCACAGACTAATTCACCGCGGCCGCTACGACCGAGCTGGAATAACAACAATCGTTAGTTCCACTTTCTTTTATTCTTCATTAACATTTTATGTAACTTAAAAAAATATTGGACTAAGCTTGAATTGATCAAACTTAAATCTATTTAATCTAAGTTTGATGTTGTTTATTCTTCATACTTGTAATCCATACTAATATTACAAATGTTAAAGTATGTCTGTTTCTTAATTTTTCATATTACTAAACAGATATAAATGAAATTTGATGTGAAGATATATTATCACGAGGAGAAAAATTACTTTTGCTAATAGTTCCTTTATTTAATTTCTATTTCTCTATTCTATCGCTCTCCTTCTAGAATCTTCCATCTTCAGTGAACCACAGAGTAACTCACCGCGGCCGCTACGACCGAACTGGAATAACAACAATCGTTAGTTCTTCTTTCTTTTATTCTGCATTAACATTCTATTAACTTCTTTCGATAATCTGTATTTTCTAAAAACATGAAGATTTAAGTTTAATGTATATATATTCTTTATTCTTTATAATTGTTATCTATATTACTTTTACAAATGCAAAATATCTGCCTGTTTGTTACCTTTTTATTTTTAAACAGATATTAATAATGTTTGATGTGAAGATCATAAACTAGGTTTTATGTAAAAAAAAGCAGTCAAATCGCGGATGGCTGCTACTATTATTTTACTTAACTACTTTCTGTATTCTATCGGTTTCCTTCTAGAATCTTCCATCTTCAATGAACCACAGACTAACTCACCGCGGCCGTTACGACCGAGCTGGAATAACAACAATCGTTAGTTCCACTATCTTTTATTCTTCATTAACATTCTATGTATGTAACTTATATTCTATTATAAAATAATAATAATAAATACCCCTAGACAATTAGCACAGCGCCATCTAGTAACGGGTATAAATACATAGTTTTTTTTTTGTAAATACATACACAAAACGCCCAGGCCGATACAAACAATCATAGTCTAGAATATAAATGTTTGAACCGTGCTAGGAATCGAACCCGCGACCATCGGAAGTAAAACGGTGTGCTAAACCTTAAGACCACCGCGACTGTCAAATGTTTCTTACAATTTATACTTTTTAGATGTCATTCATTTTAGTTAAATTTATACTGATTATCTTATATTCGCTTACTTTCATTTTCCATATGACTTTACTATTCTCTAACTTTCCTTCTAGAATCTTCCATCTTCAATGAACCACAGACTAACTCACCGCGCCCGCTACGACCGAACAGGAATGACAGTAGTTAGTTCCGCTTTCTTTTATTCTTCATTAACATTTTCTACCTCTCCGGTGATGGAAACACCGATAACAAACTGAATTAATCTCGGTAGTCTCGCCCCCTGCAGCGTTGTATTGAAGTATACCGAGCGAATGTGGGACATGTCAAGTGTTGTGTTCACCACTACGACCACAGTTGACAATGACTCCAACTACCCCGTCTGGGACAATAGTCATGATAGTGTGTTATAAGAATAGGAAGAATAAGAATCATATATACCAGTGAAATTACATTAAAGAATATATATTTAAAGAATACTTAACTTCCTTAAGGCGGCTAAAGAAGTCGGTTCAGCGTATGCCGACAGGATGCTCTTGTCCGGCGCTGGTGTATAACTGGACCTTTTTCTACCAAATTTGAATATTATAATAAACTAGCTATCCCGGCAAACGTTGTTTTGCCTTAAAATAAAAAAAAATTAGGGGTGGACTACCCCTAACATTTAGGGGGATGAAAAATAGATGTTGGCCGATTCTCAGACCTACTCAATACGCTCACAAAATTTCATGAGAATCGGTCAAGCCGTTTCGGAGGAGTATGGGAACGAAAACTGTGACACGAGAATTTTATATATAAGATAATACCACATATATATTTTAGAAATCATGTTCTAGTCATGCTCGCTATAAAGTTCAAATTTGTGGCGGCGTGGTGGGCCGGGTCGATGTGCTCCCTCTAATATGGTTGAGTGCAATGATGGCTGGCTCATCCGTCATACTCGTGAACAGGTGCTGCTTGTGGGGTCTGTTCAGGTTGCGAACACTGATTAGATTTTTTGATTTTTTTTTATACGCACACAAATTACTTTTGTTTTGGATATATAGTAGAAATTAAAAATAAAAATGTCTTAAATAGTTGTATATACACCATATATAATAGCATTATATATGCATGCTGGTGGTCACTCTATTCTCCCAAATTTGAAAAATGCTGTTGGCCGCAGCTGGCCTTTACAGCTTCACCGGACGATAGGGGGCGAGTGCAGATGGCACTCCAAACCAAAGGAAGGACTTATGGAGCGGCTAAAGGCCAACTCCCGCCTGACGGATACGACTTTAGTCTGAACACCGCTTGGGGTTCGAACCTCGGCTCAGGCTTCGTAATTTCGATCCCCGTTTGAATTGGACGGGGGATCTATCAAAGGGGCAGACACAAATTACAAATTTGTAATGTGCGTCCGTACTGTGGGTCTAACTAAAAATCAGCGCTGGAAACTATGTTTCCAGCATTATGCGTAGTTGTGCTCCACATTAACTCTGTTTTGTAATATGTGTAAATTGTTGTTTGCATTTCTTTTTATCATTATTGTTGTCAAGACTATTCAATAGAATTATAACATATTCATTTTTTGTACAATCCTTTTTATATATCAATATTGTTGTGTTACAGGACCGAACCTTGAACCGCCGAGAGACGAGAGGAGACCCAGTGGTGTCACTACGACTGTCAGACCTATAGGTATGTCGAATTGTACCTTTTTACCGACTATCAAAAAGACGGTCAGACGGATTTTGTTGTTAATTCCTAGTTATGAATTAACTGACCTAAGTTCATCCTGCTCCCATCTATTTTCCACTGGTGCCCCGCCAGCGTATACTCTAGAGCAACAAACTGTTCTACAGTTTGGCGAGTTAATGTATAAAAACAACTGTACAATTATCTTTATTAAATAAATTAAAAAAAAAAACGAGTCCACTGTTTCATTATTATCCATTAAAAAAAATACCAACTTCAAGCAAAAAAAAAAAAGATATAATCATCATAATAAGTAGTAAAAGTAGTTTTAAACGTATTATTCAATAAATATAGTCATATTCAGAAACTCGTACTTTTTAAGTCAGTTGTAAACACCCAGACAGACACTTTTATTATATTTTGTTATATTATACACTTGATATTTATATTACGACCAATTTACATAATACCATTTTAAATTATTGCGTATATATTACTCCGATGTATACAACAGTAAAGTTTCATTAAAATCCGTTCAGTAGTTTTTGCGTGAAAGAGTAATAAACATCCATACTCGGAAACTTTCGTCTTTATAATATTATTAACATTTTGACCAAATTACATAATATCTTATCAAATTATAGTTTATGTGTTATTCTGATGTATAAGCTATATTACTGTAAAATTTCTTCAAAATCCGTACAGTAGTTTTTGCGTGAAAGAGTAACAAACATCCATACTCGGAAACTTTGGCGTTTATAATATTTTAATATTACAGATGAAGCAGGCAGATTCTTCGTGCAATATAATAACATACCGATGGGTGTAGAGAAAGTTGGAGATAGATTGTTTATAACTATACCGCGTCGACGATACGGTAAGAAATAATCTAAACATATAAATAAAATTAATTCATTCATAATTTAAGAGCTACGCTCTTGTCGGTGGAGCTCTTGCCACTTTCCGCGATCTTCCATCATGCTCTTTAATTCTTCATACGACACGACTCCCATTTTGTCCTCTACATCTACAAATATATTATAATCATTTCAAACTCTACAATTTTACACAATTGTACACAATAATAAGTGACTCCAGTCTCTACAATACAGGCCTGCGAGCCTAGTGTAGAACTACAGTAAATTAAAATGTAAATGTGTATCATGAATATATATATATATATATATATATATATATATACATATATATATATTGTATCTCCCTTTTGACTGGAGTAATATATTCAAACACGCAGGCCTTAGCCAAGCATGGATGAGTTATGTGATGAAGAAAGAAATTTTCTTACTATTCGGCATGTGTTTAGTATGACGGCTTTTTGTAATAGTTTATTATTATTATTATTATTAATATTATTTCTAAACTTCAAACAAAAATCTCATCTCCCCTCTTAAGGAGAGGAGATGGCAACTTATTATTATTATTATTATTATAAGCTTTTTTACAAAGAGTTTGGTATATAATAAATATATTACTTAAATCTAAGTAATCCACTGAAAATCAGCGCTGTGGTATAATTATACTACAGTATAAATGCTGAGTGGGAGTCACATTCAGTGTTACCAGTATGGTTTAGCTTTTAAGTTGTATAGTAAATTATATCTATACATATAATTAAAATTGGAGTGTCTGTTTGTAATACTGAAATAACCGTTATTTACTACATATGAATATGAATACGGTACATAAATAATCTTTTTTACAATTTTTATCTGTCTGTCTGTCTGTTTGTTCCGGCTAATCTGAAATTGAATTGTCCTGGGATATTACATATTATATATTATTACTAGCTGTTCCCGCGACTTCGTTCGCATGGAAATTAACTTTATTTTCTAAAATAAAAGTAGCCTAAGTTACTCCTTATTACATCAGCTACCTACCGATATAAGTTCCGTCAAAATTGGTCCAGCCATTTCAGAGATAAGCCGGAACAAACAGACAGACAGACAAACAAAAATTGTAAAAAATGTAATTTCGGTGTATGTACTTTATCACTTCGAGGTATGTAACTTACGTACATAAATAACTTACGTCCTATACTCAGACCTGATACACAAAATTTCATAAGAATCGGTCAAGTCACTTCGTAGGGTATGTTACAAACACTGATGCAAGATTTCTTTTTCTTTTATTCATTATTTTCAATATAAAAAAAAATGTTAAAATAGAAATGTATGTTTCAGGTATAATTTCAACTCTAAATTACATAAACCTGGACCGCGACTCGCATCAGCTGTCGCCAGCCTTGAAGCCGTACCCCAACTACAGCACTTCCAGGAGTCTAACCTCGGTGTACAGAACAAGAGCCGACAGCTGCGGCCGCCTCTGGATGGTTGACACCGGAATGATCGAAATACCAGGTCAGTCCAATTATTTATACCCTTTGACATTTTGATCTTAGAATTTCGTATTCTAATATAAACTAGTGGCCGCCCAGCGGTCGAATTCATTAAATTCATCATTCCAGGGGGAAACCGTGTGGAGGTCGACCTGACATTACTAGCAATCCCCTTATGTCATAATCACGTATAAAAATACAATTTGGTTACAGATAATAGGCAGCAGGTTCAACCTCCGGCCATCGTGGTTTTCGATCTCAACAGGGACAGACAGATACTCAGGTATCCGTTCAAGAGTACAGACATACCGTCAGCGAACACGCCTACTGGTAAGTGCCATAGATAAGTACCTATTTTGTCTATGGTAATTGTGATTTTGTAAATTTTTATGTTTACTTTGTTAAGTAATTTAAGTGCTATCATCGTAGTTGATCTCTTATTGTATTAATTTACTAATAAAGGCTGGAACAGAACAGCAGAGAGGGTGGACTCACTGCACCCACTGAGTTATAGACCGTTTTGTCTCATTTATTACTTTTAAATTTTATATTGTACTAGCTGTACGCACGACTTCGTCCGCGTGGAATTTTTATTTCTAAAATAAAAGTAGCCTAAGTTACTCCTTCTTACATCAGCTACCTGTCAATAAAAGTCGCGTCAAAATCGGACCAACCATTTCAGAGATTAGCCGGAACAAACAGACAGACAGACAAAAATTGTAAAAAATGTTATTTTGGAGAATGTACCCTATTTATATTTATATGCATATAGTAAAAAACTGTTATTTCAATATTACAAACAGACACTACAATTTTATTTATACGTATTTTATGTATAGTTAAGTAATTCTAGAAAATTATTGCTATTAATAAAAAGTTATTGTTATTATATTTGTCAGGTTTGGCCTCCATAACTGTGGACATCACCAATGATGATTGTGAGAACGCATTCGCATATGTACCCGATCTGACCACGTACGGACTCATCGTGTACTCCCTGAAACAGAACGACAGCTGGAGACTCTCTCACAACTTCTTCTCATTCAACCCCACGGCTGGGAACCTCAATATTGCTGGTAAGCATTCTTTTTAAACTAAAATCTCAAACATGGTAACGGTAAGTGATCGTGATATTTATTTATTTATGTAAGAAGCACTAATTATGACGGACGACTGAGGCTTTGCTACCGCAAGGGAAACCCCAAGTAGCGCCCGTGACTTGTGACACGGGTGTAGGTTTAAAAGGCCCTTTTAGAATGCATTAACACTCACCTTCACTACTTGCAGATTCCCCCCAGGCCCAACTAAGACCGGGATAAACCCATTGCTAATACAATTCAGTTTAATATCCAAAACACAACTGGCACGCTCTGCGCTCGTCGACTGAATGCCGCAGCTCACGCAACGAAAGAGGATTATTCAACTACCGACCTCCGTATTTATAGACCAGTCAGTGTAGTAGGTTGGTTTATAACTACTAGATGGCGCTATTTACAATATTCGTAATAATCCTTACATTGGGTACTTCATTAGTACTAAAAACAAACTACCTTCTTTTAATATATTTTTAAAATATCGGATTTTACTACAATGATGATGTGAATTCTAACATTTATAAGAACATTGCTGTTTGCCTGTTTGTATTCACACAAAATTATTAACAAAATCTCATTATTCTTGCCCCCTCCTACTAGACCGAGACGTCTTTGCCAAAACCACTCCAAAATGTTAAAACTTCCACTTGGCAAGTCCCAATTCTTAGGAAATTCCTTTTCATTTCGCGCTGCTCGGTTATGGAACAAACTACCAGCACAGATACAGGAAAGTCCAACAATTGGTTGTTTTAAGAAAAGGTTGAAATCACACTATTTATCGACCTTAGTATGATTAGTTTCATCATGTATTTTATTATTTGTATTTTGTGTAATATATGTAGATATCTATAGAATATTATGTTATCTGTGCTATTACTACTCAATAAACGATTACTTGAATAACGAGCGTGTATAGCAATAGTTGTTCATGAACGGGATTTTCACTCAATGTTAAACATAAACTAATATTGTTACCAGGTTTAAGATTCCAGTGGAGCGACGGTATATTCAGCCTGACCCTGGTGCCTGGCGCTGGCAACTGCAAGACGGCCTACTTCCACCCCCTCATCGGTACCCAGGAGTTCTCCGTGTCCACGTGTGTCCTGCAGAACAGGACCGCCGTCTCTGATCCTAATTACTGGTCATTTTTCTCCGTAAGTAATCCTTACTGATATTATAAATGTGAATGTAGGGATGTTTGTTTGTTTATTTATACATTTATATAAAACAGGTATTATATTATATTTATATATTCGCATATTTTCCGGCAGAACTCATGCGAAGGTCGTTCGGTAGTTATGTATGGCAGGATGAAGTCAGGTAGTTGTTACGCCTCGTTGTAGTTATAGTCCGCGAGCCAGAGGAGTTTTTCGTCAATTATTTCCTCCCGGCAGGTAGCTTTCATTGAGCTTTGTTGCGGGTAAATGATACGATGTTGTTGGTCGAGACGATGTATATTACAGATAAAATAAACTGACAATATGTATGTAGAAATAATGATCTTATATAACTAGTGTAGGAATGTTTTATCACTGTCGAACGACTGAATCCTGAAAGTTTGATGGTTTGAATGAAGCAGCTATTGTAAAGTTCGCAGAATATAGAGCAGTTTTTGTCAATTGCATAAGGAAATCGAGACTATACTATCGATATATTTATCAAAAAACAATAATAATAATCATTTTTATTTGTCCATTCATTTTTTTATTGCTGTGGAAAACATAAGAATAAAAGAAACAAAACATAACATGATTTGCCAGGTGCTACAAAATCTAAATATATATAACTCAAAGGTGACTGACATAGTGATCTATCAACGCACAGCCCAAACCACTGGACGGATCGGGCTGAAATTTGCCATGCAGGTAGATGTTATGACGTAGGCATCCGCTAAGAAAGGATTTTGATTAAATCTACCCCCAAGGGTATAAAATAGGGGATGAAAATTTGTATGAAACTTTGTGAATTTTAAACCGAGACTTCATAAAGCTACTATGATGTAGCCATCCCCTAAGAAAAGGGATAAATTAAGGCGAGCGAAACAGCAACAAAATAAATATATTACAGACTCATCACAAGAAGTATGAGAAAGAAACTTACATATTGCTCTTTCGTTCTATTCTTTTCTATTCTGTTTCCAGTTGCTGGGTGACCGTGGTGAGGGAAGTCAAGCTACGATGCACGACTATCACCCAGCTAGCAGAGTGCTGTTCATAGCTGAGGTAGGCAGGGATGCTGTGTCTTGTTGGAACACTGCTGAACCCCTGGTGTCTACTAATATAGCTATATTGGCACAAGACAGCCAGAGACTTAGTTATCCAGCAGGTAATTTTTTTTGTAATAATAAAAATCCTTTAATAATTTTAGGACATTTCACGTAGCGCCATCTAGTCCCAAGCTAAACAGAGCTTGTAACATGCGTCCTAGGGAACTGATATTAATACTTATTTTTGTGTAAATACACATACATATAAATATAATTGTCTAGTAACCATAACACAAGCTCTGCTTACCGTGGGACTAGATGGAGCTGTGTTACTTGTCCAGGGTTATTTATTTATTTATATCAGTTGTCTAGTGCCCATAACAAGCTCTACTTACCGTGGGACTAGATGGCGCTGTGTTAATTGTCCAGAGTCCTAATTATACAATAGCGATATCTTCATTATTTCAGACCTCCATGTTACTGGGAATGACGTGTGGGTGATAGCAAATTCTCTGCCACGGTTCGGTTATTCAAGACTTGATACAAACAGTTACAACTTTTATATATATAGGTAAGTTTTTATCCGTCATGACTTACTGTAAGGTGGCACTTGTATAAGATGATGACTTAGGCTTTGAAGCCGGCTACCGCAAGGGAAACCCCAAGTAGCACCCGTGACTTGTGACACGAGTGTAGGTTTAAAAGTCCCTTTTAGAATGCATTAACACTCACCTTCACTACTTGCAGCTTCCCCCCAGGCCCAACTAAGACCGGGATGAACCCATTCCTAATACAATTCACTTTAGTACCCAAAACACAACCGGCACGCTCTGCACTCGTCGACTGAATGCCGCGGCTCACGCAACGAAAGAGGATTATTCAACTACCGACCTCCGTATTTATAGGCCGAAGTTAGTGTAGTAGGGAGAGAAGCGGAAGTAACGGTTATTTTCTGACAAACAACGTGGTTCGGTCTATAAATACTAGATGGCGCTATTTACGAAATAGATCATATTAGATACTCAATTATATTCATAATCTTACATTACGGTGTCCAAAAGTGGACACTGACTACTTACACACACATACGACTGTGGGCTGGACATATATGACCGGCCCACTGCCACTTCAACTCGCAAATTCGTAGAGCAATGTCGATGACCTTATTTCTCTGGCGAATTACTCTGTTTCGGATTTGATCCCTTAGAGCAGTGGTTACCAAACTTATTTTGTCTAATGCCCACTTTGAGAACAAATTTTTTTTAGTGCCTCATTTTTTCACCTACCTAAAACCCAAATTCAAATTATATTAATCAATTATTGTGAGCTATCATCATCAGCCCACTGCAGTCCACTGCTGGACATAGGCCCCTCCCAAGGCACGCCACTGGGCACGACCTTCAGCCCTTCTAATCCAGTTACTACCCGCAACCCTACGTATGTTGTCGCTCCACCTAGCTGCGGGGCGTCCTACACTACGTTTGCCAATTCGCGGTCTCCACTAGAACACGCCTACTTACTTGTGAGCTATATTAGCGGTGATTAAAGATTAATTCTAAACGAGACTTACTACAACTCGCAAGAGTTAACTTAAAACCTCCTGAGCGCAGTAGGCAAGGTCGGCGCTAGGGTCCTCAGCGCCCGCATGCAAATTTTATCCTAGCGCGGTTTATGTACCCGTATTTTACATAGTTTAAATTATTTAATATAAATTATTAAGTATTCTATAGATTATATATTTTAATAAAAGCTAAATATATATAACTCAAAGGTGACTGACATAGTGATCTATCAACGCACAGTCCAAACCACTGGACGGATCGGGCTGAAATTTGGCATGGAGGTAGATGTTACGACGTAGGCATTCGCTAAGAAAGGATTTTGATTAATTCTACCCCCAAGGGGATAAAATAGGGGATGAAAGTTTGTATGAAACTTTGTCAATTTCAAACCGATCGGGCTGAGACTTTGCATGCATAAAGCTACTATGACGTAGGCATCCCCTAAGAAAGGATTTTGATGAATTCCACCGCTTAGAGGATAAATTTCCGTCCGTTTCCACCGGCCCTGGCAGTAGGTAATAACTACGCAACGGCGCTCAGGTCTCAAGTTAACTCTTATGCTACGTTTACATTCAGCCGCTTCCCCTGCCACTCGCGCTGCCTAAAATTATGCCGGGCGACAACTGAGCTAGAGGGCTGTATGTAAAAACACGCTGCCACTCGCGCTGCCAGTCCTTTGACTCGCGCACGAAAAACCGACAATCGAGGGAGCGCCGGGCAGCGCTAGTGGCAGCGCCAATGGCGTGGGAAGTGTTTCCACTCGTGTTTACACATTCGCGCTGCTCACTTCCCTGCCTACTCGGGCTGAGTGTGAATTGGGAATTACGGGCTACACCTGCCAATGAGAATAATTATTGAAACTTTGTAATATTCAAACAGAATATCTTTTATTCAAAACAAAACAAAAATAATAGATTTTTATATAAAAACTAATGTGAAGGATGAATCTGATGCTGTTTAATAAGCTTGTTGATATCCCCCATTTTTTTCTGGGTCCCTTACGCTGCAGGCCTGAAGTGGGGCGCCCTTTAGGCCTGCAGAGCCCACAAGAGGGCGTTATCGCCCACTTTGGGAAAGGCTGCCTTAGAAAAACCATATTTTAGGGAGCCCAATGACCCGGCCCACCACGCCGCCACATGTCTGGACATTTTATTTTATTATATATTCTTTTTTTTTTCAGAGGCAATGTAGAAAACCTAATATCAGGAACAACATGTGCACGCTTGTAATTCATCACTTAAGTCTAATAGTAAGAGAATCGCAGCTTAGTGGCTTACCACCTAACTTCCACCCCGAAAGTCGTAAAATCAAATGTACAACAAACTTTTCATGCTCATTTAATGTCTGATCAACTTCCCGGTGATGGAAACACCGGAAACAAACATAATCCGACAGTGATAGACACGCCATCTGCCACGTTAAATTCGCTGTGTGAATTGTCCTGATATTTTTATTCTTATTAAAAAAAGCTAGTTTTTTTTTGAAATCTTTGTATTTCTCGGCTTGCTCTGTACTATAACACGCATGTATTATACATATAAACCTTCCTCTTGAATCACTCTATCTATTGCTGAAAATGGAATTAAAATCCGTTGCGTCATTTAAAAGATAAGTGAACAGACAGCGGGCCCTGCTGTCTTCTATACTATGGACTTTGTTTTATACTATGTAAAGATATGTAATAAAATATATTTAAATATTACATGAGTTTAATTTATTGTTAGACCTATTACATTCGCTAGTATATTTTGTATATTCGTTTATGAATGTTTTTTTTTTGTGGAGTATAATGGAATGGTGCACCCGCCTGCGCTAACGGTTTACGCTGGCGCCTCACCTGTGGAGGATGATAAGATGAGCATGAGGTCAGGTCAGTTAGCACATCGTGACAAATTCACCAGGAATTTGTTACGATGGTTTCCAGGGGGAACCGCGTGGAGGTCGACCAAACATGGTACAGTGGTTGATATAAATCTATTTATTGCAGAGGAATAAGGACTTGGGGTGCTCATATTTCTAAATTGGCTAGTCGACTTAGTTCTGTCGTTTATTCGGTAAGAATTAGACAGTTAACAGACGTGGCAACAGCTAAACTTGTCTACCTTAGCTATTTCCAGCATTATATCATATAGTATTTTGTTATGGGGCAAAGCAGCTGATATAAATACAGTATTTATTTTGCAAAAGAGGGCCATCCACTCTATTTACGGTTTGGGTTGGGAGTCTTTTCGTAAGAGGGCCATCCGTATATCCGCTCCATTTACGGTATGGGTTCCAGGGAAACTTCACGAGAGTGCTTTAAGGAATCAAATATCCCCACAGTTGCTTCTCAATACATTTTCGAAAATGTATGCCAGGAAAAATACTGATAGTTATAAAAAAGTAAGTGAATGCACTAAACTTAGCTATTATCAACAAACTGGATTTACCTTAGTGGCGTTTGTCGAAAGTTAGTAATTAGTTTTATGGTAATTGCGTAAGGTTTTACAACAAAATGCCGGAAATGTCTTCAATCTTCTAGAAAAAAGATTAAAATGTCTTAGAAAACATATTCTTTATAAAAAAAAGTTTAGTATAAAATTGAAATCTAACTTAAAATTCATAGCGCTGACAACGTTATCTGATCGAACAAAGATTGAGTACGTAGCGGTTTCTATGTTGATCGGCACATGCCTATTCCTTGTTAATATACATACTACTTAAAACAACATTTATTTAAAAGAGCAATCAACATTTATTTAACACACAAGTTTTTGCTCGTTCTTCTTGTGATGAGTCTGCGTTCCGAATGAGTGGTGGAATAAAACAAATGTGACTATTTAAAAGTGCTTATATTATTTCTATTTCTAAACTATTATATTCTATATTTCATTATTTATGATCCGCCAGTAAACAAATCCACAGTATTGACAGTTCTGGCGATCTTCAGAGCTGATATCCTGGAGTGAGGGTCTGATAGCCAGTCGTAGTTTCCAGTTCGGGAGGTCACCAGCTTGCCGAGGAGCCACCTCATCAGTTCCAACTTATCCACCAGCTTTCGTAGTTTCCTATAAACATATATATTTATAACCTATAATATAAGCTATTACTGTAAAATTTCATCAAAATCTGTTAAGTAGATTTTGCGTGAAAGAATAACAAACAACCAACCATACTCACAAACTTTCATTATTATTATTTCACCCGCGTGAAATTTATAGCCTATTCAGGGCTTCCCAAACTGTGCGTCGCGACGCCCCAGGGAGTCGCGGCGTTCACAGGGGCGTCGCGTGGCGATGCGATATTGCGACCGATTATATTACCATTTGCGACTTCGAACTTATGCGAATCGGGCTTTTCTGTAGTTGCAGTAATTAAGAACAAGTACAGGTCAAGCATAGACTTAGAAAAAGAAATGAGAGTAGCAATTTCTAAATTGGAGCCTCGGTTTCATAAGCTATGCTCTGAAAAGCAAGCTCACATTGACCAACCAGTTACATAAATATCTCTCTTTATATTTGTGCTTACGTTTTGATTTCGTTCTAATTTTGTAATAAAAATTATAAATGTTCAAATAGTGGTTTTTCTGTTAACCTATTAACTAGGCTAGTATTAAAATTGGGGCTGGGTTGAGGGGTGTCGCAAAAAAATACCAAAGTTCCAAAGGCGTCACAATACGAATAAATTGGGGGGAATGGGATTGTTAGTAATGTGGACTAATGAACCCATTGCTAGCAATGGACCATGTCACATCGACCTCCACGGGGTTCCACCTGGAAACCATCGTGATACATTCCCGGTGAATTTGTCACGTTGGGCTAACTGATCTGACTTCATGTTCGTCTTATCATCCTACACTGGTGCCTCGCCAGCGTAAACCGTTAGCGCAGGCGGGTGCACCATTCCATTATCATCCTTTAAAAAAAAATACGAATAAATTTGGGAAGCCCTGGCGTATATGTTATGATGTATAAGCTATATTATTGTAAAATTTCATAAAAATCTGTTCATAAGTTTTTGCGTGAAAGAGTAACAAACATCCATCCATACTCACAAACTGTAGCTTTCAATATATGTACTATATCACTATATGTCTAGAAATTGAATCACCACCACTCCAGAACCTATACCTTCACTTAGGCACTGCTAAACTTATCTGACTTACACATGCAAAGGTCCAGTCTCATCAACCTCCGTATCTTCGATGCTGTCACTCATATCCTTCATGAGCCCCAGCTCCTCGTCCCATTGAGCTCGCACCGCTGCCAACTGTTCTTCCTTCTCACTGAGAAGTGCATCCAGGTGACGGAGCTGTGACTCCCTCTGCTGATATGTCTTAATGGAGTCTAGTATCTTTCTGTAAAATAAAAAATAAGACTTTACTAATTTATTTATTTATTTATTCATTGTTTTTTATGGAATGGTGCACCCGCCTGCGTTAACGGTTTACGCTGGCAGGGCACCAATGGAGCATAATAAGATGAGCATGAGGTCAGGCCAGTTAGCACATCGTAACAAATTCACTAAGAATTTATCACGATGGTTTCCAAGGGAAACCGCATGGAGATCAATAGTCCACATTACTAATAATCCCCTTTCCCCCCATTCCATAGTGTTACAATAAAGGTTGACATATTATTATAAGAGCACTATGTACCCTGATGGGCCCAACAAGCTACAATGAGATACAGTGGCTTTAGTAGATTTAAATTATTTTGTATATTATTTTTCTGACCTATGTGTATATATGTTATACTAATTTTATCATTCATAAGTTTTATGAATGATAAATTTACACAATTTTTAATTTAAATAATTTTGTAAATATAATAATATTGCTGTCACAATACACTAATCTTTTTTATTTACTAAATTCTAGTATTTCATCACAATATTGATGACAAATTTTAATATTGACATAAATTTAAGAAATTAAGGACATTTATACTGTGCTGTTGATTCTTTTTATTATACAGTAATAATATTTGCATCCCTCCTAGGTCCAGTTGTATGCTTCCGAGACATAGACCTGGAAATCACATGTAAAATCCAAAACTGATGCTTTCAAGAGAAACCGCACGTAAAATCCGAAATGCTTTCGAGATGTGGTGTTGGTGCAAAATGTTAGGAATATCATAGACAGAGTGCTGCACTAATACATCTATTTTAGAACAACTGGGTATCAGAACCCGTCTCTGTACTGTGTGCTTCCAGCGTCTGTTAACTTTTTTGGGCCACTTGGCTCAGAAACCACATATTTGGAAATTGTATAATAGTAGGCTACGGGACTGAAGAAGGGGTTTTTTTTTAAGGATGATAATGAACGGTTGACCAACAATGAATGGTGGACCAACCTGCGCTAACGGTGTACACTGGCGAGGCACCAGTGGAGGATGATAAGACGAGCATGAGGTCAGGTCAGTTAGCCCATCGTGACAAATTCACCAAGAATTTATCACAATGGTTTCCAGGGGAACCGTTCTGGAGGTCACCCTGACATGGTACATTGCTAGTAATAGGATTATTAATCCACATTACTAACAATCCGCTTCCACCCCTGAAGAAGGGGTACAAACAGGACATATGCACGTTGGACTGATCCTGTTCAAGAGACTGTCAAATATACTATATTTCGGCAGTCCATTTAGCAAAACATAAAAATGCCTGGAGAGATTTGGTCCGAAGAACCATTCTTGGTGGTCACAACCCTCAGTCTTAAGGAATCGACAAAGAAGAAGACTAGGTCCAGTATGGTAGAATAGAAAACTATTTATTGGAAATAAACTTAATTTAAGCACTTTTGAATAATCATAACAAACTTTTTATCTACCTCTATTCGGAAAGCTATCATAACAAGAAGAAGCAAGAAACTTGTGTGTCGCTCTTTTAAATAATCCTTGTACATTCACATTTACAAGTTGAAACATGTGAATACAAACTAAGTGGTGTTCTAAATAGTATGTTATAAAAACTAATTTCTACCCATGTCTTTGCAAATAAAGTATTATTGATTTGAATTTTAAAAATAGGATAAAATAGAATATATATATTTATAAAATATAGATCCAGGCCAGTGCATCAACTAAAAATCTATTAAAAAATTAAACTCACTCCTTCCTCTCAATCAATTCTGGTTGTAAATCCTTATCGGATGCAGTTATTAAAGATTTAACTGCATGAGACTGTGTTAGGAACTTCACAATGTGCTGTTCCAGTACTTTGGTTGTTGCTGTATCACTAAAACTGTTTACAATGGTCTCCTCTGCTTTCTCTTGCTCCGTTATTTCTGGGGTCACTGTGAAAAAAAAGTAATATAAATATAAAACCTAATTTTATGTTACACATGCTCAAAATACAAGGCTCGGCTGAGCGTACACCTTAAAGAAAGTGCAGTTGATGGCTGGCTCATCCGTCATACTCGTGAGCGGGTGCTGCTTGTGGGGACTGGTCTGTTCAGGTTGCGAACACTGATTAGATTTTTTGATTTTTTTGATTTTTTTTTTTATATAGCTCGGCTGAGTGTACACCTTAAGGAACTAGGCTGCTAGATAGCAACCCCTCAAAACGCCAGAAAAGGACCTTCCATTGAATTTGGATAAGCAACACTCAAGTTAATTCCTGAATTTATGCCAGAGGGAGTCATTATATAAGAAGTCTTGGACTGCAGACTCTCATTGCCATTTGCCAACTAATCCGATTATAGTAAATACTGATCAGAGATATACCAGGCACAAAAGAAGTTTCTTTTTATAATATATTTGTACAATAATAAATCTCCTGGAGAACTCACGCAGCACCATCTAGTCCCTAGCTATCAAAACTTAAGTTATGGGTACTAGACAACTGATATAAATACTTAAATATTAAGAGCCCAGCCAGAACAATATAAACCATCATACTCATGAATACAAATGTTTACACTGTGCAAAAAATTGAACCCAGGACTACTGTACTGTGGTGTGCTAAACCACTAGATCTTTGGAGCAGTTTTTTAATTACATTGGGACCATATTAAATACAGTTGTATAAGGATAATCATAATAATAATAATAATAAACTCTTTATTGTGCACATAGAAGAAATATAATAAGAAAAAAAAAACAATAAATAGAAAATTATGAACAAAAGGCGGTCTTATCGGTCTTATATAAGCAATTTCTTACAGACAACCTGCAAGATAGGACTAACATACACAGAAGAGGTAGATGGCACACATAATACATAATCATAGCAGTTTTTATTGTCATAACTTTTTATAAAAAATGTTAATTGTAAATGTTAAGTATAAATTATGGTACACCGTTAGCGCAAACAGGTACACCGGGTATTTTAGGAATGATAATGTAATATTATCATTCCTAAAATAAACATAACACTAAAATCCGTGATACCGGTGTTGCTGTTCATCTCTACAGGCTACGGTTACCACTTACCACCAGCTTTGCCATTCCAATTACAAAAATATACTTACTAGACAGAGTATTAGCTCTCAACAGCCTCAATTTTGATGTGAACAGCGTTAGATCACGCATTTTCTTCGTGACAATGTCTTCTGGAGTTTCGCCGACATTGAATGTAAAAAAATCTTTAGAAGACTGCTGTAAGTCCGTTTCGAAGTTATTACAGACATCTCGTAATGTTTTGAATGCTGCCATTATGCAACTGTATTGGATTCACTTGAAGAGTTTGTTACAATATGCAATATAATAAAATAAACTGAACATAAAAACAATAACTTGAAACTTTACAGTTTGTTTTCAAACAAAACGTATTTGTGATGTTGGCAAACCTACGAACCAGTTGTCAGTCAGTTTATTTTTTATAAAATCTTTTATGGATCATGGATAGAAGTCTTTCAGCTGACTTTTCAAATGTTTGTTTGTTGTACAAACGGAATTTTATATTTGATGACGTTTGTCATATTTAATTAAACAATAAATGTGCCTAAAAGTTAATTATCAAAATATAATTATATATTATAAAACGAAAAATTTTATACCACATCCATCTCTTTTTTTTAAAATGACATGTTACATATAAACGGAATTGGAACCAAGTTTAACACATAAACTAGAAATTTTATAATACAAATGACAAAAATTAAAGTCAATAACAACTATCCGCAGCTGTAAAGCAGAATAAATAAAAAACGCCGAATTTGTACTGACAAATAGATTAAACATTGATACTTGTGGCTGTATGGGTACAGTTCTCTTTGCCTTTCCGTTAAAGAATAAACAGAGCCAAAAAAATTTACACTTGACAATATTTGACAGAAAATAGAAACATCAACAAAAAATGTTTGCAATCTAAACAATGTAATATTTAGTTGCGTAAAACATAAAAAAACAATATGAAACGGTTCTAATCTACTTAAAATTTATTCCTTCCTAACATATGTACTGAATAAGTGAAGAAAAACTCGCCTAAAATGTCCAACGACGATGATAATACTTGTCATATGTGTACATTGGCCACCGAAATGATCCTGTACATTTTCACGTATTTGCCTGCGAAAGACCTGACTAGATGTCGTCGAGTGTGCGTAAGATGGAAGCAAATAGTAGACAGTGTAATAAAACATGATATATTGTGGCGAGATTTTTGCAAAAATGATTTTAATTCTATTTATAAATCCGCTAGAGCCAAGTCGCGATATGGCCTTCGCTGGCAAAATATTTACCGATCACTATCTCTATGGCCTAGATTATTACAAGCCAAGGAAACCCGAGATGAGTTTGCGTCGGCGTCATGCCAAATGGATGAAATTTGGGGCTTTGCTATACTGAGAGACGGCATTATAGGCGTCCAAACTTTCCGCGGCATTTCTTATTACGATATAGACACATTGGAGCCCTGTGAAAGAGAATTCATGATAGGAGACTGCCTCAGATACAATGAAAATCACCATGCTGCTGTCGTTCTTGGGAGTCATGCACACTTATTGATTTGTCGTAGAATAAAGAAGAACCCATATTATGACGCTTCTATCGTTTTTAATAATGTGAAAACATTCATTCTGGTCGATAAGGAAGTCTATTTTGTCACTATGCAAGATGAGATTTTTGGCTGTGATCTTGATCAAAATGTATTAAGTAGTAAATTTATTAAAAGAATGGACGAAAGTGTTCTGACGTTTGGATATACGGACCGTTTACAAGTATTGACTATGCAACGTAACATATACAGTCTTGTCAACCAAAATTTAGTGTTAAGTTGCACTCTTGACGAAAATTGTAACTTATTACACCAATTTAAGGTGTACAATTTAATGGAGTACATGGACTGGCAGGTTTTTTTCCAATGGATGCATATGCTTAAGCAGAGATTTCCAGATTTTATTATAAACGATATAATAGTCATACGACAGTATGGAGACATATACTTTGTGGGCACAAACTGGGGTGTGCTACGTATTTACTATGCTCCGTACACATCCGGACAATTGGACATATTTCATACTCAACCGATGAAACAATACAATTTTATGGAACGAAGTGATTGTCCCGTGTTATCCTTGAGTCCTATACGTCAAGTTGACGTCCTCGAAACAAAAGATGGGCATACAGTTCTCGTTGCTATGCCGAAAAAGATAGCCGTGCTGAATTTCACTCACAGCTTTAAAAGGAATTCTTCAGTAGCTATGTTGCCATATTCCGATGTACAAAAAGTTAAATTGTTAAAAATTAATGATTCTGTCTAATATTGATGGCAGCTTGATTTTTTAGTACAAATCTATTAATTTCATCTAACATACTATGTTTAAAAATATTTAAAATATATGGTATTTCCATAAAATGGTGAATATCATTGACTACATCTATCTTATATATAAAATTTGTGTCACAATGTTAGTTACCATACTCCTCTGAAACCATTTGACCGAGTTTTATGAAATTTTATATGCATAGTCAGTACGTCTGAGAATCGACTACTATCTATTTTTCATAGCCCTACGTGATAAGAGTTGTCCATCCATAATATTTTTTATATATTTATATGGCGTTAAACAATACACACAAGCCTAAATTTCCACCCTTATACTAGATAAAGAAGCCTTTATTTCTGTACTATTATACATTTTTTTTTTCTACATTCCCTTACTACTATCAACACTTATTTTTAATAACGATATTAATACTTCAATTTATATGGCAAAACAATATTTGCTTGGTCAGCTAGTTTTTTTACATTACTCATATCATATCTTAGTAATCATGACTTTTTATAATAAAACAAAAAAGTAAACCATATTTCAAATTGAATACATTATTTGTACAACATAATTCAACTTTAAATAAAAGGATATTATTTTGATAATTAGCAAAAATCACGGAATATTTATTTTTATTGTATTCCCGACATTTTTGGAAATAAATAGAACGTGGTGAGATCCCGTGATTTTTCCTAATTGTACGTATAAATAATGACCGCGACAAACTTAAAACGGTATATTTTTATAATGTTTACTAAACTAAAATATATCAAATATTTTTTTCGGTCATTGCAAAGTAAAAGAACTCGTACAGTTTTGTCGTATCCGTCAGGCGGAGGGCCGTGCCTCTGCGCTCGTTCCTATCGTCTGGTGAAGCTGTAAAGGTCAGCTGCGACCGACAGCATTAGAATAGTCTAAAAAATTATCTTTATTTACTATTACATACAGTATACATATAGTATTTAAGAAATAACATAGTTTGTCTATGTATTGTTACATATTGAAAAGATATATTTAAATTATTAAAAGAAACAAATTGAGGTTTAATTACATATAAATTATATTATTATAATTAGTTGTTACTGTTCCTATTATATATTATGTTATCTGTGCTGTTACTTAAATGTGGTTAAGGTTATTTTTTTAATATTAGAAATACAATAAATCATCCGTTTATAAAACTTATGATTATTATTAAAGCAATTTGTGCTATGCTTTTTGCCTCTACGAATTTTAAAACAATTGCGAAGCGCATAATTATTTTGTATGTAATCAGGCTTACAATGTAACAAAATATTTTTTGTAATAAACTGTGTTATTGTCTTATTCGGCACGGCAAATTTGCAAGCATCTATTTACGTACAAGGAAGCAAGTGTGCATTAAATAAAACAAAATATAGAAACTGTGCAAGTTTTTCTTTTTTAGAACCAATAATTCAAATTCAAAATATCTTTATTCATGTAGATCTATTACAGACTCTTATGATATGTCAAATCTACCGTCAGTTCGGAATGGTTTCGAGATGAGAAGAACTGACGAGAAACACAGCTCGTATTCTTTTCAAATAAAAGTTGTACATGTTTACAATAATACAGATTCATTTTTAAATTCAAATTTGGGAGAATAGAGTGACCAGCATATTCTACTGCAAAAGCAAATAGTCTAATCAGTGTTCGTAGCCTGAACAAACCAGTCCCCACAAGCAGCATCCGTTCACGAGTATGACGGATACCAATAATTTATTCAGCCAGTCTCGGTGGTCTAGCGGTTTAGCACACCGCTTTACATCCGATGGTCGCGTGTTCGATTCCTCGCACGTTGCAAATATTTGTATTCATGAGTATGAATATGAATGTTTGTATCGGTCTGGACATTTTCTATGTATAATATGTATGTATTTACAAAAAAATATCTAAGTATTTATATCAGTTGTCTAGTACCCATAATGCAAGCTCCGCTTACCGTGGGACTAGATGGCGCTGTGTTAATTGTCCAGGTTTTTTATTTATTTATATCAGTTGTCTAGTACCCATAACACAAGTTCTGCTTACTGTGGGACTAGGTGGCGCTGTGTTAATTGTCCAGGGTTATTTATTTATTTATACCAGTTGTCTAATACCCATAACGCAAGCTCCGCTTACCGTGGTACTAGATGGCGCTGTGTTAACTGTCCAGGGTTATTTAATATTCATTATTATTCAGCTTATATAGCATAGAACAATGTGGATAATGTACAATAATTTAAAAACTAATATCGCGCTGTAAGCTGAAGGACTATAAGGGCCTCCACTCAGTTGGTGCTGCAGCGTGTCACTGCAGCACTAATTTTCATTACAGGTTTTTATATAGATCCAATTCTGTTTCAGTTCTGGTAAGGACAATTCAATCATTTATTATTAATGTTTATATAATTAAATATATTTATTTTTAATTACCAGTTACTGTGTGTGAGGTATGCAGTTCAAAAATTCTCTCACTTTAACAAATTTGTGTTACAAAAATAAATTAAATTGTATTTTTTTTTATTGGACTGGTATTGCTTATATGTATAAATGAATGAAATACAAATGTATGTAATAAATATAAGTACAAAACGATGCTATTTGCCAACAGATGGCGCTATGTGATATTTATAATAAAACTATCGAATGAATTGTTTATTATTTTAAATAACTAATTTGTATTATGAATAAATTATTGAAATCATGTTGCGATGGAAATTGAAAACATGGATTCTCTATCTCCGCATAAAATTTTTCTTATTTCAAATAAAAAAATACGATAAAAATTTATTTATATATATATTTATTTATTTATTTATTTATATTTGCACATGCGTATACATAAATTTACATAAGATAAATTACCAATACACATGGACTCTGTTTAAAGAGTATGGCAATTTCGTAGATGACTCATTCCAATAATAAAATTTAAAATTTAGATCTGTTGTAGTGTCCAGTTAGCTCCTATAGTACGTCTGTTAAAAATTATTTTACTGTATAGTAAGCTTTGTCGGTCAGTAGTTGTTTAAGCCTTTTTTTAAATAAATTAATTTTATCTTCTTGTTTTATGGTTTCCGGGATTTTATTATATATTACAATGGATCGGTAATACGGACTCGCCCTAAACATTTCTATTTTAGGTTCTGGTAGGGCCAGTTGGCTTTTTAATCTATTATTACATTTAAAATTAAAATATGATAAATGCTCATGAACAAATACAGCTATCTCCAATATATAAATAGACGGTAAAGTTATATACTAAATAATAATACATATTTTAATAAAATATGTATAGTTACGCCACTGTAGGGACTAATATGTGATTTGACGGCCTCAATGTTCTAGCTGTTTAGCACACCGCTTTATTTCCGATGGTCGAGGGTTCGATTCCTCACACGATGCAAACATTTGTATTCATGAGTACGATTGTAACAGTCTGGATGTTTTCTATGTATGTTATATATGTATTCATAAAAAGAAATATCTAAGTATTTATCAGTTGTGTAGTACCCATAACACAAGCTCTGTTTACCGTGGGTCTAGATGGCGCTGTGTTAATTGTTCAGGGTTATTTATTTATCTGATGCCTCTTGTACTGTAATTTCACTGCTTTATCTTATGCTTCAACTAAAACACAGCTTAGAAACAAGCTGTATCTGTGTAATCGAGTCAAATGCAAATTCAAAAATCATTTATTCATGTAGGACATTTTAGCCGCTTATGAACGTAAAATTTTTTATATTATAATTTTTTCCCTACCGTCCAGTTCAGTATATAGATCCAAGGGAGAAGTACTGACGAGAAAATCAATGGTCTCTAACTCAAAAACTACCGTGTGAAACAGCGTTTGTTCTTTTATGTCCATTGCCAATATTCCTACTACTGCTGTAAGTGTTTACATCCCTCTGAAATAAGAATTGAAATAAAAACCAGAAGATTTCGTATATTCTTTTTTACGTAAACCTCAGCACTTGCTTCTTTGTATACATATATAACTGTCATAATTTTCACATTATCTATTTATTTATGAATGGGATCATTAATGCCCAATTCTCCATCACTGAGCGACGGAGAAGAATGATGCAACACTACTTCGTTAGGAAGCGGAGTGGCATATTTGCCAGTAATTTCATCATCAAACGAATATACTTCTAATGAATGATTAGATTCGTCTACATCTAAATTTGTACTATACTCAGATTTGATATATTTACTTTTAGTTTTGTTACTAAATTGTGAACATTTAGTGCTTGATGTTACTGATCTATAATTGCTTCTTGCTATATCTTGCTCATTTAATTGCTTCTTAGTCAATTTGGTACTAAGTGATATAACTTTTCTTCTTTTAAACATACATTCTTTATTGAAGCCTGAATCAGTTTTCTTAATACTATCTTTATTAAAGCGTATTGATTTTTGACATTTGCGTTTATTCCTCGCTATCAAATGTAATGCTTGATACAAGTTCTGTGGGTCTTCATAAGAATCTGCGTCCAACTTTAGTTCCTGTTTAAACATGTTCAATAATGTTTGCTTATTATTTTTTCTAGAAAACGACGATCTCTTATCCATTACAGTGCTTTTCGATTTCAAGTCTGTTAATCTATTTTCGTTGTAAAAGAACGATTGAGTTTTCAGTTTGCTATTGCCACGCCTCTGTGATTTTGGTAGTAACTGCTGGTTCACTGAATCTGGCACGTTTTCAGGTTGTTCAACTAGATCATTGAAATCTGATTCAGTCGTGCAGTAGTAACGTTTAGAAGGCTTCTCTATAATTTTAGCAGACATGGATGAAGCGTCATAATCTTTTACGTTAAGTATTTCAGCTACTGATTCATCTATTTCAAAAACTGCTGCCGAACGCTCTTCACTTGGTAGATTTGTAGTGGTATTATTTTCTGCTTCAACGTTATACGTATTAAAGGTCGTTTGCAACAAATCTACAAAAAAATTATATAAACCCTTATCGTCCTTAGTGTTTTCCACTAAAGTAGCTGTAGTAGTATCAATCCTAACTTTCTTGTCATCTTTCATTTTGTAATCTGCAATTTGTTCTTTTAGTCCTTTATTATTAAAAACATTATTTAGCTCATTGATTAATTTGGCATTGTCAACAATATTATTTTCGGGAAACGGCGATGAATCTGTGCATTTAAATAATCCACATTCGGAGTAAATCGACGGTGTTTGTATTATATCTTTTCGAGGTTGCAAAACAACCAATTTATCCTCATCAATAGATTTATTAACTTGTGCATTAAGTGTATTTGATTTATATTTTCCTTCAGTACCTACTGATTTATCTTCATATTTTACTGTGTCTTTATCGATAACTTTTCTTTTACCTTTAATATTAATTTTGTTTCTCTTTTTAATATTTCCTATATTATGATCTTCCTCGGGATATTGGGTGGCTGCTGTTGTTTTTGATAGTATAGTTAATACAGATTTTAGAAATTGTTTACGGTCGGCTCGTCGTTGAAATTGCGGTTTTATAGCCTTTCGTTCTTCTAAGTCAGTCCCTGAAAAATATAATTGTATTTATTTCTCTACTCAACAGAGCAGTTTTAAATTCATTCAACAAGGAATTTATCCTACATAAATTCAATTGAAGTTACAAGGCATTGAATTTACATACTTAGCCCTCACAAATGTCAATGCATGTATTTGTAAATATCAAGGACCTGGGGGGAAATGGGATTGTTAGTAATGTGGACTGATGATCCTATTGCTAGCAATGTACCGTGTCAGGCTAACCTCCACGCGGTTCTCCCTGGAAACCGTCTTGATAAATCTTGGTGAATTTATCACGATGGGCTAACTGACCTGACCTCATGCTCATCTTATCATCCTCCACTCCAGCGTAAACCGTTAGCGCAGGCGGGTGCACCATTCCATTATCATTTACAAAAAAAAAGTATCGAGACCAAAAATGTGAGCTAACGGACTGTAGTATAACTTTATTGCTGTAATTATGGTAATAGGGTTTTTAGGAAGAAATAGTGTCGGCAGTGTTGCCACTTCCATCAGGGTTTTCATTAGCCAGTTTCACCATCAACTTACCCCCCATTTCATTAACAAAAAACATTGCATTACCTTTGCTGTGTATTCTCGTTGTTGTTGGTTTCTTCTCCACATACATCCCTCTCTTCTTGAGATTGTTCTTCTGAAATTCTACATTGCTTCTACTCTTCTTGTCGGTTCTATTTCCAGATTTTGTTCTTATAGCAGTGTTAGATGACTTAGATTTGATGACGCGACAGTTTGAATCCATTCTCATAATTATTTTCAATTTTAACTTTCTCCAGAAACGCTATCAAACGATTTATAAATATTAGTTCTAAAGTTGATTGTATCTATGTAACAATAATAACAATTCACCAAGTTAAGCTAGCTAAAGCTTGTGTTATGGGTACTAGATAGCTGATACATATACATAGATTTTTTTTGTAAATACATACAATACATATTATACATAGAAAACACCCAGACCGATACAAACAATCATACTCATGAATACAAATGTTTGTGCCGTGCGAGGAATCGAACCCGCGACCATCGGTTGTAAAGCGGTGTGCTAGACCGCTAGACCACCGAGGTCGTCAAACAAGGATGTTAAAATTTTATAAATCTTTTCCAAAGGCTTCTAAAGATTTCTAACTATTGGTTCTAAAGTGTTCTAAAGTTTTTCATCCATTTAAGAATGTCAAAATTTTAACATTCTCAAAAGCTATCATAAGGTTTATGAACATTAGTTCTGAAGTCGTTTATCTTTCAAACAAAAATAACAAGTAAGCTCACAGACGATGCATTAGGGATAGTTGTTCAAAATCTACCCTGTATCATCGTAAGCACAGATATTATATTATATTAGAGTCCGTTAGTTTTCTGTTCCCGCGCGTTCCCTTCCCCTCCCTAACTAGTAACAAACGGACTGTACAGCGGCCTTGACGCGCGCGCGCATTGTGTTGTGAATTAAAATAAATTAGAACTGTGTTAACCTACTGTGATGGAAAGCTGAACTAGAACCCTAGATTAGAAATACATAAATGATTGACACTATTATTCAAATGAACTAGAATAGATTAGAAATAATCTTTATTCAAATGAACTTAATAACACTTTGGAATAGTCATATATTTTTATTCTACCTCTCATTCGGAACGCTGGAACTCATCACATGAAGAATGAGGATGAACGAACTAATTACGCCATCGCGAACAATATACCAAGTTAAGCTACTCCACTCGTTTCTTTTGGAAACAATCGTGAAAAATTCCTAGTGAATTTATCATGATGAGCTGACCTGACCTCACATTCTTCTTATCCTCCACTGGTGCCCTGCTAGCGTAAAGCGCAGACTGGTGCACCATTACATTGTCTTCAATTAAAATATATTTACATAGAATGTTTGTATCTATGTAACAATAATAATAATAATTCACCAAGTTAAGCTAGCTAAAGCTTGTGTTATGGGTACTAGATAGCTGATACATATACATAGATTTTTTTTGTAAATACATACAATACATATTATACATAGAAAACAGCCAGACCAATACAAACAATGATACTCATGAATACAAATGTTCGTACAGTGCGAGAAATCAAACCAGCGATCATTGGAAGTTAGGCAGTGTGATAAAATGCTAAACCACCTAGGTATATCTTACCTCCAAATGAAATATATAATTTAACATATACGCTTATTTATAGGTGTATGCATTGATATTCTCGGATATTTTCTCAAGACTGAGATATAATAAATCATATTTCCAGAGCAAAGTTGTCTATAACACGAAACATTATGTAATCAATTCATTGTATAATAGTTTGAGTTATTAATTTTAATATATTATTATATTTCTACTACATTTTTCAATATTACGTCATGTACGTTATTTTTTTTATTTTATTATGGCTTGACACAAAGACACCAAAGACAAGTTTGGGAAACAGGAAGAGGGAGTTTGTATAGAAATGAAATTTAATGTAATGACTGATAATTATTATTATATTAGGATAACAAAGCAGGAATACTGGTAGGTAGGAGAATCCGATGTGATAGGAGGTAATTATAAAGTGTGAATTTTTTTCTTCTTTTTAATGGTTTTTTTTTGTATATGATAATGGAATGGTGCACCCGCCTGCGCTAACGGTTTACATTGGCGTGGCACCAGTGGAGGATGATAAGATGAACATGAGGTCAGGTCAGTTAGTCCATCGTGACAAATTCACAAAGAATTTATCACGATGGCTTCGCACCAGTGGACAATAGGATGAACATGAGGTCGCGCGGTTTAGTCATCGGATGTCGACACGATGGCTTCCAGGGACAACCGCGCGGATGTCGACCTAACATGTTTAGCGTCTATATTGTTACCGCTATTATTTATGTTTATGTTGTGTTCTTGTAGCAGCAGCGGGAAAGAAGGAGGTAAAATGATGAGTCCAGATTGTTGCTATGTACATATTTATAATTACGAAATATTTACAATGAATATATAGGTATGTACAAGAAAGTGATTCGGTCTCGAATGACAGGCCTGTTATTTTATTCTTCTGTCCTGTTATTTTATTCTTCATGTCGGTTTGGCAACAATTTTAGAAGAGCAACGGTTAGTTGAGAGTATTTTTGTGATTTAATACGTTTTATAAGACTAAGAGAATTAAACTAAATTAGGGTCTAAAAATACTTCTAAAAAACGAAAATCTCGCAGTTTTTATTTGTCCTTTGACAATGGCAACGGAATAACGGTAAGTAATAATCGTCGGGATTTAACAAATAAAACCTTTTGAATCGTCCAAATAGAACCTAATAAAAATCAGGTTGGCACTAACCTGTCACTAAAAACAGACATCTCGATTTCGGAATAAGTATATAAATTAAATTTTAAGTTCTATAATGAACTCGATTTCCAGATAATTTAAATTTTAAGTGCTAAAACAATGAATAAGAAAACAAGAAAACCTGATCTGAACGATAGGAAACTCGATAAAACAGTTAAGGACAGAGGTGATAATCAACTTAAACAGGACAATCCTATGTTTAGTGATGAAACCGCAAAACCCTTTTCCGAGAGAGGTGATGCAGAAAAAATAAAGAACGATGGTAATAAACTAGTGGATATTAAAAAAATTGATAAAGGAAAGCAGATGCATGCCAGTATTAATGATAAAAATACACATGATAAAAAACTAGATGATACTAGTTCAAAATTCAAACAACGCCACCTAAATCAAACTGCAAATGAAAAGGATGTTAAGAAAATCGATAATAGAGTACAATATCAGTTGCAATCGGGATTTAATGATAAAAATAAAATATACGATACGAAACAAGACGAAACTAGATCAAAATATAACGGACGCAATGTAAATCTTAAAACTGTTAATGAAAGAGGTGTTATGAAGAAAACTGTTAATAAAGAACAAAATCAGATGAGTCCAGTTGCTGAAGAAAGGCGAATTATTAAAGATAATTATTCTTTTAATAATAATAATAGAACAACAAATAATTCAAATATGAATAACAAAAACGATGTAACTAAATCCAATATTGGGAGACAGGCGAATAGTGAATTAAAAAATGGTAAGACAATATATTGGTTTTTTATGCAACTTTAAACTAAAACTGTTGAAAATGAACATCTGTAACAGTCGCATACTTTTAACCGTTATAAGTATCATGAACATGTTGATACCAGATTTATAAGTTGATATCAGATATGTTGATGCTAAACTATCGAGATAAGTGAGATGTTACCTACATATATGTAATTGTTTGTATGTTAAGGGTTATACAAATCTAAAGCTGTAAATCTACTTAATAAAAAAAAGACACATTCTAACAACTTCACTAGCATTAATTATCTTCAATTACTTTACTTTACAGATCAAACTTCAAAAAAAATTTACGACCATAAAGACAAGAATGACGCGTCAGACGTTTCTAGAAGATCCGAAAGTATTAAGCAAGACAAAGATGCAACTAAACAAAAAAGACCAATAGTAAAGACGACAATATCAAAAAATGACGCAACAAAAGTATACAAAGCGGTTACGTTCACAGATCAGAGAAAACAGAAATCTATGGCAATACAAATAAACATTCCTAATGAAGTACAGAAACCTAAGAATATGGTGGAACCAATGAAAACATCATTAAGCCGAGTGAGTATAAAAGAGAAATCATCACGGAGGAAGACAAGTCACAAAAAGAGGGAGAAGAAATTAAAACACTCGAATTCTCCGGACCTTTCTTCGAGAATTCGATCACCACCTACTGGAGTAGCCAAATGGGCACCTAGCTGTATTAATAGTCACACTAAACAATATTATGAAGCGTGGGTAGATACAACTTTAGCAGCTATAACTAAACAATCAAGGAGAGATAAATTGTTTTTGGAAAATAAACGTTTCATTGAGGCGCTTCAAAGAGCGTTGGCTGAACGGCCCATTAGTCCTGATTTGGATTACGAAAATCTCAACGATGAGAGGTATATAGGAAGAATTAAAGTTAGGCAGAGATAGCGAATAAAGTAATTTTAGACTTTATTATTTTATTGAATAATAATAATTAATACCCACGGACAATTACCACAACTTCATCTAGTACTAATGTAAGCAGAGCTTGTTTTGGGTACATTGAAGGCCGATTCAATCATACCCATGAATACAAATATTTGTAATGTGCGAGGAAACGAGCCTGCGACTATCGGAGAGTGGGGCAGTGTGCTGCTGGACTTAACCGTTATATTATATCTATATTGCTTTTTTAACAAAAAGCCACAATAATTAGCAACTAATTGGACAAAATGTATGTTAATATGTAGGTTGTTGGCGTATGATTAGGGGCTGTATTTATATGCAGGTTTTGTTGTATATAAGTAGTTTATTCTAATAAAAGTAAATGTCAGACATACATATATAGAAGAGTATATAATAATTAGGAATCAGAAGTACAACAGTTTATATGAATGTCTGCAGAAGAAACCATTTTGTAGTTAGTTTTCCCGCGCAAACGCAGTGCGCCACAGATGCACAAATCTTACTCGGTGCGCAGATGCAGTAGGATGACGAGCGCGTCATGGCAGTATGCGCGATGTTAATACTATGAGTATTAACAAGGTACATATATTGTAAAACTGTTGGTCGGACGGAGGACGGGTTTAGCTTTTGCCCCGTCTCGAAAACATGAAGATCCGAGGCTGTTCCAACCTGGTAGTAAGTGTTGATTAACTATATACATGGATAGCACTACGAACATCACTTTATCCTGTGTCCCATGCATTACTCACCCGTAAAACTAAGATGTCACACCTATTATCCTGTAATTTCACATCCTAATATGCACCCTACAACCGAAACAGCTTACAAAGCAAGCTGAATCGGTTGAGACTGCTCAGACGAGTTTTTACAAAATCTACTACAACCTTATTTCCATTGTAGTTGAGGCGGTCTTATATTTAAATATTCGAAATTTAAAATCAATAACATTAATAATTTCTGAAATAGGTGACGATAAATTTAGTGGTGAACAAATTCGCACCGTGAGGCTTACTATATAAAGTTCAAATTTGAACATTCAAACGATATTGGTATCATACAAATAAAAGTAGTAAACCATGTAAATTATTCTAAATTTGAAATCGTCAGCGTTTTTGGTAGTTTTTGAAATATGTGATGATTGGCTGATGAACAAATTTACACCTTTCAACATTCAAGTGATACTGGAACCATACAAATAAGTCGTAGCCTTATTTTAAATTATTCTAAATTTAAAATCACCAGAATCTTTAGTGGTTTCTGAAATATGTGACGATAAATTGCCTGATGAACAAATTCGCACCGTAATACTTAAGATTTATAGTTGAAATTTGAACATTCAAATCATACAAAATAAAAGTCGTAAAGTTATAGAAAATTGGCCTTCATTGTGATTACAACAAAATCAACTTTTATACAATCATGTCCTTAAATCTACATGTCTAAATTAAATGATTTGTTGATATAATTTTTAATTGAAATATTTCGCACACAGTCCTCATTTATAAAAGGGACCTTACCGTGTTACACATATAGTAGAAAATGATTTATCATCTATTTATAATAAAAGGCTAAGTCAAATTTATTTCTGTTAGCACACAAAACAGCTTTTTGTATAGAAGCCCTACAATTATATGTAAATATACAGAAATAAACTTATTTTCTATCTGTCAGTAGAGTCTATTATTTATTATTAATTTTATATACAGTAAGACCCCGCTTCCGGACTGAGATGATGATGATGATGATGATGAAGACCCCGCTAAACGCTGTTTCTTTTAGCCCTGTTTCGGTTTAGGGCTCCTTTATTTCAAACCGGCTATCCTCGAAAATGTACACAGCGCTAGGTTTCCAAATATGTACATATCGGAAAGACATAAAAAAAAATATTAACTTTAACATCTAACAATTTTTCTATCAATCTTCCCCTAACCTCGTTTCGATAGTCTCGTTTAACTGTACTTTAATGCAAGGGGTCTTACTGTAATTAATATGAATAAAAATGGTAAAGCTATTGATGTCCAATCAATAAAAAAAACCAAGGTTTCCACCCTTAAAGAACTCAACATTAGAGAGTCAAATTCTCAAATATTTTGGTCTCATTAGACGACACGAAAATTGTATGGAGCGACTGATTAATAACAATAATAATCATTTTTCAGAACAGCATACTACAGAGTAAAAATATAGAAAAACCTAAAACCAAACATAGTATCGACGCCTAAAATGGAAAAATGGTTGGCAACACTGAACGAGTGTTGTCTTTCTTCTGCATCTATTGTCATGGCTCTCTGTATAAAACTCATTATGAACAATAAACGACTTTAAATTTGTAATTCTTTATTTAAATCAAGTAATGATCGCATTGATCATATAGCGTTGAGCTTAAAGATCCTCCACTCAGCTGGTGCCGTAGCATGTCACTGCAGCGCTCTAACAATCCGCTTCCCTCCTCTGTCCAATGTTCTAAGGTTCCAGACTATACTAGACAGAGACTAAGACCAAAATAAAGCGTTGAAAAACTCGAAAAAAAAAAAAGAATAAGGTTCAGTTCAGCAAACATTCTCGGTCGATCACCTCGATGGACTGACCGTATCAAAACGGCTACACACCACTCCATTGGACGATGTTCTCGTACTGAAATTGAAAAATCAGATGGAGACAAATTTGAACTCTATCACCAAGGAGGATTAAGAAGAGAGTCCATTGACACCATCAGGGAAACCACCACCACTCTGTCGAGAGGGTTGTAGACAAATTAAAACTCTATTGTCACGGAGAATAATAAACAGAATCCACTGATACCATCAGGAAACCACCACCACTATCGAGGGTGTACGACTAAAGAATTGAAATCGTATAATGCCTTTGCATAACATTGTACGCCCTACGCCTTTACGCAGAACAGTTTTGTTTGGTTTGGCAAAATTGCAATAGCACATGCTGGTGGATCCTCTATTTTTTTTCGGACTACTCTATGCTATTTGCCGCAGCCGTCGGAAATAGCATCATCGGATGATAGGCGGCGTGTGCAGATGGCACTGCAAACCCAACGGAAGAACTTATGGAGCGACTGAAGGCCAACTTCCACCTGACTTTAGTCTGAAGGCATCGCTAGAGGTTTAAACCTTGGCTCAAGCCCTCTTAATTTCGATGGCCGTTTAAATTGGAAGGCGGATCGATGCGAGGGGACACTCTATTCTCCGAAATATGAATTTAAAAATTAATCTTATTTTTGTAAACATGTACAAGCTTGAAAAGAATAACAGCCGAGTCATTTGTCAGTTCTCAGCTCAAATCTGTAGATGTGACATATCATATGTCTGTAATAGACCTACATGAATATTTCGTTTATAGTCCGAAATGTGTCTTAGTTGATATGAATAAAGACATTATATATCTAAATCTATAGCTACTTTAGTAGTTTCTAAATACGAGTCTAAACTGTATAAAAAAGATATAAAAAGGTGTGTTACATTTATCGTGAAATTCTTTTAAAAAGATACATTATTATAAATGAATAATGTCGAAACATCAATGTCAAAATGGAAATTAATATACAGAAATAATATTTCTAGACTTATCCTATCTAATCTTAAATGTATGAATATAAACTACTGTCATATGACAGTGAAATATGCTTAGAATGTAAGAACTTCGTTAATTCTGACACGAAGCACACGATGTTCAAACAAACGTGGAACGATCCGTAGAAAACGACATCAAACATTCTGATTCAAATAAATCGGGGATACACGAGTGACTTGGACCTCAACTCAAAGACCCAAAACAACGACATGGCACGTAGAGCCTTCTAATATGGACCTAATTCTAAACGCATTACAATACTCCACCACAGAAATGTATTGTAGAATGCAAGTGGGACAGAATAGTACAGACCAGCCATAAACACCGCATTCCTGAGAAGATACAAACCCCCCAACTTGAAAATACTCTATTGTAAATATTCAGTTGTTTAAGTGTCATGGTTCACTGTCACCACACGTGACTTATTCTCTCCCACTTACGACTGAGACTATTCAGTCACAGGACCTGGAAATACCACAACGGACCAAGACCTGTAAATGCCATCACTACTCATGAAACCTGGAAATACCATCAAGTATCAAGAGACCTGGAAGTACGATCAAGTCTTAAGAGACCTGGAAAAACCATCAAATCTCGAGAGACCTGGAAATACCACTAAGTCTCAGGACCTGAAAAATCATCAAGTCTCAAGGCCCTCTAAATAACATTACGTCTCAAAATTCTAGTAAGAACAAAGTATCAGGACCTGAAAATAACATCGAGACTCAAGATCTGGAAATACAATGAGCCACGGGACCAGGAAAACCCAGTCTACCATAAAAAAAACTTTTTTTTAAAGACATGGTGCGCCCACATTCCCTCCCCTCCCCGCTCCTCACTTTTCATTCATTACACACATGTATAAATATAAAAAAAACAGTACTTGAGTACCGAAAATAAAAAAAATCCTAACATTCCAGAAATCATAAGAATAATAATGAAAATATCCAATGTCACAATATTTAACGTCATTTGTCATCTTAATTCTATAACTTTATACATTTTCATGGTATAAAAAAAAAATCAAAACAACGCCTAAATTAAATAACCTAATGGTGGTACAAAAATCCTAACTTTACCAACAATAAAAAAAAATATAAAAAAACTACGCTTAGTTCTATCATGTGGTAAGACCACATGATACGTCTAAAAAAAGGGTATCACCAAACCACCCATATTATTTATATATTATTCCCCATATCCTAATCCCTTTCCCGCGCACAGTATGTCAACTGAGGTCGCCCCACGACCACGTCTACTAACGTGAATGGTGACATCTCGTCCCGACCGCTCCGCTTTAAATTAATTAATATAATATTGACATTAACAATAAGTAACTTTGTGTGCGTGCCTGTGTTAAACTTAGTATTCATCGAGTGCAGCAGCTGTGCAAGAATACACCCGCTCTACAGTCGCTCGTACGTACTGTGCATCCCCTTTATTTCATTCCATACAGTCCACTTATCTTATCCGCTATCCCCAATTTCTAGAAGTACACTATTATTTCAATAACAGTCTTTGACAATTTGCACCCTCGAATAGAGCTCTAGTTTCAACACAATATTAAGTAGATAATGCACCTTAATGATATACAACATAAGGTTCTTTTCTTTTTGATACTACTGTCACGTCCGGTATTTCGAGAGTAGTGGGGGTACAAGATGGCGGCCTATGAACAGTGATTCGTACAAAAAAAGGCATTATATGAGCAGCCCGCGAACGGAACGAAAGAATTGCGCGCTTATGTTTAAAACTAGCCACACCAATCAATTCTTTTGGCTTGGTTATACCCTTTAGTAAATCTTGAATTACATAAAAACAAATTCTAACAGTAATTTAGTCACTTAAATAAACTAAAATTATGTTTTTTGTATCATATTGTATGTATTTATGTATAAGCTACTTCCACAATTTCTTTTAGTCATTCAAAGGCTTCTATATCCACGACTCCACAATTCCTTTCCAAGGTTACTTCCATTCAATGATCGACTGGAAGAAATCCCTCATTTGGGATAAGTCCGTCATTATCTCCTTAAAGACCGCATGCCAACCGGTGGGTCACTCCGCAAGGAAAGTAAATTTACACGTTGGAACTGGGTGATCATTCGTGGGCACTTTAATTGAAATAAATCTATGTATTAAATAATGTCTACCTCAAATTATTGTACACTAAAAACATAATATACGTAATTAACAATAAATAATATGCCGGACCCTATGTAAGAAATAAGATTTTTCGATGGGGACTTCAGCATCATAAATATGAAATTCTTATTTATCCCATTTATTGGTGGTTGGCGTAATGTTTTGTTTTGTTCATCCCCGATGGCAGTCATCTCGTTATTGAGAGGGAGTGCCTCTCTTGCCATGTCATCTTTCACACAATCCATTTCTTTTTCGGTCTTCCTCTGCCCTTAACGTAGTACACGTAATTAACAAAAAAAAAAATGCCGGTCTCTATGTGAGAAATAAGTTTTCAAATTCGGTCTTCAACATGTTAAACAACTTATATCTTAAGATCACTATCTTCTCTTATTTTAAACGTTATTACTGTACAATAAAGTGTTACAAGCCAAGGTTTTCTTGGTTTGTGACACTTTATTGTACAAGTATAGTATAGTAAGTATAGTACAGTTTACTTTTAAGTAATCTTACATTGCTATTAACATGTTGAACACCACATTGAAAAATCTTCTATCTCACATAGGGACCGGTATGTTTTGTTGTTACGTATATTATTTTTTAATGTTTTTAGTGTACAATAATTTGAGGTAGATATTATTTAACCTCTAGATTTATTTCAATTAAAGTGGCCACGGGTCGCAACGTGTAAATTTACTTTCGTAGCGAAGTGACCCACCGGTGGGCATGCGGTCGTTAACGTGTTAAACGTCTTTTTATAGATAACTCTTACTTAAAAAGTAAATCTACAGTAACTGTAATAGTTATTTTAAAACACTGTTAAGTTACAGTTAACCCTTCATAGCGGATATAAGGTCTGGCACTTCGATGATATACAACCCTGGCTCTTGTTTGATGCAACGAGCGACTCGTAACACGCCGCGCCCTTCGTCGTTGATTTTCATGTATTCCACAGCCCGTGCTAGCATCTCCGTTGTGGGTTCTTTAGGGAAATCTGTGGATATAAACTCTTATGGGTTACGCAATTTATTTTTATGTAGTTATTGCGCTGGTCTGTTAGATTGCAGCCAAAATTTCAATAAAAAAATCTTTATTCAAATAAACTTAATATAAACACTTGTGAATAGCCACATTTCTATAACTCATTCAGAATTCAGACTCATCACAAAGAAATGAGCAAGAAGCTTGCGTGTTGCCCTTTTGAATAAATATTGTTTTAAGTAAATATACATTAATAAGGATTAGGCATGCGACAATCAACATAAAGAATATACATAATATAATAATAATATTCTTACACAATTCACACAGGGCTATCTAGTCCCAAGTTAAGCAAAGCTTGTATTGTGTACTAGATAACTGATATAGACACATAGAATTTTTGTGAAATACATACATAATATACATAGAAAACACCCCGACCGATACAAACAATCATACTCATATAAATGTTTGTATAATACCATAATCGAACCCGAGACCATCGCAAGTAAAGCGGCGTGCTAAACCACTAGACCACCGAGGCCGTCGAACATAGAAAACGTGGTGATACCTTTGATCTCGAGTTGAGAAGCTACGGCCGGATGACCGCGCACGAACTCCGGCAGCATCTTGCGAAGTGAAGAGATTGCCACCGAGCCCACGTTGCCGTAGTCTACATAGCACACCTCAGCTTCCGGCTGGCCGGGTGTCTGCTCAAGCAGCACCGCGCGGAACCACTGTGGATCTGATTATATATAACTCATCAACACGTGCATTATAATCTTAATAATATTATAAACGCGCAAGATTGTAAGTATGGATGTTTGTTACTCTTTCACGCAAAAACTACTGAACTGATTTTGATGAAACTTTCCAGTAATATAGCTTATGCATCAGAATAACACATTTGGCTATATTTTTTAATTGAAAATTAACGCGATTGAAAACCGCGGGCAAAGCTAGTTGGTACATAATTCTTGGTCCCTTGAGATCTCAATCAACCAGATTTGACTGTATTTAGTATATAATACATTATGTATAATAGTTACTTACAAGGTGGAAACTTAGCGATGCACAGTTCTTCGTGTTTGGGCAAATATGGCATTTTCCCCAGTTCACTGTCACAGTACTCGGCCATCTGAAAAGTGAGCAAAACAATCTCAATTATGTATGCTGAACGTCATCTCACCAGCATCAGCTCAGCACAATAGTCCTTCAGCTTGTCTATGAACTCGACGGCAGGTTTGTTTTTTTTCGGTATGTTAGTCTATAAGGTCTTTTATAATATGGGCCTAGTTTCTTGAAACAAATAAATAATATTAATAATTACCCTTTCGGTGAGTTTGTCGAAGTCTGCATGTTTGACGTTGAGTTGGCAGCCCGACACGGTACCGCTCTGCAGCGTGCTGATGTCCAGGACCTCCACCTCACAGTTCCTCGCCGGCAGCTCCAGGTACTCCAGGTCAGTGTACATCACCGGCTCAGTATCTACAGTAATTATAATTAAAATCTTTATATATAAAAATTACGTGTCTCGTTGTTTGTCCGCGATGGACTCCCTAAGTTCCTCCCGTTTACATAGGAGGAAGCTCCTCTGAAACCGCACTGTCCAAGATCACTTAGGTTTTAGCGTGTGGAGATAACTTCCCTATGGATGGCGAGTGGTGCGATGGTAAATCTTGTCACTTACCAACGACATCACCGCCTTTCTCCTCAAACTTCTTCCAGTCAGGTGTGCACAGCTCCTCCAGTCTCCTGTCCACCGACTGGTTGTTCTTCATCACCATTAGGTTCACCGCACTGCCGCTCGGTGCTGTCTTTTCACCAGTCGGTATTGTCTAAAATATTTTTAATATAATAATCAATCAGGATTATTTTTTACTAGATCAATAAAATGGGCACTAGTGAAATATTGCACCATTAGTTAGGGATCGCTAATTCCTACAATTTTTCATCTACACTAATAATATTATAAAGAGAAAACATTTGTATTTTTATGTGTATGTATGTTTGTAATGAATAAACGTAAAAACTACTTTGCCGATTTCAAAAATTCTTTCACCATTAGAAAGGTACATTCACCCTGAGTAACATAGGCTATATTTAATACTAGAAAAGATTAGGGATACTTACTAAAACTTTAGTAAGTCAAGGTGTAAAAAAAATGCTATAAAATATCTTTCGGCGCGTGCACTGCGGAAACTATTGGTAATAGAACAAAAGTATGTTCTACAATATTGAAGAACATATCAACAACTACAAAAAACTTAGTGATACTACGTGTCCTACTATTACCGTTGTCACAATAACAACTTTTTAAATTTTAAAAGTTGATAGAAATTCCGACCTACATTACACCATGATATATGTTTAAATACTACATATATATGTTTATATACATACTTCTGTTTAAATCCTTATCTAAATAAATCATATTATTTTCAAAACTGTTTCAATTTATGTATTGTTATTTGAATTGTTCAAATCGGCTATTCCATTCAATAGCTATTACGAATATAATGAGTCATTGAAATAGAAAAATAATATTTAAAAGAAATGTAAAATGTCGGAAAAATGTCCATCCGTGCGAAGCAGGGACGGGGCCACTAGTTAAAGAATAAAGCCACAACATAACATAGCCACTTGCAGCCATCTTCTCCTAATAATTTCTAGACTTCTACTACCATCTGGCCCGACAGCTTTCCCATACTTCATACTTACTCTACTCTTTTTTTTACTGCATTTCTTTCGTCATCCATACTAATTTCATTCACTACCGACACTACATTGTTTTTTACTAGATGACCGGTGATAATATACGAAGGACAATACATAACGACTGCATCGCAACTGAAATGCGAATATTGAGATGGATGTATGGTGACAAGAATGGATAAGATAAAGAATGAATACATTAGAGGAAGTATGAAAGTGGCACCGGTGTCACAGAGGTTGAAGAGTAATCGTCTATCATGGTATGGACATGTAATGCGTAGGAATGAAGATAATATTTTAAGGAAGGCATTACATAACTAACTATGGGCCCCATCAACAAGCTCAGAGTCACTCAGAGGGCAATGGAGAGGGCTATGCTTGGAGTTACTCTGCGTGATCGAATCAGAAATGAGGAGATCCGCAGAAGAACCAGAGTGACCGACATAGCCCGAAGAATTGCGACTTTGAAGTGGCAATGGGCAGGGCACATAGCTCGTAGGACAGATCGCCGTTGGGACGTCTTCCGGGCTGCGATGATGATGATGATTACATAAGAATGTGGATGGTTACAAGGGCAGAGGAAGATCGAAAAAGAAATGGACTGTGTGAAAGATGACATGGCAAGAGAGCGAGTGACGAGATGACTGCCAACAGGGATGGAAGGAACAGAAAATATTACGCCAACCACCAATAAATGGGATAAATAAGAATGATTGAATGATTATCTCCCAGTTTCGTCTTTATCAAGTTGAAGATCGCATTGAATCTTTCTCACATAGAGACCGGCATTTATTTTTATTGTTAATTACGTATATATTATTTTAAATACGTTTTTAGTTTACGATAATTTGTGGTAGACATTATTTAACTAGATTTATTTCAAAGTGCACGGGCGATCATCCGGTCGCAACGTGTAAATTTACTTTCGTTACGGAGTGAGCACCGGTGAGCATGAGTCTTTAACGTGTTAAGACGTCGCTCCTCGAGTCAAGATGCTGTTCATCTCACCAGCATCAGCTCAGCATTAGAGTCCTTCAGCTTGTTTATGAATTCAACGGCGGGAGGTGTTAATGCAGCTGGCAGCTGTATAGTGACCCGCGCTGCCAGGGTAGGCTCCGCAGACATCTGGTACTCCTCTGGGCACGCGTACAACTTCTCTAGTTTTGTTATCTCCACATTACCTGCATAAGAACCAAAATAGAAGTAATCTTTATTAATATAAACACTTTTGAATAGTCAAATATTAAATTGCTGAAAAGAATTGAAATATCTACCGCTCATTCAGAACACAGACTCCTTACAAAAAGAATGAGAAAGAAACGTGCGTGTTGCTCTTTTATATTGTTCCAGGTAAATACACATTAACATTGATTGAGCATGCTACAATCAACATAAAGACATAATGTGCACTTAATTTATTCAATAAACAAAAAGAAATAATAATAACCTAGTTCAACTCACACAGTGCCATTTAGTTCCGTAGTTAAGCAGAGCATGTATAATGGGCCTTGGTGCAAACGGTTCGCCCCAAGGCCCGAAAATTCACCCCTCTAGGGATGTAGATGACCAGTGTTAGTCAGTTGGTTTAACATGAGGTAGGCTATCAATCAGGTATAAGCTATGCTTTGTCCGACTAAAATTAAATGACAAACGAAGTTCTAACGGGAACTGGACATTGTTGAAAGTGTGACGCAGCTGGAGTCAAATCACAACGCGATTTCAAGACGTTTGTGTCCCGGATCCCCACCAACAGCTGCTCACCTTCATGAAGGAGTACTACTGGTGTCCGTATCGAAGGGTGTGGTGTATCGTCGCTACCGTGTCAGATTGCCGTCTTCAGCGCCGTGACCACACAGTCAATTTATATTTTATTATTATTTCCTATGTCTATAAAGTATTTATATGGGTTATGTAGTCTGAATTAAATAAATTAAAAAAGGGTTCCTCCTAGGGCCCAATCTTCACCCCTCTAGGGGTGAGGATGACCAGTGTCAGTCAGTCAGCTTATCAGGCGAGCCGTCAGCTTGTTCATCATACCAATTACATAAAAAAACTAACCAAAATCAATGTACTCCAGTAGATATTTGTTCTGCTTGACATTGGTGCGTTTGCAGAGGGCGCGGTAAAACAGTCCGTCGGTATACTGCCCAATCACAGTGTCTCCTTGATGTGGAGGCTCCGTTAGAGGACTCGCTGTAATCATATAAATTTAATATCATTTTATCGATTTGTTTTAAACAATAATAAAAAATACAAGCAATAATTTACACATAAAAAAAACAGTCTCAATGTGAACAACTCTGCATATAACTCTGCAATGCTGGAAACACGGTTCTCAGCGTTTACCGCCTCTTTTTATTGTATACATTAAAAAGTTTAGTAAAATTACCAATATGACATGTGATTGATATTTTTTATACTACATAAGTGGCAAACAATCATATGGCTTAACTGATGGTAAACGGTGACCGTAGCCAATGGACGCCTGAACCACCAAGGGTGTAACGTGCGCGTTGCGGAACCTTAAGAAACCTTAATCATGTGGCAAACGAGCATATGGCATCTGATGGTAAATGGTTACCGTAGCCAATGGATGCCTGAGACACCTAAGATGTTACGTACTCGTTGCCGCCCCTTAAAGAATTTATAATATACCTTTTTTGAAAACCCCAATGCTCTAAAGTACGATTATTAATTCCAGTCAGTAAAATGACAACTGCAACTGTCACTGATACACAAAAAGGGTGACCCGCTATAATAGTGATGTTCGGCAATCAATAGACTTAGACATTTAATCATGCTTTATTTTATTAGATATCCATGCGTTTTTTTTTATTATCAATATTTAATATATACTGCATTAAATAATACATTTATAGAAATATGGACTTTACTAGCATATTAAAATATCTCACTACAACATTATTACAAAAGCTGGGAAAAAATATATGAAAATATTCAGAGGAATTAACACTAGACATTTTATTTATATAAAAAAAAATTGTAATCTCGACTAAGTTTTAAGGGGGTCTTCCTATGTGACGGCCTGTTTTTTAGGGATATTTTAGGATTTTTTTTCTACGACCAGTAAATATTTAGAGCTTCAAGTTTTTTATCATTTATTAACACATATTTGGACAGTATAAATATAAAATTTCAGCTAAAAATATTCAAGTCAGAGTAGAGTTACAGCGCTCTGAACACCCCCGCCTCGAAAAAAAGAGCTCCCACTTCCTCCACGATTCCGGCTGATCGGCTTATCTGAAAAAAAAAAAAAAACGGCGTTTTAATTTATAGGCTTAAAAGCACGGAATGACCTATAATCAAATGAATATAAAAAAAAAATGGATTTTTGATAGACATTTGAAATAAAAGTTGCAAATTAGGCGTTTTTTTTTTTGTTTTTTGCTATAAAAAAATCGAAGTTTTGAAAATTTTCGATTGATAATAGTTCATTCCATGCGTTTACATATATTGAGTGTGCCCTGTAAATTTCAAGTAATTCGGTCCAGCCGTTTCTGAGATACAATGGAGGAAAGTTTGAAAAACACAGTTTTGAGAAAAACGCGTTTAAAGTTTCAAGTCCGTTAAAAACTATTAAAATATCAACTTACTCTCAATCGGCGATGCCTGGTCCATAGAGTATTCCTTCCTCTTCCTCGTGAAACTCTTTTAAAGCAGATTGTTCAGCTCTTGAGTCAATCCTGGCTTGTTTAACGACATCACTTACGCGCCGCTCAGAGCGTAAGATTCGCTTTTCATCCCGTTTCTCAACATACGCTTGGGCTTCACGACCAACAGGGCATCCCATAATCGACATAACTTTTAAAATACCTTGAAAACCTTCATTAAAGATAATAACTGCTAAGTAGCTAGCAATTTCAACAACTTTGGGACCAGAATGAAGATGTTTAGGAGCGAAAGTCCAAATCAAAGAATTCAAAGATTCGTTATTGTTTTGTGTCTCTGCTCCTAAACAAAGAATTAATAATTCGTCTTTCGATAAATCTTCGAAAACCGGTTTGATAGCTTCTTGGACTTGCGGAATTAGAGGTGGTTTATCGTGATGAAATTGGTCCAGTTCATTATTAGCTTCAGCCTTACGCCATTTACACCAACTGTCTTCGCCTTCTGGACAAAATTGATGCTGAGGGTTTTCATCAGAAGAACATTTGTGATAGTACGTTGCCCAAACTTCCTTTCTCATATCTTCAAGCGAATCTGGATGGCGTCGAATTGCTAATCCGTAGAATTTTGTAATTTCTTGGATAACTTTATCAGTAAGTTTCCTTGCTCCTTTTCCTCCTATTCCTTTATTGGTTTTATCCTTTTTCACAGCCCGAAGTCGTGTTCCCATCCTCTTTTCTACGTGACCCACACATTCTTTTTTTGTTACCGCAGTATCTCCATACGGTTTAGTATCTAGGATGCCCTTGAAAGTTTTGCTGTCACCGTCGCCAATGTATGTTAGATACTTTACGCCATATTTTTCTACAGACCTCAGAAACATTTTCGTGATGGCACTTATTTCCATTTTACCGGAACTTCCGGAATGGTTTATGGTGCATTCATCTACATGCGTTTCATACCACATCTCGTATTCTAAAGGATTTGTTTTTTTTTTATTTTTCCACAAATTACATCCACCACAAAAACTACTCATGACCATGACATCTAAAACTTTCCCAGTGTACTTGCCGATCAACGTAGATACGTCGAGCAGAGATGAAAAGCCTCTTTTCTTCCAAGTACCGTCACCTGACACAATCAATTCATCCTGTGGTTTTCCTGATTCTTCATTCATAGTTTTTTCTTGCGTAACAGCGAATGCCAATAAAGTATCATACAGTGAAGATGTAGCAATATGAATGTTTTCCAGTAGTGCAGTATAAGTAGAATTTGCAACACCCGAACACATGTCCATAAAGCTACAGAAAAGATTTACTCCTTCTTGACCAACTCCCAATAATCGCATCGCAAATACAAACCGACGATTAACCTCAAATGCATTTCCGATCAACGGGCCTGAGTTTATAACTGTCTGTTTTTCACACTCACACGATAAAATAATTTTAAAGCCTAGGCCTCGGAAACTTGATCGCGAAATAGACACGTCACTTTTACAAGTTTTACATATAACTATTTCAGAGATTGCAGCAAATACAGAAACAAACTCCAAAATGCAATATGCGAAATTCGAAGCGATGGGAACATTCATGTTCATGTTATTTTTAAGTTTTTTGGCCGAAGCTGATGTAAATACCGTATCATTTTGGTGGGTAAAACGGTTTCCACTAAACTTTCTTTTTTTACTACGACCAGGATGAACATTTCCACTCGTACTTCCTTTCCGTCCACTCATTATGAAAAAAAATAATTTGTAGCTGTTGCTCTCTTCGAAGTTCAACCAAGACTAAAATAACTTCGGTAAAATATTATAACAATAGAAATTTCTGTTTAAGTCTGTAGAAACGTGTCTAAACTTGTATAAACAAATATATTAATAAAAGGGAGGCCAGGTATAAAGCCGACGGTACACAATAGGCCCGGTCTCTAACTGCCAACTCACCGCTCCGAACCGCTCTTTCTTTTACCTGCTGTATCTTTAAAACGACTTCGAATTTTCTAAAATCGCTTTACTACCGTATTCTAGACATGTTAAGGGAGCAATTTATGAAAAAAAAAAAATCGATTTTTTCAACCCATCACATAGGAAGACCCCTTAATTGTAAAAACTGGATTCTACCACATCACTATTTGTGACTAAAACCCTGCCACACTGGAAATGTCATTTTACTGACTGGAATTAATAATCTTACTTTAGTCATGCTCATGTGCTGATAAAATGGTAGTCTACTGACCATTAGCTGCCGCTAGCACCACATTCTGCAGCAGATCATCGAATTGCCGCATCGCTGTCGGATCCGCTGGACGAACAAACACCCTATCCGACTCTGTCATGTCCACTAACAGCACCTTGCTGTTGTTGGATACGGCTGGGCGGATCACCTCGGGCACTGGCGATTTTTGAGCTATAACGACACAGATAATTCATATAGTTGTCATAGATGTGTTTTGTAGACTAAAGAATTGATGGGAGAATCGCTAGATACTTTGATGTTTACCTCTATAATTGGTACTCTGTAGCTCAATTCCATGTATGAGTGAGACAAATTAATCAGATTGGGACAGGTTTTGACACGTTTATTTGCAAACATTTGAATGTGTTTCCCATATGCTTTGTTTACCAGTATAATTTCAGGTTTTTCCACCTTTAAAAATAGAATAACGGTACATTTCGGTACCTCTACAAGCGGGGGGGCCTCTGTAAATGAGACAACTATAATTTTAAACCTGCTTAATTGGAAAACTTAATTAATGGAAACCATTAATAATTATTACATAATTTTTGATCCCTTGAGATCTCAATTAACCAGGTTTCACTGTAGTCCAATCAGTGGCCGTAACCAGAACAGCACAGTCCCTAAAATGTGATAGGTTGGGGGAAAGAGGAATGTTAGTAATGTGTACTGAATCTTACTGCTAGCAATGTACCATGTCAGGTTCTCCACACGGAAAACCATCCTGGAAACCATCATGATAAATAATAATCGTGCTGAATTTATCACAATAGGCTTACTGCCCTGACCTCATACTCATCTTATCATCCTCCACTGGTGCCTCGCCAGCGTAAACCGTTAGTGCAGGCGAGTGCACCAGTCCATTAACATTCATAAAAAAAAAGCTAAGGTACTTACCTGTTGCAGGATATTCTATATCTGGCACCCAGCGAGACACCTCGCCTTCACCGACCACTATGTTGGTTTCAATATTCTCGATGTGCACTTTGAATCCATCATTTCGTTTGGCTAGTATCTTGCATGTCAAGTTCTCGCCGAGCTGTTGATTTGAAAGAGGTATTGAAAGAGGAGATGTAAAAAATAAAATAGAGAAAAATAAATAGAGATGTAAAAAATTTGTATGGAAATTCGTCCTTTTTGAAGCTACAACAATGAACAACTTTTTACTTTCGCTTTTTTCGGTTAGATTAAATATTTTTATTTTATTTGGTTAAGGCAAGGCGAACGAAGTCGCAGGAACAGCTAGTAAGTCTTATACACTTATGTAATAGCCATTGGTAAGTTTTACTTTTTTTAGTTAGATTATTGAACCCTTTTCATATTTGGTCCAAGTCACTATTTCACGCGGACAAAGTCGCGCGCACAGCTAGTATATATATAAACAATACAAACCAACCTTGACGTTAGCATTAAGCAAACAGGCGAATTCCGGTATGCCCTCATAGTTGGACGGCAGTTTCTTGCACTTGTCAGTGGACTGCAGCGCCACCAGGCGGCAGGAATCCAGAAGAGCAGCTCGATTGGCTGCCACCTTTCGGGCGCGGTACCATCCACCGTCCGCCGGGCTCAGGTACGAGAACACCTCGCCAATGGCTGGACTGTAGGATTACAAAACATTACAATAAAGAATATTGGGCCTGCCACACACCTTTATGGATTGACTTACAGTTTTATATATAAAATTCTTGTGTCACAATGTTAGTTGCATATGGTAACGGCTCCGAAATGGCTTGACTGATTTTTATGAAATTTTATACGCATATTCTGCGAATCGGGTACTATCTATTTTTCATACCTAATAAAACCCAAAAATCAATCAATGGTGATGAACATACAAGTAATAATTTATTACTCAAAGATTTGTACGCTTGATTTTACAAAAGATGGTTGATTGGTGAAAGGACCATGTTTCACTGTTTTGAAATTTGTCATTTTTGAAGCTAGAACAATGAAACTAGTTATTTTCGCTTTTTTCGGTTAGATTATTAAATATTTTTAATTTATTTGGTCAAGCTTCCAAGCGGAGGTAGTCGCAGGCGCAGTTATTAAGTCTTATACTGTCATCATCATGAGTATGATTGTTTGTATCGGTCTGGGTATTTTCTATGTATAATATGTATGTATTTACGAAAAAAAAATCTATATATTTGTATCAGTTGTCTAGTACCCATAACACAAGCTTTAGCTAGCTTAACTTGGGTCTAGATGGCGCTGTGTGAATTGTGCTGAGATTATTATTATTATTATTATACACCTACGCAAAAGCCGCTGTGTCCGCTTCACAGTCGAACACGTAGTCCTCGCAGAGCTTCTGGTACTGGTCCTGGTAGGATTCGTGCATTGACAGGCACACGAACCCGCTGCGCTTTATGCCGCATTCGGATGCAGCGCTCTCCACCGAGAGGAGTACTGTATCGTTGATCTTCAACTGCTCTATGAGGTAGCTGGGAAAGTAAATAGAAATAATAATAATCATCTTTATTTATCTCAAATAAAAACTAATACAATTGCTTATATAATTATAAAATTCTCGTGTCACAGTTTTCGTTCACATACCCCCGAAACGGCTTGACCGATTCTCATGAAATTTTGTGAGCGTATTGAGGTCTGAGAATCAGCCAACATCTATTTTTCATCCCCCTAAATGTTAGGGGTAGTCCACCCCTAATTTTTTTTTTATTTTAAGGCAAAACAACGTTTGCCAGGACAGTTAGTATAATTATAAAATTTAAAAGTAATGAACGAGACAAAACGGTCTACAACTCAAAGAGTGCAGTGAGTCTAGTCTCTCTGCTATTCTGTTCCAGCCTTTATTAGTAAATTAATACAATATGAGATCAACTACGACGATAGCACTTAAGTTATAAACTTCTACTAACAAATTAAACATAAAAATGTACAATAACAAGTGAAATAATGCTTATTCAAATAAACTCAATACAAGCATTTCTGAATAGCCATATTTTTTATTCTACCACTCACTCGGAACACAGATTCAGCATAAGAAGAATGATTAAGATACTTGTGTGTTGCTCTTTTAAATAAATGTAATCGGGGGAAAGTAAATTAATAATCATGTCCTTTCCTTTATTTAGATCAAGATGACCTTCGGAGCAAGATATGACCTTCATCCACCAGTAAGTCCGATCCGCCGAGGTTCCAACCCCTAGTGATGCCCTCAGACTAAAGTCGTATCCGTCAGGTGGGAGTTGTCCTTCAGCCGCTCTATAAGTCCTTTCTTTGATTTGGAGTGCAGTCTGCACTCGCCCCCTATCGTCTGGTGAAGTTGTAAAGACCAGCTGCGGCCAACAGCATTAGAGTAGTCCGGAAAAAAAAATGGCCACGGCTATCTTTTACAATTGCATCGCTCGCCATCGACAGCAAATTCATCTGAACATGCCTGAACCTAAGTGGTAACGGATAGTGAGATTTCAGACGAGCTTCTTCCCGTAGATTGTGGAATGAAGGTAATGCCGAGATTTTCTCAAAGGGACTACAGCATGGGATTTTTCAAGAAGGGTATATTAAGGGTTCCTTAAGGGTCGCATAACTCATGTAACACCCCTGGTGTCTCAAGCGTGCAGAGGCTATTGTAACCGTTTACCAACAGATGGGCCGTATGCTTGTTTGCCATCTACGTAGTATAAAAAAAGATAAGCAGAGCATGTATTATGGGACTAGAGGACGCATCTTATGGAGCGCCTGAAAGCAAACTCCCGTCTGACAGGTAAGACTAGTCTGAGGGCACCACTAGGGGTTCGAACCTCGGCTCAGGCCGCCGTAATTTCGATCCCCGATTCAATTAGACGGGAAATCGATTTGACATTAGTGCAAAAAAAATTACCTTTTCGGTACTAGAGGCTTCTTGATTGGCGTGACATCAGTTAAGGAACCAGGCGCTTTGATCTCATTAGTTTTGAAGCCCAGAACAGTCCTGGACACTAGACTATTCCCGGCTGATGTATTTCCGGATTCTTCCTGGGTAACCTTCGAAGGTTCTAGATCTTTCGTTTTTGACTGTGTATTATTTGTATGATTCTTGGGAGGATTCCCAGTCTTCTTTGGTGATCTAATGGCCTTAGCACCTTGATTTGGCTCCTGTTTGGAAGCTGTTAATGATAATAAGTATGCAACTGTTTTGAAATGATTTTTTTAAATCCTCCGAAAGCGACTTATGCAATTAGCTAGTTCAACCAAATTCTTTATAATCTACTACCTAACCGCCCGGCTTTGCACGTATGTACATAAACCTTATTCTTTCATCAAATTACAAAAAATATATTGTTAAAAACTGCATTACAATCCGTTGCGTTGTTTAGAAGATCTAAGCGAACAGACAACGGAAGCGACTTCATTTTGTAAAGATACAAACAAATAAGATTGTATTGTCTGCTCGTAATTTCAAATTAACAACTTAATAATTTTACACTGAATATGTATATTATATATATAAAAAAAAAACTGAATTTAACAGTTATTGTTATTCAAAATTGCTACTACTCATGAATACAAAATTTTTGTACAGTGCGTGGATTCGGACCCGCGGCAATCGGCAGGAAAGCGGTGTGCTAAACCACTAGACCACCGAGGTCAAATAAAAGTTTTATCTATCTATTTAAACTTACGCGCCCCGTTCTCCCAGCTCTCGTCTTCCAGCGAGTCCTGTTTCGCCGGCGGCCGCCTGTCAACAGCCGGTCTATTTCTGTTGTAATTGTTGTTCGCACGCCCATTGACGCTGTTACCACGGTTATTGTTGAGATTGTTGTTGCGAGGTCCTTGCCGTGATGTATTATGTCCGGGTGGAGTGAATATCTACAAAGCAATAGAAATAATCTTCATTCAAATATTCTTTATATATAAAAATTACGTGTCATGTTGTTTATCCGCGATGGACTCCTAAACTACTGAACCGATTGCAAATTTGTTTTGCACATTGTGTGCAATTTGATCTAACTTGAAAGATACGATAGCTTACATCTCAATTTATAGTCGCAATATTATTTTATTCAATAACCTTAGCCACAGCAACGCGTGGCCATGTCTGATCTTAATATATGCACTTTCGAGTAGTCATCATTTTATTCTAGCACTCAATCAGAACTCAGACTCATCACAAGAACAATGAGCGAGAAATTCGTATGAATATAATAAATATTGTTCAGAATTACAATTGAATTAATATATGCACTTACAAGTAGTCATATTATTTTATTCTAGCACTCAATCAGAACTCAAACTCATCACAAGAACAATGAGCGAGAAATTCGTATGAATATAATAAATATTGTTCAGAATTACATTTATAAGAATTTAGTGTGAATACATACTGCTAAATAGCAAAGTTGACATAAATCAATAGTAATTTGAGTAAGACAACAAATCTGTCATAGATATCAGAGCAGATTAGTCCCTACAATAAATTAAATATTATGTATCATTGAAGAACTATTCTATTCTAAATCGTTACACCGCCAAGACCGTTGTAAGATATACAATGCGAGCTGATGTGTGTATTATTTGACAGTCTACTATGTATAATATATATTTATTGTTGGTAATGTGGATTGATAACCCTATTGCTAGCAATGTACCATGTTAGGTTGACCTCCAAGCGGTTCCCCCTGGAAACCATCGTGTTAAATTCATGGTGAATTTGTCACGTGGGCTAACTGACCTGACCTCATGCTCATCTTATCATCCCCCACTGGTGCCCCGCCAGCGTAAACCGTTGGCGCAGGCGGGTGCACCATTCCATTATCATCCACAATATATATATATATATATATATTCATTAATAAAAAAATGTATTTACATCAGTTACTCATATCACAAGCTCTGCTTATCTTGGGACTAGATGGCGCTGTGTGAATCATTCTGAGATACTATTACATTTATATACTCTTTCTGTTGACAATTGTGATATAATTAGATACTTATGTACTTATTTAATAATTTATTTGAACAAAAGACGACATCTTTGATTGCCTAAACAAAAACCGGAAGAAAGTCAAGATGAAAGAAATAATCACAGATAATATAAAATAAACAGAGAGCACAAAATTTGTACAGAGTAGGTTACTTCACGATAGAGATTAAAATATTCTAACAGTTTCATATTTGACGCGGTCATTATATATACGTATAATGAGTAAATCACGGGATCTTCCCACGTTTTATTTTTATTGAGATCAACCATGATCATGGCGGTTGAAACACTGCCGAAATATCGGGCGCTCAATTAAAATAAGGCGTGCTAAGATCCTGTGATTTACTAATTATAGGTATTATTATATCTATTACCTTATTCTGATTATCGCAAGCTGCTTCATCTTGTCTATGGTGCGATTCACGCTTGTAGCTCTTGGCGGGAGAGTATGGACGTCTTAGAGGTACAACTGAGGGAATCCTGTAATATATATAAACATTATATACAGAATGAAAGAAGAGAAAGTAAGTTTATTTGATACAATACAATAACTAAAATAATTTTCAAATTAGATATTTGATTATTTTATTACCCATTTTTAAATAGATCTCCGCTCAGCGTATGTTGTGACGGGGTGCCACGACGTTGGTATTCTGCGGGATACCTTCCTATATATCTAAATATATATAACTCAAAGGTGACTGACATAGTGATCTATCAACGCACAGCCCAAACCAATGGACGGATCGGGCTGAAACTTTACATGCAGGTAGATGTTATGACGTAGGCATCCGCTAAGAAAGGATTTTTATTAATTCTACCCCCAAGGGGATAAAATAGATGATGAAAGTTCGTATGAAACTTTGTCAATTTTAAACCGATCGGGTTGAGACTTTGCATGCATAAAGCTACTATGACGTAGGCATCCGCTAAGAAAGGATTTTGATAAATTCCATCCCTAACGGAATAAAATAGGTGATGAAATTTTGTATGAAAGTACCGTAAAGACGCAAAAAATTTACCTAATAATAATACTTCTTAACGCGAGCGAAGCCGCGGGCAAAAGCTAGTATATAATATACATACATAGATACTTAAATCTAGGCGGATAACACTAAGTAAACATTTTATATTGCTACGATATACTAAAATCATATATAAATATCAATCACTAGTACGCACTGATATATAAAATAAGTAACGATCTGGTGACACTAGCAGACAGTATATGACACCGTGCATTATCCTGCATGAGTGCAGACATATCACAGCACAGTTTACTGTGCAAGAAGTAGAAGCTTTTTTAAATCTTATATGTAAAATTCTCGTGTCACAGTTTTCGTTCCCATACTCCTCCGAAACGGCTTGACCGATTCTCATGAAATTTTGTGAGCGTATTGAGTAGGTCAGAGACTCGGCCAACATCTATTTTTCATCCCACTAAATGTTAGGGGTAGTCCACCCCTATTTTTTTTTTTATTTTAAGGCAAAACAACGTTTTCCGGGACAACTAGTAATTTTTAAAAATCTGCACATTTACAGAATCCTTTAAAGGAGGATGAATATTATTCCGGCACTTCATGGTAGAATAGCTAAAACAACCACATAATGCTGCCGTTTTATGTGAGGGGCACATTAAACGAACTCCGCTTGAATGACGACTACTGAATTTATAAGGTACTAGCTGTCCGGGCAAACGTTGTTTTGCCTTAAAATAAAAATAAAAATTTAGGGGTGGACTACCCCTAACATTTAGGGGGATGAAAAATAGATGTTGGCCGATTCTCAGACCTACTCTATACGCTCACAAAATTTCATGAGAATCGGTCAAGTCGTTTCGGAGGAGTATGGGAACAAAAACTGTGACACGAGAATTTTATATATAAGATACCGATATCATAGAACATCGTGGGAGGTAAATACATCTATCTATATATATAAATAAAATTGGAGTGTCTGTTTGTAATATTGAAATAACCGTTTTTTACTACATGCATATCAATATAAATACGGTACATACAACATAATAACATTTTTTACAATTTTTGTCTGTCTGTCTGTTTGTTCCGGTTAATCTCTGAAATGGCTGGACCGATTTTGACCGGAATTTTATTGGCAGATAGCTGATGTAATTTGGAGTAAATTGGGCTACTTTTATTTAACGCGAACGAAGTCGCGGGAACAGCTAGTTTGCATAAAATTATTCGTATTAATACCCGGTTAATAATATAAATAAAGCTGTCTTGCTATTGGCCGGTTGGTGACAAACCATAGAAATATACTTACATTGGCGGGGCATCATCAGAATGATTCATCTGCTGTCCTTCCAACCTTCCCCCAGGGGACCTGAAACAACAATAGAACAGACTTTTGAATAGGAGTCATTCAAGTATTACGTAAGCAGATTTATTACAATTATTTACCCCACCATCCCCCTTGTCAGCAAAAGTAAGCGAAGCTCTTACCCCCTCGCCCCATGCTTACGTTTACGTACTAAAAAACAATACATTAATAGAAAAATGTTAACATTTTTCTATTAATGTATTGTTTTTTAGTAAAGACAATGTGAGGGTTGCCATTCATGTAAAAAAGTATATGCGAAATCATCATCTAGACTCCCCCCCCCCCATATCATCCAAAATAAGCAAAGCAAAGACCCCCCCACCCCCCATTGACCTTACGTAATACGTGAACGGCCCCATAGTCATTACTTATTTTTTTAATCTACTGTTCATTCGGAAAGCTGTCTCATCACAGGAGTTAAAAAAAACTTGCGTGTTGCTCGATTACCGTTTACCATCATCATCTGCTTCTTCCTTATCCCATTTATTTGGGGTCGGCGTAATATGTTTTTCGCTTCCATTCATCCCTGTTCGCAGTCATCTCGTTATTTACTTCCTTTCTCACCATATCATCTTTCACACAGTCCATCCATCTGTTTTTCGGCCTTCCTCTGCCCTTACGATTACCGTTTACCATCAGGTGGATATTGTAAAATTTTATAAAAATCCTTTTAGTAGTTTTTGCGAGAAAGAGCAACAAACATCCTACCACACTCACAAACTTACACGTTTAGTTAAATTACATAGGTGCGACTGAGTTACTCGGGCAACATTTTACAATATCCACCTTAATGGTAGACCAGCAGTACACACCTGGCCAGATTGTGACAGACAGCCTTATGACGGTCAGTCCAGTCCCTCCACTGCCAAGTTGATCGAACAGTACGGAGTCACGCCACTCTAACAATCTAGGTAGAAGACCAGCAGTACTCACCTGGCCAGGTTGTGGCAGACAGCCTTATGACGGTCAGTCCAGTCCCTCCATTGCCAAGTTGATCGAACAACCTAGGTAGGAGACCAGTAGTACTCACCTGGCCAGGTTGTGGCAGACAGCCTTGCGACGGTCAGTCCAGTCCCTCCACTGCCAAGTTGATCGAGCAGTACGGAGTCACGCCACTCTAACAATCTAGGTAGGTGACCAGCAGTACTCACCTGGCCAGATTGTGGCAGACAGCCTTGTGACGATCAGCCCAGTCCTTCCGCTGGCAGGTGTACGAGCAGTACGGAGTGATACCACACTAACAACCTAGGTAGGAGACCAGCAGTACTCACCTGGCCAGATTGTGGCAGACAGCCTTGTGACGATCAGCCCAGTCCTTCCGCTGGCAGGTGGACGAGCAGTATGGAGTCACACCACACTTGGCGCAGAAGGAGTCAGCCTCCTCGCTGCCGCACGCGACACAAGCGCGGGACCTCACGCGCTGCAGCGCGGGAATTTTTAACTGTGCGGATTTGAAGGTTCAGTCTTGTACTAACATGGGTTCGATTTCAGAGGGTAACCAATTCGTTATCTTCTAATATATAAATATGGTGTCACAGTGTACAACAACAGAACTCCTCCGAAACGGCTTGACCGAATCTTATGAAATTTTGCATGTATATTCAAAGAATATATATTCACTAGATCTGAGAATAGAAAGTAAACTATTTTTCTTATGTTCTAATAAACAAAATCCTCGCGTTCTAGTATTTGTAATAAAACTTGAGACGAAACGGCTTGACCGATTCTTATGAAATTTTCTATTTATATTCAATAGGTCTGAGAATAGGACGTAAGAAATAGAAATAATCTTTATTTAAATAAACTCATTACAAGCAGTTTTGATAGTCATATTTTGATTCTACAACTCATTCGGAATGCAGATTCATCACAAGAAGAATGAGCAAGAAATTTGTGTGTTGCTCTTTTTAATAGATGTTTTTTATATAAATAATTACAGTATAACAAGTAAGAGGCATGCGATAATCAATATAGAAATCGCTACGCAAGCTATTTTTCTTATCTTCTAATGTATAAAATTCTCGTGGCAGTGTTTGAAGGAAAGCTTCGATTAAACGGCTTGACCGATTCTTACAAAATTTCGTGTGTCTATTCAAAGAATAGAACGTATATTATTTTTCTTACCGTAAAGTGATAAGGATGGTCCATACCAAAATTTATTTTATATTTGGATATTTTTATAAAAAGGCTTCAAAATAATCATACAACCCTTCTATGGTAAAGGGTTGTATGAATATTTTAAACCTATATTTAATAGTCATGTCACTTTTATATGACAAAACAACGATTTCCGGATCGTCTAGTCATTTATAAAACTGTTGTATACCCGACTAAAAGTGTAGCAATCATATTTATATATTTTATTTATTTATTAACTGTATATTGCACCAGAACATAAAACAGACTAATAAGTTACAAAATTATTATATTATTAATTGTTTTTATATATTTTAAATGGCAAAAAAGCTTGACCCACAAGTATCTTCGGAACTTTGCCTAAAGGGGTCCCCCCTTTTAATAATATATTTTAGTTATTATATTATATTTTTTAAGCTTTTTAATTTTAGGTTCTTAGTTGTACAATTAAGTTATATTACTACAATGAATTCATAATTATATTAATTTAAATAATATATACGTATGTACAATATGACATTAAGTAAAAAAAATAAAAAATATAAAGTGGTAATATATATACATACTATATTGTATTCATGAGTATGATTGTTTCTATCGGTCTGGATGTTTTTTATGATGTGTTTAAAAAAAAGTGAGTATTTATTATCATATTATCAGTTCGTGCCCTGCTTACCAGAGGACCAGACGGCGCTGTGTTAATTTTCCACAGTTATTCATTTAATTAAATTTTTATGATATTATCAACCGTTGCCGACCAATAAACTCGTTCAGAACAAGAGGTGTTTCAATTATTACATTGGCGACGAGGATGGGGTTAAAAAAAATAATATTAATAGTATAGCTACCTACTAACAACTACTTGCTGTGCCCGCGGTTTCACCCACGTTAAATTTCAATAAAGAATATAGCCTATATGTTATTCTGATGACAAGCTATATCACTGCAAAGTTTCATCAAAATCCGTTCAGTAGTTTTTGCGCAAGAGTAACAAACATCCATACTAATATTATGACAATTATAAAAACTACTTTATTTTAAACACATATTCCACCTCCACCCATTTCCACATTAATTTGTACAAGGTCTACGTTAGTAGAAAAGTATACTACTAGAAAAAAACAATGTCAAAATTAAAATAATTTTATTAAAAAAAACCGTAAAAACTACATTAAATGCATAACATTGGAACCACTTCATTTTCAATGACATTACATAATAATAAAAAACATGAGAAAAAAATCACAATCAATTCATAATTAACAATTAAAAGTCGTAGTAAAAATACTTACCCTAAAACTTATGTAAAATTATATTAAAAAGTTGTGAGATTACAATAAAATGGCGGAATTTGCGGTGGGAATGTTTCATTGAGGAGTTTCATCATGGTTATAAAATTCTCGTGTCACAATGTTAGTTATCATAACCTAACCTATCATAATCTCCACCGAAACGGCATGACCGACTTTTATTCAATTTTATAGGCATGTGCAGGTCTAAGGATCGGCTACTATCTATTTTTTTATACCCTAAAGTGATAAGGGCCGTCCACCCCTAACATTATTTTTTCAAATTCAAATTCAAATTAAAAAATCATTTATTCATGTAGGACATTTCAGCCGCTTATGAACGTCAAATTTTTTTTATTTTTATATTTTTTATTATTTATTTTGATTTAGTAAATGGAATGTAAATATGTTGTATGGAATCCTAACAACAAAACTAGCATGTACATTCATATTCTGTAACTTTGTAATGACTTTAATAAATATAATGTAAACTTCGATTAAACCCTAACAAACAAAGTGGTCATGGATTTATTAAATGAAATGTAAATATTAATATATATTATCTCCGGACAATTCACACAGCACCATCTAGTCCCAAGCTAAGCAGAGCTTGTGTTATGGGTACTAGACAACTGATATAAATACATGGATACATTTTTTCTCATGAATACAAACGTTTGTATCGTGCGAGGAATCGAACCCACGACCATCGGATAGTAAAGCGGTGTGCTAAACCACTAGACCACCGAGGCTGTCAGTTAATGTAAATATGTTTGATAGAATCCTAACTAACGTAATAAAGTGGTCATGAGTTTAGTAAATGGAATGTAATGTTTGATGGAATCCTAACTAACGTAATTGACTCTCCGTATTCTGAACATTGTTATGTCTTTAATAAATATAATGTAAACTTTATTAAACCCGAAATAACGTAACAAAGTGGTCATGGATTTAGTAAATGGAATGTAATATGTTTGATGGAATCCTAACTAACGTAACTGACTCGCCGTATTCTGAACTTTGTTATGTCTCTAATAAATAGAATGTAAACTTTATTAAACCCGAACTAACGTAACAAAGACGAAATTAAATTATTTTGTATCTTACAGGTCCACGAAATGAAGTTTAACATAAGAGCAATGTTTGACATTTGGGATGGAGGACGTAAGCAGTTTGAACATAATGATGTTCTGTTTATTTTCTTTCTGTTGTGTTAAAGATATAAATAAATTTTATCAATCTAATTTTTGACAATGCTTTTGATTTCAAATAATACTTTTGTAGCTTACGCCCTGTTAGACCTTCATGCCAAAATTTCAATAAGACATTATATAATAATAAAACAAAGACATACAAAGGTTAATTCACAGTTGGTTACTACAATTGAGGTGTATACACCTTTATAAACTACATCACTATGTCAAGTACATGATTTTTAGTTTAGAATAAGAATCTTAACTTCTCTCCTCCGATTGTAGAATCAAATGATTTCTGTTGTATTACAGAAAAAGATTGTCTGTCTACAATAACAGTGAATTTTCCATTATTTGGATAAGGGCATTCTGAATACACCTCCCACAGTTCCGTGTTCAAACCAGGATTTTTATCTTCAAGTAAATTGAATATTACGTTCAAATCCTCTTCCTCGTCAGGCAAAATATTCATTGGTATTTTTAGATTGATTTTACGGTTGCCAATATCTTCCGGAAGTTCCAGACTTCTTGGCGAATCCATCTCTATAATTACAGGATCTAATTCCGACTTATCTGTGGGTGAGTAGGCTTTTTTACAATTGTCTATGATTTTGATATTTACTGCTTTATCATCTATGCACTGACTATCTGTTCTATCTATTTTTAATTCTGAACGAGATTGGAAATCATGTTTAGATTCGTCAGCGCTTTCTTGTTGAGATTCTAATACTTCTTTCTCAGGTACGGTAGGTGTTTTGACATAGACTTTAGCCGACTCTTCAAGGCAAACCTTAGATTTTATCAAAGACTGTAAATGACCTAGCTTGAATTGCACAATGTTAGATCCTATATATTTATTGAAATTTGAACTAGTGATAACTTGAGCGGAAAGCTTGTCGATCTGTAAGACCACATCAAGCTTTGTTTTTGTGTGTACAGTACTGATGGTTCTCCAAAATTTCGTGCGTAATCTAGGGTTTTGCTTTTGCAGTATTTCTATCACTTCATCAGTATTCATCTTTGTCTTAACAACCATACTTATAATGCCAACAGCACCGCGAAATTCTGTGGACTTCAAATTAGTACGAAGTTTTGTATTCAAAGCATCTAAAGACTGCTCCAACCATTGCCTTGATTGCATATCATGACATATAATGAATATGACGCCGTCAAATAAATACATATCATGAAGTTTCGGAATGTCCGAATCAAATTCTAAGTTTAAAACAATGTTTTCAAGATTTTTCTTTATGGTATAGAATTGTACTTCATCAATTCTCGATTCTGGGTAATTTGAAGGGCCTATGTAAAGCTTTAGGTCGTCCGCAATTACATCCGAGTAGTGATTAGTTCTTATACGTGATAGAGGAGCGTTTGTAATATCCGGATCTATAGGGATGTACATTTTTCTCAATAACTCTTGTCTTTGATTATCAGTATCGAAATCGTCTTTAATTGATTCATCAAAACTAGTATCTCTCTTTTGTCTATCGATTATTCTGAAAGTTATTTTATGGCCCTCGAAGATTGGCTCAAAATCAGGTCTTTTGATGACTTCTAAAGATTCCGGATCGACGCCGAATTGACGCTTTTGCTTTCCAACAACATCCGAGTAGTATTTCCAACAATCTGGTTTCAACGCTGGATATAAGGTTTGTAGTTTCAGAAGAATCTCCAAGGATTCTATGTGAGCCTTTTCTTTAGGTATACGCATAACAATCCTCGTGTATCTAACTAAACTTTTCATATCCCTGAACGTAAGCTTCAACCCGGTGGAGTTGACGAATTTTGGCAGAATTTCTGATAAATAATCTTTAGTTTCTAAACTATCACAAATATATATCACTGCTCCGTTCGATAAATATACATCTTGAAACTTTGGAATTATTAAATTTGCAAATCTTAACTGTTTCATGTCTTTATGCATATATTCTTTAAATAAATGTTTTAATCTTCTAATGTGTGTACCTTCTAATTTATTCTGCGGGTATCCTTCTAAAGTCATAGCGACTTTTAACTCATTGTCTACGTGTAAATAATTTGTGCGTCTGTGATATGCCATTCCTCGATTACTGTCTATATTCAAATTACTGTTTTTGTCAAATAAATTATCATTGCTTTCATAAACGGAATCAGTTTTATCTGATACCTCAAGAGCTGAAGTGGAAACTTCATTTGCTTCCTGAATATCTTCATTGTTTTTATCGTTTTTTTCTGTTTCTTGGTCGCTATTGTAATTATTAGTTTCATCAGACCAAATAATCACTTCATCCTTTTCACTTATATATTTCACATCCTTTAATATATCCTCCTGTAATGAACTTTCAAGTTGTTTCTTAATAGCTGGTTTGTCTACTTCAATCTCAACTACCTCAACTTCTGTATCAGAATCTTCCGGTTCATTTTCATTATCATCTGCTTCCTCTCTATCGTCGTACTTTTGTACTGTAACACTAACTTCAGATAAAACTTTTGGTGTCGTTTCTTCAGATTTGAATTCTTCTAAGAGTTTAACTCTCGACGCTACGCTAGATAAATCTTCATCAGAATCGGACAATAAACACTCGTAGTAAATTTCTGCGTATCCAGTCATTTCAAAATCCATGTGATCATAGTCGATAACATTTTTAAAATTGGGACCGCGAATAATTTCGCCTGAAACCCTGTCTATCACAAACGACGTTATTTCAATGTTATCTACAAACTTTTGTGAATAAATCTTCCACATGTCCGTTTTTAAGGCGGGGTTGAAGTACTGTAACAGTTTAAACGTATCTTGAGCTGTAGCCGGCCAACAAGATCTCGGAATCTTCAGCACTGCTAAACACAACCTCTTTACTTTAGTTTTTAGCAAAATCAAATTATTGGACATACGTTCTTGCAGACCAGGGTTCACTCGCACCATCCAATTTCTAGTCTCAATATCCTTGCAAATACAGATTATAGCACCTCGGTTTAAGTAATAATCTAAGAATGTAGGCACCTTTTTAAGTAAACCAGCTTTTAATTGCATATCTATTACATCTGTTATGCACTTTTGGAATTGTTTCATTTGACGCAATCGCATTTTAGACTTAGGGTAACCGGCTAACGCTATAACAATTTTAAGATTATCTTCTACAATGTCCATATAATCAGAATTCCTCAGTTGTATTAATCTGTTGGTCTCGTCTATATTGTCTTCACTATCACTGTAGAAGTCCCCGCAGCTAATTTCGCTTTTCCTACCTTTGTCAGTGTCTAGTTTCCTGTTAACAGATCTTCTAGTAATAATATCGGTGAATTTACTATTCGATTTTTTACTATGTTCGTTTGTTTTAATACTATTAACAGTGGTTTTACTGTCAGTAATCTTGGAGTAACAGGACTTTTTACTCAATTCTGTATATTTGCTAGACTTATCTGTATCCTTCTGTTTGCTGTCTTCAGAGCAGAAGACGCAAGTGGAAGGGGTAGAAGTGCCTTCAGAAGTTTCATCCCACGTATTCTTGGCTCTGCGGGAGCAGATCGTATTTCTCTCGTTCTGCCAAAGAATGATCTCGTTGGATCAGATGGTATATTACTTCTAGGATTGCCAGGTTTCAGCCAAATGTATAAAACATTTCTTGAGGATTCCTTTGAAATGTAATGCATGCGTTCGGTTATTTTATAATTTGATTATGTAATTTTTATCTGGCAACCCTATGCCTTCTCTACAATAACCATGACTACGCTACGGGGCGAAGCAGTCAACCAGTTCACTCAGACGCTCCAGCCAAGCATGCATGCAATGGGATTAATATTGTGAGCAGCTCAATGTAGATAAATAAAGTACTGAATGATGATATAACCTATAATATAATAGTTTGGGATGAAAATACTTATTGTTTAATCAAAATAACGAAATTTTTACTTCATATTATTAAACAGATTAGTCAAGATATTACATTCCACGGTTTATTGGAATAAATATTAAATCTAACAAAAAATTATCGATACTTATACATATTCTGGAACTTTGAATAAAGTTACAACTTTTATTATGATCAAATTATTTTATCAAAATCTAGGCAAAGTTTTTTACTTCGCTGGGCGGTAGGTTTTGAGTATACTTAGTCCCATCAGGTAATAAGAATTAAGAGATATTTTAAATCTTCTTAGGGTAGAGTGTACACTTTTCAAAGGAAATTTTCTATTGATATGTTTAGTTATGATAAAGTGGATATGTGGGACCATGCAAGACATGGTTTAATTCGACCATTTCTTGCCAGTGTTGTAGGGTAGGGTGGTAAGGTTAAAAAATAATAAATAAATACATTTTCCTATGTAGCTAAATTGACAGTTTACCAGGGTCGACTTTGTACAAAGAAGTTCAGTAGAGTACCTCCGTTTCATATATTTATGCTAACAAGCAGTTTACTTAGTAAATTGTGTTTAGATTTAAGAATATACATGTGTATATGACTAACAAAAATGTCGTAGAATATAAGCTTCTGAGTTTGATTTCATAACTTTAGAAGGATTTAGCGTCTAATTTTACACTGACACAATTCTATATATATTTTTGGTATAATGAGAACTAGTGGCAGTTTTGCTAGAAATGTACTATCAGGTTGACCTTCTGGAAACCATGGTGGCCAACTGCTGGATTAGCTGTCACAGGCTGACTGAGGTAACTTGACACTCATCATATATTTACTGTACCTTCACTGGACCCGTATACCATTAATGCAGGCGGTGCACTATATAATTATCATTATTAAAAACGCTGTTAATGTTAAAAGGTGAAACGGTACGTTAAACCGTTACACCACTAACTTTTTACTGTACAGCTGATATACTCGAGATGTATTTTATTTAATAAATACATAATATATAACACACCCAATCAAGCATAATCATGATATCAAATGTCTGCATCGTGTTATGAATGTAATCAGAGAATCTTAAATAATTGGAAGTAAGGCTAAACCACTAGATCACCCAGCCGTGAATAAAATAAAACAATAAACTTACAGAATCTCCCGCGCCCGCGCTGTAACTGGTGTCTGCGTCACGAGGCTCCAAATTCCTGTGACAAGATATCATGATTACAGATTAAAACAGGACAAGACAGGGAGGGGATGTTGTTACGAATAAAATAAACTCCGGAAGGTACCCCTGTATCGATTTAACAAATTCATTCACCGTTTCAAAGGTACATTCAGAGTAACAGTATACTGTACATAATATACAGATTGTTCTAAAAGTCGATGACTAAACAACAGCAGGAGATGGAAAAGGTCATCGCAGCTATCAGAAAAATATAGCCATCCTGTGGTTATAAAAATTTAGGTATTAAAAAAAGCTAGTCAAAATTCTTTTTATTTTTCTGATAGCTGTAATGACATTCTATCTCTTGCTTCCGACTTATAGTCGTATTTTAGGACAGTCTGTATACAAAAATGTTACTTTCCTTATTTGAATTTTTGTTTTTATTATTTTCACTATTCTTTTTATAAATCTACATTTCCACTCACCATGCAACACGTCCAATGCGTCTTGTTAAAAAAAAACAAAGTTAATACTTATTAATAAACAAAAATATTAACTTTTTTTAACTACTCTAATGCTGTTGACCGCAGCTGGCCTTTATAGTTTCACCGGACGATAAGGAGCTAGTGCAGATGGCACTACAAACCAAAGGAAGGACTTATGGAGCGGCTGAAGGACAACTCTCGCCTGACGGATACGATTTCAGTCTGAGGGCACCGCTAAGGGTTCGAACCTCAGCTCAGGCCGTCGTAATTTCAATGCCCGTTTGAATTGGCGAATCGATCGGAGAGGACAATTACATTATGAGTTTTTTTGAGAATAAGGGATTTTTTTATTTATATTAATTTTTATTTAGTTCGAAATAGTTATTTTATTTTATTCTAATATTAAAAAAAGATACAGACTAAAAAGTAAAATAAACTATCATTCAGCTGCTCCATAAGTCCTTCTGACGTATGGAGCAGCTGAGGGCCAACTCCCTGACGAATGGGACATTAGTCTGAGGGCACCGCTAGGGGTTTCGAACCTCGGCTCAGGCCCTCGTAACTTCGATCCCCGTTTGAATTAAACGGGGGATCGATCGGAAGGGGTTGCACAGCTAGTTGTAATATATACATGGGACAGAACTCAAACGTTAGCGCGTTACAATTTTGCTACTAGCGCCATCTAGTAACACGTATTGGAAATAAAAAATAGTAATTTAAACAAATACGCACCTATCATTGACATTGCGTACAACAATCCTTCCGTCCGGCAAAATGCACCGGTTTGACGACGTATTCATATTAGCCTGAAACAATAATAAAAGAAACTACAATTACAAAAAGAACACTGCGTCCAATGTGCTAAATATAAAACAGTCTTAACGACGATAAAAGTATAACATTGTCGCCGCCGCTGCCAGGTAGCTTATATCTATTAAATTGATAAGATAAACGCAAGTAATTTTAATGCAGTTAGCATTAGCTAGTTCAGCAATAGAGTGATTCAAAAGGAAATTTTATATGTATAATACATGCGTGTTATCGTGTAGAACAAACCGAGAAATACAAAGATACAATTAAATTAGAAAAATAATCAACTAGCTTTTTTTAATAAGAATAAACATCTCAGGACAATTCACACAGCGAATCTAATTTGGCAGATGGCGAGTCTACCACTCTCGGATTATGTTTGTTACCGGTGTTTCCATCACCGTGAAGTTGATCAGAAATTAAATGGGATAATTGACATGACATGACATAAATAGATAGAGCGATTCAAAAGGAAGTTTTATATGTATAATACATGCGTGTTATAGTTCAAACATGCGATAGAAAATCAAAGATTTGTAATGCATCCGTGCCAAACCGAAACGTGTCGCTAGTATGAAATATGTATTAAACAGTGTGACAAATAAGTTAGGATTCTTTTATTAGACATATTTTTGTGACTATCTAACCCTTAGAACTTCATTTTCGTCAATGGTCTCGGTGGTCTAGCGGTTTAGCACATCAATTTACTTCTTATGATTATGGGTTCGATTCCGCGCACGATTGTTTGTATTGGTTTAGGTGTTTTCTATGTATATTATGTACTAGCTGTTCCCGCGACTTCGTCCGTGTGGAATTTAACTTTATTTTTCTAAAATAAAAGTAGCCTAAATTACTCCTTATTACATTAGCTACCTGCCAAAAAAGTCCCGTCGAAATTGATCCAGCCATTCGACAAACAGACGGACAAAAATGGTAAAAAATGTTATTTTGGTGTATATACCGTATTTATATTCATTAGCATGTAGTAAAAAACTGTTATTCAATATTACAAACAGATACTATAATTTTATTTATATGTATAGATGTATACACATATCAGATGTCTTTGTACCCATAATACAAGCTCTGCTTAGCTTGGGACTAGATAATGCTGTGTAAATTGCCCAAGGAATAATCGAGATGTATAAACTTACAGCTTTCTTCGACTGCTTAATGAGTAGCATCCTCTGTTTGCAGCGCACCTGCTTCTCCTGCAGCTCCAGCTGTTTCAACTTGATCTGTTCCAGTTCCAGATGTGTCTCTGGGTCCAGTATGTCCACATCCTGTTGAAGATAGGATTACATGTAAAAATTTTATAAAATCTTGACCAGAGGAAAACTGTCTGTCTGTTACTAAGTTTAGGCTTCACATAAAAACATGTAGTTAAACGTAAAATTTAGAAAATTACAGATTCTTACGACATTTTACTTTACAATATTACAACCACCATAATCGCAGGAAACTGAAGAACAGCGACTAGGTGGTAAATAAAATTATGGGCAAACATATGCTCCATCATTTTCTGTCTGTAGCTACACCCCTCCAATTTTCCTCTGCTATTTCTTTGATGGCCATTTGACCATCTCTTACTCTGACTACCTACTCGCCTTTTGTCTGCCTGACCTAGTCATTTTGTTAATTGGTGTCAGCCATTTATTTTTTTGTATTTATGCATCAGAGCTTTAATAAATAAATAGAAATCTTTACTAGCGGAGTCTATAACTTCAAACATCTGTAACTTTATTGTTGTAACCCAATTAGAATAAAACTAATAAAGTTTGAAGCCTACCTATATGTTGGTGAAATCCACATTCAAATTGGTTAAGTAATTTCTGAGATTGGAACATACAATAGTACAAACAATAATTCTAACAATCACTGATTTTGATATATTATTATAATAGTAATTTCTCATTTATCTTCAATACACATACAGATCAGAGACAATGTACATCTTTATTATTATACAGACAATAATAATCTAGAGGTGAACTCACAAATTCCTCGGCAGCAAGCACATCATCGTCCAAGTCATCACCATTTGCCAACTCCATTTGTTTTCTGTAACAATACAAATATCAATATACAGTACTTATATCCCAGCAGAATAAAAATATTGAGTCTGTCTCACCTATTAGAAATAGAAATAGAATAGAATAGTCATATTTCTTATTCTACCACTCAATCAGAACGCAGACTCATCACAAGAAGAAAGAGCAAGAAACTTGTGTGTTGCTATTGGACAGATTTTACCTAATGAAACTACTATAATTTAGCTGATACATCAGAATAGCAGCCTCAGTCAGAGTCTGCACCACTACCGTGAACATGGTATTATTTAAATACACTCAATACAAGCCCCTTTGAATAGTCATAGTTCTTCTTCTACCACTCATTCGGAACGCAGACTCATCACAAGAAGAAAGAGCAAGAAACTTGTGTGTTGCTATTGGACATATTTTTCTAATGAAACTACTATAATTTAGCTTATACATCAGAATAGCAGCATCAGTCAGAGTCTGCACCACTACCGTGAACATTGGTAGTAGAAGAATCACACATTAAAAAGCGATATTTACCGGTGTAACGTCACTATTCTAGTTTGCGACCTAAAATTATAAACATTTTTGTTTCTTAACATAGTTATTAACTCGAAACACTAAATATTAGCACTTGAAACCTCTTTTTGTATAAACGCCTTAAAACGATTTGTAATCAAAAAGAAATAGGAAACTTCTTTTCGATATATCAACAAAGTCTATTGTTTTTTATTAATTTTATAAAAATAGAGAGCAGATAGAAAGAAACACGAACTAAACCTTTAGTAACTAAAAGTACAGAAAACAACAACGTAATTTTCTAAAGTTTATGGTAGTTATTACAAGAATGAATACGTACAATATAAAATCAATGAATTTATACGACAGGTGTCTAGATAGCGTGAATATAAACAGTAAACTATATTATTTTAAAACTAGTAGCGTATTTCAATAGGAAATTTGTTATATATTCGTGTAAAGATCAAAATGAATTTAAAAATCTTTTATATACCTACCTACAATTTGAAAGTTCGTATTTTATGATTATTATAAAGAATACACGGTATCCTAAAAATCTTTTGAAAGTATATAAACATAAATAAAAGATATAATTACTTACTCAAATTGGTTCAAGGAAGAAAAGTACTTATTTAGCAATATTGAATCTTTGTTTTCCATTTTCAATATTTTACTTATTGATTAATTTATTTAAACTAAAGAAATAAGTTGAATGTCCGATTGAAAGCACAAATTAACACTTTTTGCAATAGAGATGACAGAATATTACTTATTATTTATGTTAATTATAAAAAAACTTTTCTAACAACACAACTTCACAACACACCGTTTACCGCCATTTGTAATTATATTCACTATATTTTTAACCAATGAGGACACCGGCAATACGAAAACGCACAAATGACCAATGGAATAAAATGGTAACTTATTTCTGTCAACGTATTGGTCGAATTTTTAACTTTATTTTTTTAGAACAAGGCAAGAAAACGACTGCATACAGCCAAAATAACATTAAAGCATAAAAAAGCGATACAATTTATTAAGAAAAATGAGATAATTTATAAATATATTTTTCGCGATGGTATAAAAACATTAGCATTGTAGTATTAGTTTCAAATGACAATAAAGTTTATTCTACAAAATAATAACAATGCCTGCATTCACATTTGAACTTGACCCCGAGTCTCGAAACGCCCGTTCGCAAAACTGGCGGGAATATAAATATACATACACAAACAATCACTGTGGTGTATTATAACAAGGAATTAATTATGCCATATAATTCTATACTTTAATACAGCATGTCGAACTTGGTTCATAACAAAGTTGTTTTTTTAATGAGTTGTTTAATTTACTTTCTCGATTATCTCCAAGTATACGTATTATATATACTACTAGCTGTACCCGCGACTTTGTCCGCGTGAAATTTAACTTTATTTTTCTAAAATAAAAGTAGCCTAAGTAATAGGGGTACTATTACATTAGAAACAAGTCCCGTCAAAATCGGTCCAGCCATTTCAGAGATTAGCCAGAACAAGCAGACAGACAGACAAAAATTGTAAAAAATGTTATTTTGGTGTATGTACCATATTTATATTCATATGCATGTAGTAAAAAACGGTTATTTCAATATTACAAACAGACACTCCAATTTTATTTATATGTATAGATATATTCTTCGACAATTTTCCACTGACTTAATCTTGGCCTATCTATATTTAGAACTGCGTACGTCCTATATATACTAGAATCTGCACTGGCAGGCTCCTACCAGACATGTGAGGGCTGGGAGAGAAACACGATCCGTGAAACTGAGTGTTGAGGTACGTCGGCAAGGGCTCCTTAAACCTACACCCGGGTCACAAGTCCCGGGAACTGGGCGGAGTTTCCCTCTCAGCCACACGATGAAAAGCAAACGACCCGGCACCCACATTATGAATTTATGGCATGCTAACAAGTAGGGGGAAAGGTAATGTGGATTAAAACACCATTGCTAACAATTTACTATGTCAGGTTGACCTCCACGCGGATCCCCCTGGAAATATGCTAAATTCCTGGTGAATTTGTCACGATGAGCTAACTGACCTGACCTCATCCATAAATAAAACTCTAGATCCTCTAATGTAAATTTTGTTTCCACAATATTTTTTTTTCACCACATTAGCGCTTTTCAAATTGTTTCTGGCAAATGCACCAAAACGTGCCAAACCATCAAAAATAAGAAAAAAATGCACACTTCTTAATTCCCTCTTTCCATTATCACACACCCAAAAAATTCTAACAAGTTCGTCTCTCAAGTTGATGTACAAAAAAAATTCCATACCTCATATTTCTAGGTCTGCTGTCGATGCTACTGGTGTCATCCCTGATGCTGGTCCTCGTAGACGGACCCTCGCGATCATGCCTCTCTCTCGGTTGATCCCTTCCAGTCTTTTTGGGCTGATAGAGAAATATCTGCTTTACACAGTATAAAACAAAATCGCCGCGGTTGTCTGTTCGCTTGTACAACGGATTTGAATACAGTTTTCATCAATAGATAGAGTGATGATTCAAGAAGAAAGTTTATATGTATAATATATGCGTGTTATAGTAAAACTAAATTAACATCCCATATTCATAAAAACTCGTACTATAATTGCCCTCCCTTATCGATCCGCCAATTCAAACGGGCCTCGAATTTACGACCGACTGACCCAAAGTTCGAAACCTTAGCGGGGCCCTGAGACTAAAGTCGTATCCGTCAGATGCGAGTTGCCCTTGAGCCCCTCCATAAGTCCTACCTTAGGGTTGGAGTGCCATCTGCACTCGCCCCCTCGTCCGGCGAAGCTGTAAAGGCCAGCTGCGGCCAACAGCATTAGAGTAGTTTCTCAAAACATACTACACTATTTTTAAAAAACAAATTTAATAAAGCTACTATCTGTATAATGCTATCAGTTGTTTAGTCGCAAAAAGATAACCAACGCACATATATACTTTCGTAATAACGTCCTCGGCCTCGATGGTCTAGCTGTTTAGCACACAGCTTTACTTCCGATAGTCGCGGGTTCGATTCCTCGCACGGTGCACACATTTGTATTAATGAGTATGATTGTATCGGTCTGGGTGTTTACTATGTATATTATGCATGTATTAGAAAAAATATCTAAGCATTTATATCAGTTGTCTAGTGCCCATAACACAAGCTGCTTACCGTGAGACTAGATAGCGCTGTATTAATTGTCCAGAATTATTTATGAGTTGTTTAATCTACTTTCTCGATTATCTCTAACTTATATTTATCTATCGATATTTTTTTTTGTAAATACATACATATTATACATAGTGTTTTCTATGTATAATATGTATGTATTTACAAAAAAAAATCTATGTATATATGTAACAGTTATCTAATACCCATAACACAAGCTTTAGCTAGCTTAACTTGGGTCTAGATGGCGCTGTGTGAATTGTCCTGAGATTATTATTATTATTTACATCAATTGTCTAGTACCTATAACACAAGCTGCTTACCGTGAAACTAGATGGCGCTGTGTTAATTGTCTAGAGTTATTTATTGTTATTAATGATATTAGTATTAGTTTACCTTATGTGCTATGAATACATTTAATTTCAATGGTTCAGTTCTGTTCAGTTTTGTCATGGCCAACTTCGCTTCCCTGAAACAAATAATTCCCTGTTCTTATATTTATTTCTCTATCCACCTAAAGGTAGTCTAGAAAGAGATTGTTTAGCGATAGGACCGCCTTTTGTATCAATGTATATTTTCTATTTTTTTTTTTCTGTAATTGGTGCAGTAAGAGAACAAAAATATATAAAAAAAAAATTGCATATAAGATCAGATACTCACGTTACGACTAATATACTCTTATTTTGTTACTCAACAGTATATTGTGTATTTAATATATTGACTATAAATTAGTGCTAGTAGGTAGTTTATGTGCACACATTTCAACTTAAAAAAAGTTACGATTATTTAAAAGAGCAACACGCAAGTTTCTTGCTTGTTCTTCTTGTGATGATACAGCTTTCCGAATGAGCGGTAAATTAAGAAGATAACTGATTGTTTGGGAAATTACTCTGCTACCAAAATGTTAGGGAAACGTCAGTCATTTACCTTTATGGTTCTGCGGATTTCTTGGGCTTCAGGGTCTCGAAGGTATCTTCGCTAGCTTTCCAGTTTCACATTAGGTTTCACAGTAGGTTTCACAGTTCTAATTTATTTTAATTCACAACACAATGCGCGCGCGTCATGGCCGCCGTACAGTCCGTTTGTTACTAGTTAAGGGAGGGGAAGGAAAGACGCGGGAACAGAAAACTAACGGACTCTAATATAATAATCTGTGCTTACGATGGTATAGGGTAGATTTTGAACACTGATTCTATTCTAAAGACAGACACAGTTACAATCTGAGTATGCTTTGGTCAAGTCTTGTACGAAAATATTGGCTACCAGCTGTGCCCGCGGTTTCACCCGCGTCAAATTTATAGCCTATATGTTATTCTGACGTATTTTGATGAAACTTTACAGTAACATAGCTATAACTAAAACCCGTTGAGTAGTTTTTGCGTGAAAGAATAGCAAACATCTATCCATACTCACAAACTTTCGCGTTTATAATATTAACTAGCGGTGCCCGCGACTTCGTCTGCGTGTTACAGTGACCTTGACCAAATACAGAAAAAATATTTAATAATCTAACCCAAAAAAGGCAAAGAACACCTCGTTATAGTTTCAAAAAATTACTATTTTCTATATAAAGTTTCGTCCCCTATGTTTTACCCCCTTAGAAGTAACAATTTTATAAACTTAGTCATATTTATATCTATTTAATGAACAACCTAAGTAGACTAGTACAACGTTCTTCGTATACAGTATAATAATGGGTATAGGCTGTTGTTGGGGCTCCCTCGGTTCTGTAGCGCATCAGAGATGTTTGCAGCAGCAAATGGATTTCAAGCCATAATGCGTAAAAAAGCTGCATCACTGATGTCAAGAATTCGGGGGAGAACAAGCAGCATCCTAGCAACTGTTGCGAGTATACCTGATTATCCGCTCCAGAGGCACTGGATATTGTTGCATTGTGGACCCAGTGCTTCTGGACGTGGACACAGATATATGTTTAAATATATCTGTATCTGTATATTATAAGCTACTGACATAGTTTTATAAGTTTTTACTAACACAATATGGATGTAGTCCGAATTAAAATAAATATAATATCATATAGGTTCCGAAATACAATTGCTGGAAGGTGATTCCACAATGCGATTGTGATTGTGCCTAGTTTGCCTAGGTCTTAGCCTCTAGTACAAGGAGTTAACAGTGAAAATGAAGGAAGAGTACTCACCCTGGTGTCTCAAATTTGACTAGACCATACTTCTTCTGTGGATCCTTGCTGAGGTACACCTCGACTAGAGTGCCATACTTGGAGAATGCCATGCGGAGACCATCGGTGCTCAGCATTTTTGGTATATTTGTTATGTACAACCTACAGTGATCCAGTTCTACAGCTCCGCTGTGATAAAACAAGAAATATTAAAATATTCCATCCATTCCCACTCACAAAATTCAGCATTTATAATATCTTCATCATTGCCATTATCGGATTATTTGTGGTCGGTGCAGTATAGGAGGAGCATGGCTGGCTACGTTAGTAGCCTGGCTCTACACGCACAACGGCCCGAATGAGAGGCCAATTGCGGAAAATGGAGTCCAACCTACACTACACACTACACTCGGTGCAGTATATCATACTCTTCAAGATATTAATAACGAACTGGACCAGTGGGTGCCAGGTCCATCATGTGGCAGAGAAATATGTTTAAGTATTATAATGCATCATGTGAGAAATAAAATTTAAAATATTTTGCTTTATATATCTTTTTTTGACATTTCTCATTTATATTAGTGCACTGCCAACAATATCTCTGCGCCACTCATGGTTGACTGGTAGATAACGCCGGTGGTGATAAGTCCGCCATATGTACACATTGTTTTTGTGCATTAAAGTTAAAAATAAAAAAATAAAATCTATGACCATTGGAAGTAAGGCAGCATGCTAAACTGCTAGATCATGGACATTGTCAGCACTTACTTAACATCTTCATCAGCATACTGGGCATCATACATGGTGCTGTTGTATTCTTCGTTCATCTGCTCCCACTGTGATTGGTGATTCCAACCACGAGCTGTCATTGTCCTGGTGACAAATAGTTAAGGTGTTTTTTATGTATGACTAGCTGTACCTGCGACTTTGTTTGTGTGGAATTTAACTTAATTTTTCTAAAACAAAAGTAGCCTAAGTTACTCCTTATTACATCAGTTACCTGCCAATAGAAGGCCAGTCAAAATCGGTCCAGCCATTTCAGAGATTAGCCAGAACAAACAGACAGACAGACAAAAATTGTAAACAAAATTTATTTTGGCATATGTACCATATTTATATTCATATGCATGTAGTAAAAAACACTTATTTCAATATCACAAACAGACACTACAATTTTATTTCTATGTATAGATATTGGAATGGTGCACCCGCCTATGCAAACGGTTTATGCTGGCGTGACACCAGTGGAGAATGATAAGATGAGCATGAGATCAGGTCAGTTAGCTCATCGTGACAAATTCAACAAGAATTTATCACAATGGTTTCCAGAGGGAACCGCATGGAGGTCAACCTGACATGGTACGTTGCTGGCAATAAGATCATCAGTTCACATTACTAAAACCCCCCGTTCCCCAAAATAGTTAAGGTGTTAGTACATTACTAGACTTGTACTATGGTTGATATGATGTTATATGAAGTCTATTCCTTGCATTAAGCCTCTCATATTGAAAGTTAAATGCAAAGAATATAATAAATTTAACTGAGAAAGTAAAAATAGTAAATAAACAAATAACCCTTGCCTATTGACACAGTACCATATAGACCAACAGTAAACAGAGCTTATGTTATGGGTACTAGACAACTGTTGTAAATCCTTAGATATTTTTTTATTGTAAATATACAATATACCTACATACAAAACACCCATACGGATACAAACAATCATACTCTTGAAAACAAATCTTGTACCGTGCGAGGAATCGAATCCGCGGCCATCGGAAGTAAAGTGGTGTGCTAAAGCGCTGTACAGACAGACCTGTCCAAATATTATCGTACCATCCTCCAACGGTCAGTGCATACCGTTAGCGCAGGCAGGTACAAAAATACAGTCATTAAAAAAAACAATCGAATCATGTAGCATATTGAAATCATTTAATTAATGATCACCATACAGAACTTGAACTGTATCATTATCTAAAAAGATCAAAATTAGACAAAGAAGAAATAAAATAAATATACAAATATTCAGAACATTTTGAAAAATGTATCGTTATACACCACGTGATAAACAATAGATGCAGGTATTGAAAGATAATTTTAAAAAATAACATACTTATGATTACAATAAGAATAAACCGGTACAATTTGCTATTATATATAAAGAAATATACTTACAAAGACAACGATTTAGCGTTGAAAAACAACGAAAAACCGGGAGATACAAAATACTGACAGACAATGAAATTCTTTGAATGAAATAAAACAGATTTGACAATGACAACCTTAATTTGACAGTTGTAATATGCCTACATAGATGGCGCCAAAATACTAAGTGATATCCTAAAAAAAAATATATAAAATATTACGAAGACAATGGCTGTATGGGCTGAGTCCTGTTTGCCTTTCCCTAAAAAGGGAAAAACAGAACCAAAAAAAAAAAAAAGTGATATCCTATTTTAATACTATAAACGCGAAAGTTCGTGAGTATGGTTGGATGTTTGTTACTCTATCACGCAAAAACTACTGAACGGATTTTGAAACTTTAAAGTAATATAGCTTAAACCTCAGAATAACATATAGGCTATGAATGTAAAATTCACGGCACATTAGTAATAAATAACAATCTCCCTGGACAATTCACACAATGCCATCTAGTCCCAAGCTAAGCAGAGTTTGTTATATGAATACATAGATAATTTTAAATATACGTTGAATATACCCAGACCGATACAAACAATAATACTCATAAGTAGGGGGGGAAGGGGATTGTTAGTAATGTGGATTGATAACCCCATTGCTAGCAATGTACCATGTCAGGTCGACCTCCACGCGGTTCCCCCTGGAAACCATCATGTTAAATTCCTGGTGAATTTGCACGATGGGCTAACTGACCTGACCTCATGTTCATCTTATCATCCTCCACTGGTGCCCCGCCAGCGTAAACCGTTAGCGCAGGCGGGTGCACCATTCCATTATCAACCCTCAAAAAAAAAAATACTTATAAGTACAGCCCCGGATATCCATTGTTTTTGAGGCAGAGCAAAAACTATCCGCACCCTAATAACCCTCCGCCCTTCTCCTACGCCCAACAATATACATATTAACATACAATTTGTCCAATTACTATTACTGTTAATTATTCTGGCTTTTATAACAGTTACATTTTCATTTTACACAAACAATTTACGTGACGTCCGTCTGTCAGTGATAGTTATTAAAGTTGCGTCAAAAATGGCGAGCTGTGTATTCATCTGACAAATTCTAATTTGGCGCCCCCAGAACTTGCCGCCCGGGACATGGGCCCCGTGTTGCTCTTTCCTAGATCCGGAGTTGCAGGAGTACAAATGTTTGTACCGTGAGAGAAATCGAACTCGCGACCATTGGGAGTAGAGCAGTGTGCTGAACAGCTACACCACCGAGGTCATCTAAATCAATGTCTATTACGTACCAATCTTCAATCATACGTACTTTCAAATGAAACAATAAATTAAGTTGTTATAAGTAATGCATTTATTTGGAAAAATTATAATTAAATTAATTAATTTTGTAAGTAACAATAGTATGTTAAGATGTTGTTAGTAAAGCTAACAAAGCTTATTTTAAATCATTTAAATAAAGCTTTTTTTTGGTTCGCAAAAACCTTCTGAGGAGAAAGGCAAAAGGACTCCGCCTATACAGTTTATATTGTGATTGACAGTCGAAGAATCGTAAAATGACTGACGGTAATGACAAATAACAACTTACTTGAATAGACACTACAAGACAAGATCTGTCAAAAGTGATTTAACCTATTGAAGTTTCTGATAAGAATACTCAAATATTATTATTAAAAATCCACAAAAACCAACTTTATAAATATGAAGAATGGACGATAATGCAAAGAACACATCGTCATATCACTTGGACCAAGAAATACTCGATGGTATGGTACCTTAGCCCTATTAAAAAAAGTTAGTAATTCGAGTCCTAGGTTCTGAGAAGCGATGCAACAGGTATTTTGTAATATGACGTAGATTTGTTTCCTGGCGTTACATACACGGTATTTTCCTTTTTAATAAAAAAATTGTTTGTTGCATTATGGTATCGTATTTTGAATATTTTTTTTCTTTTTTACAAACAATTATGCAGGAATTAATATATTGTAATCACTATTGAAAATTGTAAGGGATAGATACAGGACTTTTAAAGTTTTTAGATATCAATTTAGTTTTGGTTTCTTATTTTATAATATTTATGTCAATTAAAAATTAATTAATAATTAATTTGTTTTTAATAATATGGGTTTGTTATTAAATAAATAATGACCATAAATACAAACAAATACTTTATTGTTTATGGGCTAATAAAAATGTTACAGAACACTTTTTGCTTGGCAGGTAATGTTTATTTACTTTTTTTGCATGCAGGCTGAACTCTTTGTACAATATTTATATAGTCTGTTCAAAGAATTCAGTTTTTTTTTATATATTCTTACAAAGTTACTTTAAATAAATAAATAATAAAAAAATAATAATCATAAATCTATATTTTTTTTAATTTTCATAATATTATTATCTTGTACTAAGACTGCCTTCTTTTGAGCATTCTCTTGCAGTGTTCTTTTAATAGGTTTTTTAAGAATTAATATAGATTTTTTTTTTACTACATATGTATGTACTCACATCTATATATAATTGTAACTGTAATCTCACTTGTTTGAATCTATTCTAAACTAGCTGTATTTGCGACTTTGTCTGCATGGAATTTAACTTTATTTTTTTAAAATAAAAGTAGCCTAAGTTACTCCTTATTACATCAGCTACCTGGCAATAAAAGTCCCGTCAAAATCGGTCCAGCCATTTCCGAGATTACCTGGAACAAACAGACAGACAAAAATTGCAAAAAATTGTTAGTTTGGTGTATATACCATATATACATATGCACATAGTAAAAAATGGTTATTTCAATATTACAAACAGACACTCCAATTTTATTTATATTATATTTTTATTACGACTCACACATTCATTTGATCTTGCAATCGGCTCACCAAGCCTTTAACAGATTTCTTGTGGATAATATAAATACTTAGATTTTTTTGTAAATACATACACAATATACATAGAAAACACCCAGACCGGATACGAAGAATCGAACTTGTGACCATAGAAAATAAAGCGGTGTCATAAACTGCTAGACAACTGAGGCCTAAATTTATATGTTGAGTGTATATTTGCTGACCATATTAACGAATAAAACTTCTTTTATTGATGATATGCTAATGGTATACGCTGGTACACCAGTGGAGGATGATAAGACGAGCATGAGGTCAGGTCATGACCTCATGCTCGTTAGCACATTGTGACGAATTCATCAAGAATTTATCATGATCACGAATTTATCATGGTTCCTTATAGAAACCAGAAGGAACCGTGTGGAGGTCAACCTGACATGGTTCATTGCTAATAAGAAGCTCTATAGTCTACATTGCTAACAGTTCCTTTCCCCCCTAAAAAATAAGGTTTAATTACCTGTTAACAATTTATTTATTTTCTACTAGCTGCGCCCGCGGTTTCACCTGCAAGAAATATATAGCCTATATGTTAGTCTCAGATATGTATGCTATATTACTGTAAATTTTTATCAAAATACATTTTTGCATGAAATGGTAACAAATATCCATCCAAACTCGCAATCTTTCGCGTTTATAATATTAATAAGATGGTATAAAAAAAATTACAGCACGAGGAATCGACATGACAGTGGAAGAAGTGGCTGGTCTACCAACTACCAAGTATTCAGAACGCGTCCAATCATTGAAACTCAAGGATGAAGATCTTGCATTCCTGAAGGGATTACGTAGAAGAATTAAAAATAGGGTGAGTTCTCTATCTTTTTTTATTAATGGGCAGTCTTCAGCAGCTTTATAATCTGTGGTTCGATTATAGAGTGAGAAATGGCAGTAAAATTACAATGGTATGCCATGTTAGTCCTCCGAAATGACGCATGAGTAGAATCACGTGTGCTGACGAGATAATTTCTTTTTTTCTACAACAAAACAAATGTATATATATCATCACGTTATAACACAAGTATACGACACCGTCCTCGCAGGCGAGGACGACGACCTCAACCACACCATCCTGCGCAATCAACCGAACGCTTACAGTTGCCCATCTAATCCATCCCCGTCCAATTCATAAGGGGATCGAAATTATGAAGGTTTGACCCGAGGTTCGAATCCCTAGCGGTGCCCTCAGATTAAAGAGATTAAGTCGTATCCGTCAGGCGGGAGTTGACCTTCAGCCGCTCCATAAGTCCTCCCGCTGGTTTGGAGTGCCATCATTCGTTTTATGGCAATTGCGTAAGGTTTTACAATAAAATACCAGAGTGTTATAAATCTGCCAGAAAAAAGATTTAAATGTCAAATAAAACAGTTATATAAAAATGAAGAATTAACGATATATATTTTTATAAAAAACTTTAAATCTTAGCACTTATTATCTGATTACACCCAGAGTGCGTAGCGATTTCGATTATAAACAATATACTGTAATTATTTATATAAAAAAAAAAACATCTATTAAAAAGAGCAACACACAAGTTTCTTGCTCATTCTTCTTGTGATGAATCTGCATTCCGAATGAGTCGAATCAAAATATGACTATTCAAAAGTGCTTGTAATGAGTTTATTTGAATAAAGATTATTTCTATTTCTATTTCTATTTCATCAAATGTAAGCCACCCTGTGTTATGAGTACTGTCAAATATATATATTTAGATATATATATATATATTAGAAAACATTTATTACAAATAATTTAAAATAACATGATTATTCGAACCCGCGACCAATGATAAGTTACGGTGTTCTACACACACAACTGTCAAATATATACATTTATTTGTAATGAGTCTGCGTTCCGAATGAGTGGTAGAATAAAAAATATGACCATCCAAAAGTGCTTGTATTGAGTTTATTTGAATAAAGATTATTTCTATTCTATTCTAATGTATATTTAAAATGGTTTTATGACTGTCTTCGAACGATCTAAATATAATTTTAACCGTAAAAGTTATTTAGTCAAGCGTGAACTGTATGCGGTCAGCTGTCTGTCGACCGACCGTAACTTGAGATACGAGACAGCTCTGGTTTTACATTCCCACGCAACTGTAGTGTTTTTATTGTACTGTTATGACTACTTTGACCATGTAGGTTAAATGGTACATGCTATCGGGTTCTCAATACAGTTAAACAGGGGATTTTCATTTAATGTTAGACATTCGTGTTGGTAATTAGATGTAAATATTGTGTTAATTAAATAAATAAATAAATAAATAGACACCTATATAAGTATAAAATGTATAAAAACTTGCTTTAAAAAGAGGAAATTCAGTTGAGTTCCTGCCAGTTCTTCTCAATTGAATCTATATACTGAACTGGACAGTAGGGAAAAAATATTAATACAAAAAACTCGACGTTCATAAGCGGCTAAAATGTCCTACATGAATAATGGAATGGTGCACCCGCCAGCCCGAACGGTTTACGCTGGCGCCCCACCATTGGATGATGATAAGATGAGCATGAGGTCAGGTCAGTTAGCCCATCGTGACAAATTTACCAGGAATTTATCACGATGGTTTCCAGGTGGCGCCGCGTGGATGTCGACTTGACATGGTACATTACAAACAATATAATCACATAACTCCCTTTTCCTATATTACTTCGCCTATGTTTTAAGCAGTAACTTATATTACTTTTATGTTAGACATTTTATTTATTTTTATAAAACAAATTCTATCCAGACGAAGTCGGAGGGTAACCGCTAGTTATAGCAAAATAAAATGTATATACATGTCTATATGTATGTATTATTGTTAAATTTACCAGTTGGCGTCACAGAACAGCCGGCGGCGCAGTATGGAGCACCTACGGCGGTTGACACGGGAGCTGCGAGCGGTGAGGGCCTGCAGGGACGACGCGCTGGAGGAGAGACGGGCTCTCGTGCTGCAGAGAGACGAGGCTAGGGACCGGTGTCAGAGGCTGAGGCAGTATGTCGCTAAGGTTGGTCCATTTTGTATTTATACTGAGAATGCATTCTCGGCGGTGCCTGAGAATATCTTTGCCTTTTTCCCTGTTTAAAAAAATATGGAACTTGTGAGACGGTTGATGTGGGAGACTGTCCAGATGACGCCCTGGAGCAGAGACGGGTTCTTGTGCTGCAGAGAGATGAGGCTAGGGACTGTTGTCAGAGGCTGAGGCAGTATGTCGCTAAGGTTGGTTCATTTTGTATTTATACTGAGAATGCATTTGAATTCTCGGGGACTTTCCCTATTTAAAAAAGTAATTCAAGTACGGTCTTGGCTCTCTGGAGGAGAGACGGGTTCTTGAGCTGTAGAGAGATGAGGCTAAGGACTGTTGTCAGAGGCTGAGGCAGTATGGTTGGTTCATTTTGTAGTTATACTGAGAATGCGTTTGTAGTCTCGGGGGTCCCCGAGAATATCTTTGTCTATGGGCTTCCATTGTAAAATATTCTAGGGATCCTCTCTGTTTAATAAGTAATAAAAGTACAGGCTTGACGCCCAGGAAGAGAGATGAGGTCTCGTGCTGCAGAGAGACGAAGCTAGGGATCGGTGTCAGAGGCTGTACAGTATGTTGTTAAGGTTGGTTCATTTTGTATTTATATTGAGAATGTCTCTTGTTGAAAGATATTCCTGGGAGCTCTGAGCATATCTTTACCTTTTCCCATGCTTAAAAAAATAATAAAATTAAAGTACTATGTTGCCAATGTTGGTCCATTTTGTAATTTCAATCTAGAATTCTCTAAACCTTCAGATGCAGAGAGTAGTGTAGATTTTGGTGAGCTATTCTTTCCCGTATCAGCAGATATTGTATCTCTTTTATGATCAGATTTCGGGGCTGTGTATGATCCAGCATAGGGAGACGGTATAGGATATTTGTGCACCTTTGGTCCTGAGAACTGATTTACCATGGTCTATGGACTCCTAGGGAAAAATATCCCGAGGTACCTTGAACTTAGACTTTTTCCCTGTTTAAAAAATTATGGTGTCAGTTTAAATGAATTAAAAAGAGAAGCATTTTTCGAATGTTACTTCAGCTAATGTTGACGAATTTAAAAACATATTTTATGAGAATTTAATACTAAATACCTCCAACTTTTTTTTATATGAAGACCGAAAGTTTGCAAATTGTGTTACCTCGTCACAATTTTATAATGGACGGCCTCGGTGGTCTAGTGATTTGGCACACCGATTTACTCCTGATGTCCAGAGTACGATTTCTCCCACGGTATATAATTTTTTTCATTTTCATAAATAAAATGTTCATAAATTTCATGTGTATTACTGTTTGTATCAGTCTGAGTGTTTTTCATGTTAATATATACAAAAAGTATGTATTTACAAAAAAAAAAATCAAAGTACTTATGTCTAGTACCCATAACTCAAGTTCTGCTTACAGTGGAACTAGATGGCGCTGTTAATTGTCCGGGGTTTATATTTATAAAATGAGTAAATATTTCCTTTTCAGATATTAAAAGAACGCCGGGATCCAACAGAAATTCCTACCATAGACACAAACGCCTTATCATCACAGCCGCCCGAATCTCCGCCAGAGCCGCCCAAAAAGAAACGCATAGCTGTAACAGAAACAAAAACTCCCTTCCTCTCAGAATGTTTCAACAAGATAGAAAGAGACAAGAACATATTCGAATGCCGCATAGACAAACTGGTGCAGCAAAGCGTGAACCATATATACAAAACAGAGAAGAAAGTTTACGCGAAAACTGTTTTTATCACAAACGAGAAATACAGCTCGAACGTCAAGTCTATGGTTTTGACAGATAACATAGGGGAGGATTTGAAGGCGTTTGGGGAGTTGAAGGGGATGCTGGAGTATGAGAATGGGGAAGTTTTGAATTTGTGCGTGAAGGAGGGTAGGAGAAAAAGTCATGGGAGGAAGCAGTCGGCGCCTAGACGGATCGCGTACTGTTGCAGCGATAGTAATGGTGAGTTTCTTATGATGATGATTAGGGGCGGATCTGACTACGGGCTTTTTGGGCTGCAGCCTAGGGCCCCGTTGATACAAAGGGCTCCCAGCCCCCATTGAGGCATATTTTGGATAGGCAATATTTTGATTAAAAATAAAACTAAAATATTAAAAACCTATCATAAGGCTGATAACCCTGAGAACAATTAACCCAGTGATTCCCAAAGTGGTCTATATCGACTCCCAGGGGCCTATGACAAACTGCAAGGGGTCTACGACAGTGGTCATTTTGTTGTTTTTAACACTAAACTTACTACAGTTAGAAATTTACAAAAAATCAATACCAGGTAAGAATGGGGGGTCTACCCAATACTGAAAAATATAGCAAGGGGTCTACTACACAAAAAAGTTTGGGAACCTCTGAATTAACCCATATCGAACGGAATGGAGAATTCTCCATCGCTTGTTTTTGGTCGGTGTATTTTTTTAGTTGAGTAATATAATTAGATAGGCCTCTAAGTACGTTTAGCCCAGGGCCCCATAAATTCGCGATCCGCCCCTGATGATCATGGTATGGTGCACCTACCTGCGCTAACTGTATACATGAGTTGGAAACCAGTGGACAGACTCCAGGATGATAAGATAAGATGAAGTCAGGTTCATTAGCCTCCGGCCAGCCTCGGTGGCCGGCGGTTTAGTATACCACATTACTTCCGATGGTCGCAGATTCGAGAGAGATTTTTTTGAGACAAACTTAATAAAAATTATCTTTTACAGATGGCGTCCTGGATTTGAAAATAAAAAAAGACAGTCAGTGACGTTCGATAGGGCGAGTAATAATTGTTTACCAGACCAAATAATAACATAGTATGTATACAATTTGTAGCTCTTAAGGATATATAACGGTCATATATATAGATATATAAATACTGGGCACGTTTGTATTAGTACAGTTAAACAGGTTTTAATATGAATAATTTTATGGTAAATAATTTATTTACCTCCCGACTTATCGACTAGGTTGCTCAATAAGTCTATTGATATTTCGTTGGATAATCTAATGATTTAGTTGAACAAACTGCCGGCACCTATCAACATTGTCATCGCAGCTACCCCAGTCAGTTCGTGACCACGGCTAGTGCAAACTAGTTGAAATATCGAGAAAGGTAAATACCTTTATTTACCATTGAATTATTCGTGTTAAAACCTGTGTAACTGTATAAATAATACGTTTGTATCGTTCGGTAAAAACTATTTTACTGGAGGTACACGAACACGTCCTTTCAGTTTCCGGGCTGCTTGTATAATGCCTTTTTTGTTTTTTTTACTACTCTAATGCTTATATAGACTTTATAGCTAAGGCTGTATGTAGCAGAACCCCATAAATCTAGTTTGGCAACATTTTTCAAAATAAGAACACAGCGCAGTTATGCTTAACAAAAAGCGACCTTATGGCCCAAGAAATTTGTAGCAGACCCCCATAAATCTATTTTGTCAATATTTAACTTTTTAAAATAAGAGCACTGAACACATTTGCTTAATAAAAAGAGACCTTATACTAAAGACAATATGTGGCAAGCCCTCAAAAATATATTTTGCCAACATTTTTCAAAATAAGAATATTTGCTTAACAAAAAGAGACCTCATATACAAGACGATACGTAGCAGACCCGCATAAATGTATTTGTCAACATTTTTCAAAATAATAACACTTCACACATTTGCTTAATAAAAAGAGACCTTATGTTCAAGACAATACGCAGCAGACTCCTATAAATGTATTTGTCAACATTTTTCAAAATAAGAACACATCACACATATGCTTAATAAAAAGCGACCTTATATCCAAGCCAATACGTAGCAGACTCCTATAAATGTATTTGTCAACATTTTTCAAAATAAGAACACAGCACACGTATGCTTAACAAAAAGCGACCTTATATCCAAGGCAATACGTAGCAGACCCCCATAAATATATTTTGTCAACATTTTTAAACAATCGTACTATTCTAATACGTTTTACCGAGCGATACAAAATCACCCAGTGCAAACATTTATTCCAATATTTACAATGATGATTGTACACGTATACAAGTGAAGATAGACCAAATGTAATAACAATAGAGTTGAAATTTCAACGACAATGCACCACTTAACAATATACAAGTGAAATTACAGTCTAAATGCCATGCAATAAAGTTGAAATTTCAATGTCGTGCCACTGTTATTCTTTCTTATTATGTACAGTAATATTGAGAGATATGTTATTACAAAATTCTTCAGAGTTATTTCTTTAAGAAATGTCTTGATTTTAACGTTTTTGTTTTCTTTTCTGTAATTATCTTTTTGTATATGACTTTATTTGAAAATATATTCAATAGTTATGATAAAATTGTATGCAAATACGTATATTAAAACCTTCAAGAGCTTATTCCTTCTTAAAAGGCCAGCAATCACTTGCAATTCTCTCAGTGTTGCGGGTGCTCATGGGCGGCGGTAACTTACCATCAGGTGAGCCGCAAGCTCGTTTATCCTATGCTATGAAAAAATACCAAGGTAGAATACAAACTCATCTGCTTGTGTCCCTCAGTCTCACCTATTTCAGCCACTCAGTTTGCTTAGTAAGCTGTGTTTTGGTTGTTAGCTGAGATATGGTAGTGTATTTACAATGTACACAGATGTCATCTCGAAAATGGTGGCTCATTATGTTATTCATATATATAGACGACTGTTACCACTTACCATCAGATGGGAAATCAGTTTTTATACCATTTCAATAAAAAAATTATACAATAAACTTAGATGTTTCAACAACCTGGGTGGTCTAGTAGTTCAGCATACCGCCTTGCTTCCGATAGTCGCGGGTTCGATTCCTCGCACGGTACAAACATTTGTATTCATGAGTATAATTGTTTGTATCGTTGTGAATATTTTCGATGTATATTGTGTATGTATTTACAAAAATAAAATGTATCTATGTATTTGTATCAGTCGTCTAGTACCCATAACACAAACTCTGCTTATCTTGGGACTAGATGGCGCTGTGTTAGTTATTATTGTTATATTAATATGTTATTGGATACATACATATTATATTGTTTATATTTTAAATATAAAGTCATATTAAAAATGATAATAAAAAATTACTAAATTTAACTTGAGTATATCTGTTTGTGTTCTAAAGTCAGTCAAAATTGTATATTAATATAAAAAATGTGCCTTTTGTTAGTTATAAACATACAAAGTATGCAAGAATGTTTTTATTAAAGTGTATTTTATAAATAAATATATATATATATATATATATATATATGTTGCTACCAAATTATATGTATTCCCCTACTACAGAGCATATAAAGTTGCCTGAAATAAAAAAAATATATAAAATTAGCTACCCGCCGCATCTTCGCACGGGTGTACATGTATTATACATATAAACCTTCCTCTTGAATCACTCTATCTATTGCTAAAAACTGCATTAAAATCTGTTGCGTAGTTTAAAAGATATAAGCTAACAGACAACGGAAGCGACTTCATTTTATACTGTACTAACTGCCCACCACGGTTTCGCACGGATGTACATGTATTATACATATAAACCTTCCTTTTGAATCACTCTATCTATTAAAAAAAACCGCTTCAAAATCCGTTGTGTAGTTTTAAAGATTTAAGCATACATAGGGACGGACAGACAGCGACAGCGACTTTGTTTTATACTACATATGTAATGACTAACTAACTCGCGCAACTTCCTCTGCGTCCCAAGATGGGGAACCTTTTGCAGCCCACGCCTATTGGTCGTACCGTAATGTTATATAGCATAAAGCCTTTCTCGACAAATGGACTATCCAACACAAAAATAATGTTTCAATTCGAACCAGCAGTTCCTGATATTAGTGCGTTCACACATCTCTTCAGCTTTATAGTATTATCTATACTACTATTATGAAGCTGAAGAGTATGTTTGTTTGAACGCGCTAATCTCAGGAACTGCTGGTTCGAATTGAAAAATTCTTTTTTGCCGCTTATGAACGTCGATTTTTTTCATATTATATTTTTTTCTCTGCCTAATCGTTTACAGAGTAATATTTTATACAAATAAAATTATGCCCCATAGTAGATAATACATGTACTTTGGTAGCAACATAGCACACACCTAATACAACAATGTATTAACAGAATAATTACAAAATTTGGAATTTCCACTCTAAAGCTTTATCTTTAAAGTCTAAAATATATGAAAATTTTGTATTAAGGTAATTACTGTATTTTCTCAACAGTTACAAACTATGTAAATTCTACTGTAATTATTTATCTTTAAAGTCTAATTCTGAATATATGAAATTATTGAGTTAATTGACAACTGTATTAATTCAATAATTACAAACTTTGAAAATTGTACTTTAAAGTTTTAACTTTAAAGTCTAATTTCGAGTACATGAAATTTTTCAATTAATTGAATTGATTATTGTATTATCTCAATAATTACAAACTTTGTAATTTGTACTCTAAAGCTTTATCTTTAAAGTCTAATTTCGAAAATAACTAAATGTTGAGTTAATTTAATTGTATTAGGCGTGTGATATATAAATAATATATAAGTATAGATAGATCTGAGACCCGAGAAGTATAACCATGTGATGGTATATTCCGCTTTATCTGAATTGTATCGACTCATTTGTTTAATAATTTAATTTGAACTCTATGCAGTACGAAATTGTGTCCATTTTTATAAGTATCGTTTAGTAAGTGATCTTTCAAATTTCTCTGTTAGTTTAATTTAAATTCTATGTGGTTAGAAATTGAGTCCATTTTTAATAAATATCCTTTGTTAAGTCATACATAAATGACGTCACTTGAAGTTAATGATATTTACTACATATATAAAGACAAAAGATTTAAGCATATAAATGGAGTATTTTTTTACTATAGTGCCATCTATAAAATTGACAGTTGAATTTTGTTTTTCTATATACACATGACTAGCTATTGGTCGTTTACGCGAATTTAACACTAATGTATTACGATTAAGGTACTGATTTGTATGTAACAATATTATAGAATACAAATTTAAAAATAGAACGTGAAAAATCTCGAAATATAAACTTTTGTTAGAAGTGCCAAACAGTACAGGCCGTTGTCGTTTATATTTAAAAAAAAAACTATATATTGTCTTAATATTAACAAATGTAGGTATTTTATTAATTTCTTAAAGTGTAAAAGCCGTGGCTAACCTTAAAGTTAATGTAAACAATAAATGAGTACAGAAGAATACCGAAAATTCGTAGGGAATAATAGAGCGGCTGAAGGCCAACTCCTGCTTGACGAATATGACATCAGTCTGAGGACAGCTCTGCTCAAACCACTGTAATTTCGATCCAAATTCAAATTCAAAATATCTTTATTCATGTAGATCTATTACAGACTCTTATGATATGTCAAATCTACCGTCAGTTCGGAGTGATTTTGAGATGAGAACTGACAAGAAACTCAGCTCGTATCCGTTTTAATTTGCAGGGGTTCGATTAAAAAATCTATATTTTATACAAATATTATCTTATCTGAGTATACATCAGGGTTTTAATAATTAAAAGTGTCCATATAAATGTATATTATGTTTTATACAAGCCATGAAAGTATATTCATGACAAAATTTATACAAAAAATGTATATGTAGACATATTGTAGTATATATATACAAGAAATGTTAGTTTTTAAACGAACAAAATTTGTGTAAAGAATGTTATAAAGATGTTGAGTTTTAATAAATAATTTTAAATGGTTTTTGTTTAATTTTATTTTGAATTAGTTGTTTGTTGCCTGTGATTTCGTCCGCGTTGAGTTAGACTTGTTTTTGTTAAAAAAAAGAAATTTCTAGCAAATTGAGTTTACAATTTATATAAATTGAGTATCAGGAATTAGTTATTTTATAATTAATTATACGACGACCATATGCATTAATATTTTCTAAAAATTCTTTTAATATTTATACCACATTTCATGCAAATAAATACATTTCATTTCATTTCAATGTAAATATTTGGCTACCTTTAAACAGTTCTTTTTTAACTACTTTAATACTGTTAGCCCTTACTCGGAGTAATTATGATTTACATATTTGCTGTTCTTCTGTTAAAGAACAGCTTTGAAAGTCCCGAACACATTTTTTAAACAACTGTAATTGAATAAAATTAGAGAAGACAACGGAATAAAATCAACTGCAACTATTGTTATAGTTTGTTATTAAAAAAATATTTCATGAATACCGCCATCTTGTGGCTAATAGAAATACTACGTTCAATTTAGCTTATAATTAATTTTAGGGAAAATGAAATATTCAATGTTTAATAATTGTATACTTACAATAAATATTTACGTAATTTTATTTCATATATTTTATGCAAATAAACGAAATACAAAATGATAAGAAGCCATAACTGTCAAAGAGATTAAAAAAGTTTAATGCATGCACAACAGCGCCATCATACAGATCATCGTCAAAACTTTCCTTTTGTCTCCTTCAATCCAATATGGCGGTAAACGGTGTATGAAAGGTTCGGAATGTTTTGATTCGAAACGAACAATAAAAATAGTAAAAATACTGACGAAATCCGAAAAAAATACGCAATGGTGGGTGTGTATCCGCGATAAATGTCTTGAAAATATGTTACAATAGATCTATTCGTGCGTGTTATGTCAATAGGAGTGATTTTCAGTCTAGTGTTTTTTTGTACTATTTTCTGCTAATGTTGTCGTTTGTGGTGATAAGTGACGATAGTTTACGCGATAGATATGTCTACCGATCGTGATAAAGACACTCCATGTCCGATTCCGTGCGATACAGAAGCTGGCGCGGTTAGTGCAAACCAAATTAGCGAGAGTGATAACAAAAATGAAAATTGTGAGAAAAAGACGAAAAAATCTCGCTGTGTGTCTTTCCCAGAAGAAGAACAGATAGTCACACAGTATTTCGAGCCAGCAAACCCTTGGCAAGATGGTGAGTAATTTCCTTTCACATAGATCTATAGTCATTGTTGTGCATGCCTCTAAATGTACTTGCATATTTAAAAAAAAACATTACTTCTTAATTTAAATGGAATACAGCATTACCTCATCATATGTATATTTTAAGCTCAAAGATTATTTGTAAAACCATTACATAAATTTTCTTCAACAAATCAATGTTAAATAAACTTGTAATTTAATCTTATTATTAGTCATAACAATTGTTATTTTCCATGGAATTTCAACAATTTGAAGTTCGTTATTTGTTTACCTTTATACAATGTATATTAATTAATATTAAACCATATTCATGATGCATATTTATTTAGTATGACACATTTATATCCGGAGATGAGATTTTTTTAATGGATGATACTGGAATGTTATTCCCACTGCACTAATGTTATATACTGCCCTGCCAGCATACAATGTTAATGTGGGTTTCCCACTAGAGGATAATACAATGAGCATAAAGTCGGCACAGCTAGCATATCATGATTCATCAGAAATGAACCGTGACAGTAACCAGAGGTTTACCATGTTGAGGTAGACCTAACATGGCTCATTTAAGCTATGGCACCACTAGTTTCCATTGGTTTCCAGAGAGTTTTAAAGGGTAATAATAATAATAGATGCACTGGTTTGCACTAACGGTTTACAGTGGCGGGGCACCAGTGGAGAATTATAAGATAAGCATGAGGTCAGGCCAGTTAGCACATTGTGACATATTTACCAAGAATTTATCACGATGGTTTCCAGGGGGAACTGCGTGGAGGTTGGTTGGTTGGACTCCATTTTCCGCAATTGGCCTCTCATTCGGGCCGTTGTGTGTGTCTGCGTGGAGGTCAACCTGATATGATACATTGCTGGCAATGGGAACATGGGGACATTTGTCCATATTACTATATCTCTTTAGCCCCTAGAGGGTTTACAGGGGAGATGGGATTGTTATTAGTAGGAGACTACAGGAATTCCAATTGCTGGAAATATATTGTAGTTCACCTCCATGTTGGTCCTCTGGGACCTGGGACTAATGTGATTAATTACCACTCAATTCGCTATGATGTACTAACTGATCTGATTTCATATTTATCTTTTCATTTACTGATAATAATAATACTATAAGTAATAAATAAATTTTATTTCATCTCCACAAATTACATAATTCCAGTTTTATTATATAAATGCTAATAAATAAAAATCACAAATATAACCAGGTCCCCCCTTCATATAAATTAGTTATACATCTAGTTTTAAGTTTAAATGTGGAGTGCATTGAGCATGTGTGTGTGTGTGTATGTGTGCGTGTGTGTGTATGTGTGCGTGTGTGTGTGTATGTGTGTGAGTGAGTGATCTATGTAAATTTTATATATAAAGTTATAATTTATATTTACTTATATTTATTTTTTAATTTACTGATATATATCCTTAGCATAGGCAGGTATATTATCCCTTCCGATCGATCCCCCATCTAATTCAAATGGGGATGGAAATAAATTCAAACTGAGCCAGAGAGGTTTGAACCCCTAGCGGTGCCGTCAGACTAAACTCATATCCATCAGGCGGGAGTGGGCTTTGAGCTGCTCCATAAGTCCTTCCTTTGGGGGGGAAATGGGATTGTTAGTAATGTGGACTAATGAACCCATTACTAGCAATGTACCATGTCAGGTTGACCTCCACGCGGTTCCCCCTGGAAACCATCGTGTTAAATTCCTGGTGAATTTGTCACGATGGGCTAACTGACCTGACCTCATGCTCATATTATCACCCTCCACTGGTCCCCCGCCAGCGTAAACCGTTAGCGCAGGCGGATGCACCATTCCATTATCACATACAAAAAAAAGAAGTCCTTCCTTTGGTTTGAAGTGCCATCTGCACTGGCCTCCTATAAGCTGGTGAAGGTGTAAAGGCCAGCTGCGTTAGCATTAGAGTAGTCCGAAAGTTATGTTATACCATATTCATTTAATAACAATACATACAATTCAAATACAAATAAAATACAAATATTCACTTATTTGTGTTTACTCACAAGTTATTGTTACAAGGTAATTTTATAATTTCAATCACTAATTAATTAATTGAAATTTAATTCTATTAATAGAGGTATTGGAATGAAATTTGCTATACAATTTTCATTATACATTTCTAGACTATTACACATACAAATAGAGTAAAAAATTAATGTATTTATTAGTTACTAGCTGTCCCGGAAAACGTCGTTTTGCCTTAAAATAAAAAATAAAAATTTAGGGGTGGACTACCCCTAACATTTAGGGGGATGAAAAATAGATGTTGACCGATTCTCAGACCTACTCAATACGCTCACAAAATTTCATGAGAATCAGTCGAGCCGTTTCGGAGGAGTTTGGTAACGAAAACTGTGACACGAGAATTTTATATATAAGATTAATCACACTGAGAGAATTGAATTTGATAGTAATGTGGACTAACGAACCCATGGCTAGCAACGTACCATGTCAGGTGCTTCTGAAAACAGAGAGATAAAAAAATTAATTGTTTTTTCATACGTAAGTTTGCATATATGTACTGTCATATATTGTTAAGCTGTTAATTTGAAATTACAGACACTTCAATTTTTAATATCTCTGTATAGATATTTAAAGTTTTCCAGACAAAGTCAGGACTGTCCATTAGTTTAGCTTACGTATTAAATCATAATAATATTAAAATTCGCAAGTCAACAAACGTTAAAGCTGTGTAAACAAGATAGCGTGAGTTTATCTGTCCCAGTTATCTCGACAACTCGTTTTGACTATTGCTCATAAAATAGACGTAACTTACTTTTAACCGACTTCCAATAATATCGAGATATTATTTATTATGACGGCCTCGGTGGTCTAGCGGTTGAGCACACCGTTTTACTTCCGATTATCACGAGTTTGATTCTTCGCATGGCACAAACATTTGTATTCATGAGTATGATTGTTTGTGTCGGTTTGGGTGGATTCTTTGTATAATGTATGTTTTTACGAAAAAAATATATCTATGTATTTGTATCAGTTATCTAGTACCCATAACACAAGCTTTAGTTAGCTTAACTTGGGTCTAGATGGCGCTGTGTTAATTGTCCTGAGATTATTATTATTTATTTTTATATTTATATATTTATTTATTATTATTCCACCGAGCGATTGTCGTGGAGATTTTTGGAGGAGGCCTTTGTTCAGCAGTGGACGTCTTCCGGGCTGAAATGATGATGATGATGATTATTCCATTGTATTTTTTGTTATACTTCGTTTAAATGTACAATCAGTTTTATTTATTTTTATTGACTTCCCGATATTTTCTGCTTACTCAGCTCTGTGTCTGCGCAAAGCTGAGTGGAAACCAATTTGGTCGCAGCTGTATTTTTTTAAAATAATTAATTATAATTTTTGTAATTCGTTGTATGATAGTTTTGTACGCGCCAAAGAAATATATTTTTCTTTCTTTTCTTTCTTCTTATATTTTCGTCGGAATACAGAAATATAAAAATTTCAATCGGGAAGGTTATAGGTTCTAATATCTGAAATCCAGTGATAGGTTTAATTAAAAAGACGCAATCAGAATGTACATTAAGTGTACGTGAAGGACCTGTGAGTATAGTTTGCTGAGAGGAGTATCGAGCGAGTTTCGATAGTAGCAACAAACGAAGACCTGAAGGTAGACGAATATGTCTGCCCATAAGTGATTTTATTTACCATCTACCCGCTGCTCTTCAGTTAACCCGTGATCATGGCGGTTGAAACACTGCCACAGTATCGGGAACTGAATAAAAATGAATGAAACGTGGTAGGATCCCGTGATTTTCCTAATTTGTACATATAAAAAACTAGCGGTCTTGTCTTGTACATATAAAAAACCCGCGACTTAGTCTGCGTGTTATTGTCATCATCATCATCATCATCATCATCATCATCATCATCATCATCATCATCATCATCATCATCATCATCATCATCATCAAAGTATTCAATAATCTAACCTAAATCAGCGAGAGAAAGGAGCTCTAGCTTCTAGCTTCAATAAAGACAATTTTCAATAAATAAAACTTATCTCCTTTTCGCATTGACAGTTATCCTATGTCCTTTCTCAGGGTCTAGACTATCTGTACCAAATTTCATTTAAATTGGTTCCGTAGGTTTGGCGAGACAGACAGACAGTGTTACTTTCGCATTTATAATATTAGTAAGTATCTCCGCGTCAAATTTAAAACAGTACTTCGTGTAAGCGCTTAAACTGTGCGGTGATGGCCAATAGCAACAAAAACCGCCAGAGCCAAAAGAAGACAAAAAAAAATGAGGTGCTGTTTCCATTTTTCTTTGATTTTCTAAAGCTGGTAACCGTAGCTGGACTTACAGATTCAGCGGATGCAAGGGAGAAGGGATTTTGATAATAAATAATATAATCTATACATCTATACATATAAATAAAATTGGAGTGTCTGTTTGGAATATTGAAATAACTGTTTTTACTACATACGAATATAAATACGGTACATACACCAAAATAACATTCTCTACAATTTTTGTCTGTCTGTCTGTTTGTTCCGGCTAATCTCTGAAATGGCTGGACCGATTTTGACGCGACTTTTATTGGCAGATAGCTGATGTAATAAGGAGTAACTTTGGCTACTTTTATTTTAGAAAAATAAAGTTAATTTCCTCGCTGACGAAGCCGCGAGAACAGCTAGTTTCATATATAATTTATTTGTATATAATGCAAAATTAAAACATTTTAAAGGAGCAATATGTTATTATGACGGTTGAAGTTGATTCTAGGTAATCAAATGGCAGGAAGTTGCGTAATACAGTATGAAAACTACGATAACCTAAACTAGGTATTACACGTGTCCTATAGGTATCAGAGCTCTCTTGTAACAAGTACTGTATATTACATTTATTATTAACTAGATACTCGCCCCGGCTTCGCCCGGGTGTACATGTATTATATATATAAACCTTCCTCTCTAATTACTACTACTTCGAATCA